CCGGCCAACGGTAGTAGGCCGGTGCAGATTGCTGGAGTTGTAGCAATCTGCGGCAGAATTTCGGTAGGTAGGGTGTCGCGGTCGATACCGTGACAAATCTAACCTTAAATAACTCTACAACCACCTAATAAAAAGTTATACAAATTTAATGTATTATTCTTATATATATAAATACTTAGTATATAGAATATAGAGTCTATCCTTATAGTAGTTAGCTAGTAATAAAGGGTAAGGTCTAAAATAGGGGTCTAAATTTAATAATTAGTTAACTACTATAAAAATAGACTTTATATTCTATATACTAAGTATTTATATATATAAGAATAATATATTATATTTGTATAACTTTTTATTAGGTAGTTGTAGAGTTATTTAAGGTTAGATTATTGAATTTCTAGTGGTGCACGGACTGGGCAGCTCGCCCGCATGGGCAGCTCACCCGCAGGGTACGTTAGCGGGTTCAGGGCAGTCTATCTTCCTCTGCACTCGACACCTTTGGCCGCGCCAAGACCTGCCTCTTTGGAAACCCTATCACGTGCCGGAGATCTTAGCGAAAATGACTCGAAATTAGAGTTGCTCAGGGCGTTCGTGAATGCCTTACACGCGTGAGAGGTCGACTCTCGAGATTGATGGCATGCAGTTTATTAGGTCGAAGACACTTGCTTCAAACTGCTGTCAACAATCGTTTCTCGTTTGGTCTTTCACAGCGTTGGATATCTTCTAGTATCGGGAATTTGCATATCACGATGGATGACGAAAAGAAACCCGTAGACTATTCCGCTTGGAGCGCTCCGGAGCTTATACAACGTGTCACGGAGCTCGAGAACAAGTTAAAGGAGCAGAACGCCAGGTATCTCTCCCTCTTGACCTTCGTATCGCCGTCAGTCTAACCCCATCGCAGATATACCTCAAAATCAACCCAACAACCTATTACTTCCGCCAATCAACACCCCATAGAAGTCAAAGAGCACCCTTCAGAACCACAAACCACCGAAGTCAAGCCTCTACCAAAGGTTTTTGACCCCTCCAAATACAACACGCGCCTCATTGCTCTCAAATTTGCGTACTTGGGCCAGGCCTACAATGGCTTCGAGCATCACGCGAATAACCCAACACCGTTACCCACAATAGAGGAGGAGCTATGGAAGGCACTGGTCAAAACCAAACTGATATTCCCGCCGGAAAGAGCGCCTCTAGATATACTGGAGGGAGCCCCCGGACGACCACGCAGGAAGCTCAGAGAAGAGGCGCAAGTCAATTGGGAAGGCTGCGAGTACTCAAAATGCGGCCGGACAGATAGGGGCGTGAGCGCATTCGGGCAGGTCATAGGCATACGCGTACGGAGCAACCAGCGAGCTCCACAGTTTCACGCTCAGGAAACCGCAAGTTCTTCCGCAGCAGGCACCGAAGCTACGCCAAAAGCCACGGAAAAAGTACAGTCACCAGAGCAAGCAAACGAAGAAGCTCCATTCGACCCCATCGCCGATGAATTCCCCTACGTGCAAGTCCTCAACCGCGTCCTTCCAAACGACATCCGCGTTCTGGCATGGTGCCCCAACCCACCGCCAGACTTCTCGGCGCGCTTCCATTGCAAGGAGCGCCGCTACAAGTACTTCTTCACGAACCCGTGCTTTGCGCCCGTCCCTGGCGCCGCGGGCTCGTACCTCACACCCTCAAACCCCAACGCGCCCGCATCTCGGGAGGGGTGGTTAGACATCGACGCGATGCGTGAAGCGTGCAAGCGCCTTGTCGGCCTACACGACTTCCGGAATTTTTGCAAGCAAGATCCGAGCAAGCAGCTCACGGATTTCCGAAGGCGGATCTTTCATGCTGATATAGAGGAGGTGGCGAAGGTAGACCAGCCTGGGTTTCTGGCGCATCCGGCGCTGCTGCCGCCTTCGTCATCCTCAGGAGCAGGCCCGGAACCGAAGCTCTACGCGTTCGTGGTGCACGGGTCGGCGTTTTTGTGGCACCAGGTACGCTCGCTAGTTGCGATTATATTCCTCGTTGGCCAGGGGTTCGAGAGCCCGGAAATTGTCAGCCAGCTGCTAGACGTAGCTGCTAATCCGTGCAAACCGAAGTATCTGATGGCGGATGATGCGCCGCTGGTGCTGTGGGATTGTGTCTTTCCTAAAGCGGAGGACGCGGAGGACTCGAATGTTAGGGAGAAAGGGTATGAGGACTCGCTGAATTGGATCTACGTCGGTGAGAAGGGCGAGATGGAAGAAAGAAGCGAGAAGAAAAGGACGCCGGCAAAGGGGAAATGGGGACGAGGCGGCATTATGGATGATATATGGGAGGTGTGGCATAAGCGGAAAATCGATGAGGTGCTGGCTGGGCAGTTGCTGGAGATTGTGGCTTTGCAGGGGAATCCGACACTCGGTATTCAGCAAGGGCTTGAGGATGCGGGGGTAGGGATAAAGGCACATCGGACGCCGAGTGCGAGGGTATTTGATGGCGGTGATGTGCCTAGGTTGAAGGGGAGTTATTTGCCGGTGCTGGAGTTGGAGAAGATGGATGCGGTGGAAGTGATCAATGCCAAGTATGCGAAGAAGAAGGGATGGGATCCTGCGAAGCCGGCGGTGAGGAATCTAGATGCGGACGAGTGAGGTCATCGTAGATATTATAGTTGGGCAGCTGTCGCTTTCTATCTTCCAAGACTATGAGATTTTACCCAGTGGGTACCCCATCTACAACTACTCCTACACAAGGAGCCATGGAAAGCCCCTATAGCTAATCCAAACGCAGGTTCCCCTTGCCAAAGGGATGGTAATCAACGTCCGCAGCCCATTGAGCCTCATAGAGACTCTCATCCATCTGAGAAGCGTCCATGCCAGCAACAACATCCCTATGAAGCAGAAGATTAGCAAGAGCAATTTCCATGGCATACGACTAACTTACTCGTCTGGAGCCAACACCTCAAGTCCTGGCACGCAGTCTATCAGAGCAATGATGATATACGACCCAACAAACGACCAGGTGAACCCGATCAGCGCCTCCAAGATCTGAATCCCAAGCTGCTTGACATTCCCATCGAAGAACACTCCCCCTTCAATCTCCGTTGCACCATCGTACGCCGCCACTGCCTTCTGCGCAAAAAGGCCCGTTGCAATCGTCCCCACGAACCCACCAACACAATGGGTAGCAAATGTATCCCCATTGTCGACCCACCTAATCCGTCGCGCAAAATCAGTGAATTTGAATCGGAGCGCCTGGCGACAAATGAGCGCACCGCCGACCCCAAAGAAAAACGACGTCGTAAGATCGATAAAGCCAGCAGAAGGCGTGATCAGCACAAGTCCTGAAATAGCCCCCATAAAAGTCGAATCCAGAGACCACTTCCCCGTCTCATAGTAAGTGAGACACGCCCAGGTCATCGCGCCCGCAGATGCGCAGAGGTTGGTCACGCACATCGCCATCACGGACTTGAAGTTGAGGCTGAGGGTGGTGCCGGCGTCGAAGGCCAGCCAGGAGCCCCAGATGATGATCATGGCGAGAGCTTGGCAGATGGTGTTGTGGGGGCGGTGCAGGGCTAGGTGGGACGGGGTGCGGATTTCCGATTTCTTGGAGCGGAAGAGGGGGTAGGAGAGATACAAGCTTAGGGCTGTTGCGGTGGCGCCGCTGCAGATGTGGACAGGGGTGCCGCCTGCGAAGTCGAGGGCGCCCATGGCGCCGAGGAAGCCGGTGTCGGACCAGACCATGTGGGCAAGGGGGCAGTATATGAAGGTTGCCCAGAGCTGGAGGGGTGGATGTTATAAGATTGGATTGGGTTTTTCCAGAGGTGGAATGGACTTACGAAGATGAACGGTATCAATGGCAAAAGCCTTCCTCTCTCACAGCTCCCACCAACCGCAATTGCACAGACCGTAGCACAGAAAATGAGTTGAAACTCGGAGAACAGTATGGCGGGAATCGTCCCAACAGGCTCAGACAAGACACCACGATGGAAAGCGTATTTGAAATCTCCAATTACCCCAGAGCCGTCACCATACGCCAGTGAGTACCCGATAAGCCACCACTGAATGGAACACGTCCCGACCGCGAGCAAAGATGGCATGAACGATGCTAGCCCGCTTCTGCGCGTCGAGTAGCCAGAGTACGCGAGGCCGACCGCAGGAATGATCGGCCAGCAGAAGACACTGCAGACGAGGATGAAGGCTGTGTCGGTCTTATCGCAGGCCTCCCAGGCCTGCTGGACCGCTGAGACGACCATAACGGAAGAAAATTAGGCAAGAATGAACAATTGGGACGAGAGGTACAGATGTTTTCTAGTGACAATGAAGGTTGAGAGGTTAGGACGTAGTCAGTCGTCAGCAACAGGTGTGAGAGGTACCAGGCCAGGTCTTATCGTTGTGCCTGACCACAAGAAGTGTAATTGGCCGAGACACGATGAAACAGTACAGGTGCAGAAAGCCATCTTCAAAAACCGGTTTAGCGCGATCGGAGCTTTGCTCGTTGTTGTGGGCGTGCCTTGTGTGGCAAAAAGAGCACTCTTTAGAGGTTGGAGATAAGACCTCGGGAGCGTGGGATGAACTTAGGTTGTGGCTGAGGAAAATGCATTGGTGTGGCGTAGAGGCCTAATCGGGACGTTACCAACCTTTTAGTCATGCTCTACTAACACTTAGCACATATATATGTAGCATAGAGCAAGTCTCATTCTGAGAGCATATCTTCAACGATCTCACCAAGTTCTCCTCGTAAGGAAATAATGTTATTATACAAAGTTGAGCATGTTAAGGTTCGGCGAAAAGAGTATCGATGTGTATGTATATTGGTTCATGCTCTTCGTTGGGAGCAGAGGCGAACTTGAAGCTAGTATTCATGGAAGATCGCTGACGTAAAAGCAGCAGGAAACTACAATAGAGTCGAGGCTACAGAGCCTTCAAAAGACCCATACCGTGAGGTTCAGAGCCTCGGCTTGTCGCTATTGCCCGTGGCAACCAGATCATATCGGTCCAGGTTCATCACCTTGTCCCAAGCGGCAACGAAGTCCTTCACGAACTTCTCTTGTGCATCTGAGGAGCCATACACCTCAGACAGGGCGCGCAACTCGGCATGCGAGCCAAACACTAGATCGGCCCGGGTACCAACCCACTTCTTCTCGCCAGTCTTGCGGTCGACACCCTCGAAGAGTTCCTTGCTCTTGGCCTTCCAAGCCGTGTTCGTGTCTAGTAGGTTGACGAAGAAGTCATTGGTGAGCTGGCCAGGACGCTTCGTGAAGACACCATTAGCAGATCCGTCGTAGTTGGCATTCAACGCGCGCAGGCCACCAACGAGCACCGTCAGTTCAGGGGCAGTGAGCCGGAGTTGATGCGCCTTGTCGACGAGGAATTGCTCGGTGGTTACCTTTGCTGTGGATTGACCATAGTTGCGGAACCCATCGGCAAACGGCTCCAGATGCTTGAAAGACTCAACATCGGTTTGCTCCTGCGAAGCGTCCGTACGGCCGGGGGTGAAAGGAACGGAAACACCTGCAGCCTTCTCAACGGCCGCGACACCTGCCAGCACGATCAAGTCGGCTAGCGATACCTTCTTAGAGCCACCGTTGAATTTCTTCTGAATGCCCTCCAGCACGTCCAGCACCTTGCTGAGCTGCTTGGGGTTGTTCACCTTCCAGTCTTTCTGAGGAGCAAGGCGGATGCGGGCACCATTGGCACCGCCACGTTTGTCTCCACCGCGGAAAGTTGAAGCTGACGCCCATGCAGTAGTGATGAATTCGGTAGGTTCCACGCCGGAAGCCAGGATCTCCTTCTTCAAGGCAGCAATATCCTTGGCATCAACCAGAGCATGGTTGACAGCTGGGATCGGGTCTTCCCAAAGCAGCTCCTCGGACGGTATTTCTGGACCGAGCCAGCGGCTCCGTGGACCAAGATCGCGATGCAGCAACTTGAACCAGGCACGGGCGAACGTATCGGCAAACTCATCCGGATGCTCGAAGAAACGGCGCGAAATCTTTTCGTACGCAGGATCAACCCTGAGTGCGAGATCAGTTGTCAACATTGTCGGCTTGTGCTTCTTGTTGGCGTCATAGGCATCGGGGATGATCTCGTCAGTAGTCTTCGCAACCCATTGGTTCGCACCACCCGGGCTCTTAGTCAGCTCCCACTCGTACTTGAAGAGATACTCGAGGTATTTGTTGCTCCACTTGGTAGGGGTGGCGGTCCAGATGACTTCCAGACCACTGGTGATGGTGTCGGGACCCTTTCCGGATTTGTACTTGTTCTCCCAACCGAATCCCTGAGCCTCGAGGCCAGCCGCTGCTGGTTCTTTGCCCACGTAATCGCCAGCGGGAGCTGCACCATGCGTCTTGCCAAAGGAGTGACCGCCGGCAATCAACGCAACAGTCTCCTCATCGTTCATGGCCATGCGACCAAACGTAGTGCGGATGTCTCGAGCTGAAGCAGCGGCATCTGGAATGCCATCAGGGCCTTCCGGGTTGACGTAGATCAAACCCATATGTGCCGCTGCCAATGGCTCTTGCAGATCGCGCGTGTGGATATTGCTGTGGTTCTTTTGAGATTCGTCACCGTCAACCACTCCATGCCCAGACACGCCCTCCTTGCCACCAGAGTAACGGACGTCATTGCCCAGCCAAGTCGTCTCGCCACCCCAATACACAGACTCGTCGGCCTCCCAGGTGTCGGGACGTCCTCCGGCAAAGCCAAAGGTCTTGAAGCCCATGGACTCGAGAGCCACGTTGCCGGTGAGGAGGTACAGATCGGCCCAGGAGATCTTGTTGCCGTACTTCTGTTTGATGGGCCACAGCAGGCGGCGGGCCTTGTCGAGGCTGACGTTGTCGGGCCAGCTGTTGAGCGGGGCGAAGCGTTGCTGGCCGTCTCCACCACCACCGCGTCCATCAAAGACACGGTATGTGCCCGCACTGTGCCAGGCCATGCGGATGAAGAGACCGCCATAGTGGCCAAAGTCGGCGGGCCACCACTCCTGCGAGTCGGTCATCAGCGCCTCGAGGTCCTTCTTCAACCCATTGTAGTCCAGGCTCTTGAAGGCAGCCGCATAGTCAAAGTCCTTGGCCAGCGGGTTGGTGACGGCCGTGTGCTGGCGGAGGATGTTGAGCTTCAGCTGGTTGGGCCACCAGTCGCTGTTCCTGGTGCCACCGCCGCCGGTGTTGACTTCCTTGATCGGACATTCGCCCATGCTGTCGGTTCGAGTTGAGTTTGGCTGAAGATGTTGTATTGAAGAGAAAGAGGAGAGTCGTTCAGTCAGTCAGTGAAGACGTCGTGGCGAACGGTGCGGGGCAGATGTCGTGAGAGTATAAGAAGGGCATTGGACAGGGATGGCGCCTTCCCCACACCGACGACATCTCACCGAGGACGCTTTAGCACCAAACAGCACTGGCTCATTTGTCAACTTTAGGCCGAGCCCCTCACGCTCTGCGCTCTGTGCCTTTCGCCGTTGCGCAGTTTGTCAGGCAGCCCCACCTAGAACTCCGGATCTCCCAAGCGTCCCCGCCACCCCGCTTTTGCGATGTCGGCAGTGGGCAGCGCGCGATCCGAGTGCGGATTGCGTCAAAACATGGCCGTCTCGCACCCGTGGGCTGACATTTCGCGGGCTCTCCTGACACGACTGACATCCTCAGGGTTCAAAGGAGCGTGCCATGGGTGAAGAGATGACCCGGGCTCATATAGTACGGCCTTGCACCGGCACCATTCTTCCAGTGCTGGTAGTATTGTCTCGCTGGAGACCGAGAGCGACGTACCACATGAGGGGTTGCTGCGCACTGGCAGTGAAATGTGGTTTGAGAGGTTTGTGGCATTTGGCTGAATCCAGTCTCAGCATGTGTCCTGGTATCGCCCTCTATCAATGCAGCTTCCGAGCTAGCTGCCACACTGCTGCTCCGGTATGCAACACAGCAGTTTCAGAAATTGCTTACCTAATAGGGCGTCTGGATGAACTTCGGTCGGTTGTGGAGGGTAGTCTTGTCAGCAATGACAGCTCGGGTCTTCAACTTTATATATGGATCTATAGGTGCAGGGGTGTTTCTAAAGAGGGCTAGCATAGACCTCTGGGATGAGTAATGGGAAGGTTTCAGCTATCTATCCGCCTAGTCCGTCCTTAGCCACGTAATTCCCTCAGGCAGTAAGCCTTGAACAGTGTAGCCGTTCCAAAAGTAACATCTTGCTCCCTGCCGTCTTCGATATCGCTTCATACGTAAAGTAAGACAGTCAGCGGATCAGGCAGAAACGAAGTATCGCCAATTCCTCGTCTGTTAAAAGCATCTTCCTTCGTCATTTCAACATTCAAAGCTCTCCAGACACTTGATCAAAGCATCTCGCACATTTTCAAACGCCGCAGTTCCTATTAGCAAACCGTCTTCCACCATGTCAAATCCCACTCCAGACTCTATCTCCATCTCGGCCGAAAAGACTTTCACCTCATACACCAAGGACCAAGGCGCGACTTATGCTCAGACTCGCCTCAACTACCACCCTTCGCTTTATACAGCCATTATCGACCACCATGCTTCTACAGGTGGCCAATTCAACAGTCTCCTTGATGTCGGTTGCGGTCCGGGCACCGCAATCCGCGCCCTCGCTCCGCACTTCGCCCATGCCATTGGTCTCGACCCGTCAGATGGCATGATTAACTACGCCATTGAGCTGCCAGGCGCCACATCTACATCTGAACCTATTCGTTTCGAAGTATCAACAGCGGAAGATCTTGGGTGGCATCTCTCACCGCCGGTCGAGGATGCCAGTGTCGACCTCATCACCGCCTCCACCGCAGCGCACTGGTTCGATATGGCGCGCTTCTGGCCGAGCGCTACCCGTGTCCTTAAGCCTGGTGGAACAGTGGCCATTTGGACAGGCGGCTCCATATGCATCCACCCCACGATGCCCAACGCCGCGGCTATTCAGGCTACTCTCGATGAGATCGAGGAGCGCGATTTGAAGCCATTCTTCTTGCCCGGCAACTTGTTAACGCGCGGCTTATACATCGACCTTCCGCTACCTTGGACGCTAGAGACGCCCGTTCCCGCCTTCGACGAGACTACCTTCTTCCGCAGGGAATGGGCCCCCGAGAAGGACGAGGAGTTTTTCGCGGGCGGTGGGCAGCCAGTCAGCCTAGACATGATGGAGAGAGTGATGGGCACCATAAGTCCAATTCACCGGTGGCGCGATGCTCACCCAGACGCTGTTGGGACCGAGCGCGACATCTTGAGGATCATGAGGAGGGATATTGAACGACTACTGCACGAGGCGGGTGTCGAGAAAGGTAAAGAGGTGGTCCAGGCAAGTCTGAACGGCGTGTTGTTGATGATCAAGAAGAAGGCATAGGCTATCTAGGTACGCTTCTCTATTTGGCAACTCTTGGCCGCCAAGAAGACCTCAAGTGTTGAATCAAGAGAAACTGAATTTTATCTACTTTCGGGGCCTAACCTACTTTTTCGCACATAATCTAACGACCACAAGAGATAGAATAAAAATGAAACCACAAGTAGCTGCAACTAGGCAAGGGTAATGAATTGTGAAAATATGAAGATTAGACTATGTGACTTCGTTGAGATAAGGGTGGGTCGACGGGTCGGACGCAGCAAAATGCCCTATCACGTGAGGTCGTGTTTCAGACTTGAGTTTCGACCAACGACATCTCCCAAGCTGTGAAACACCAACAAAGAGCTTGGATATGGCTCTACCTCGTCCCACCGCACGGTCTTCGCGGTACAACCCCCTCTCCTAACTCTTTGAACTTAACTGATCCTGTCTAGCACCCTAGATAATCTCAAAACTTCTACCGACACTCTCAGTGGAGCAGATTCCCAAGCCCTGCGATCCTTCTGCACTTCCGAATACCTGAACGTTACAACAATCGATGACGAGTATGGCCAATCTATACGGAACCGATCTCTCAAGTCCCTCAAAGCTCGCTTTCAAGCGCGATGCACGTTAATTGGAAAAGAGGCAGCCACCCAAGAAATCTTCGACATGCGATGGGGCCCCACACGCGTTCCGATTTACAATGTGATGCTCACGCTGAAGTTCATGATGGCTTCCGTTCCCGGTTCCCGCTCCGACTTTCTCAACATCACAGACTTCCTCGTCAAGACAGCGGAGGTGCCCGTGGACGGAGCGGACATGTCTGGCACTACGGCCCTCATGCACGCCATCGGAACGAAACCGTATCTCGATACCGAATTCGCCCAAGCCCTCCTGGACACTGGTGCAAACATCAACCGCCGCAACCGCTACGGCGAAACCACTGCTCATGAGATCTCGAAAGTGCATGCGTTCCCCGCTGAGAACAAGACTAAGGCGCTTGAAGCCTTGAAGTGGTTTGTAGACCACGGCGGAGATGTTGACATCAAGGACTCTGAAGGCATTACGCCTAGGTTTATGATCACAAATACGGCTGTCAAGCAGATCGCGCCACGGATGGTGAACGTCCTGCCAGCCGGTACCACTTCGGGTCGCAGATGCAGCGCTTGCAACAGTAACGAGGCATATCTTGAGAAGGCGTTGGCTGCTTGTGCGGCCTGCAAGACCGTCTCTTATTGCTCGAAGGAGTGCCAGAAGATCGATTGGCGCCGAGGCCATAAGAAGCAATGCGGTGTGGCTACTTAGGGTGCTGCTAACTCTTTGTCTAAGACTTGAATGTCGCAAGGTCCAAGGTCACTTCTATTCTATGGTCGATAGCAAGCGAATCAACAAATGTCGAGAAGTCAAAAGGCCACACACAGTGAACGAAAGGTTGAAGATTCTATAGAGGAATGGCGACTGTAGAGGATTAGACCTACAAAGTATCCAACCATTCCATTGAGTCTGCTTTACTATAACCCCCACGTGCAACTCCATTCTGAGATGCCTCGCTTACAATTAAATTCAACTAAATAAAGGATAAGTCGATCACTCCGCGGACTGAAGAGTCATGCATGATTCGGTATTCAAATACACTAACGAAGGGCAATCGCTAATCCAATAATCCATCCCAAGGTATCTCTCGCGCAGCCATGCCTTCCAGGTACTAGTACAACGCCCCAGTCATCTTACTCCGCAGTGCCCAAACCACCGATGTGCAGTCATAATTCGTCTCTTCGTCTCATCATTTATGCCCAGTGCCGCATTACCCATCACTTATTCGCCTTCTCCGCTATCTTGGCTCGCGCCTTACGATCTCTAGCGCTTCGACCACCTCCACCACCTCCGCCACCACCGGTCTGCCTTTTCGTGCTCGACAATCTTGAAATACCGGAAGAAGCAACAGACGGTGCGATCTGTGCCCTCTTTGGCTGAGCAATAACAACTCTCTGGGCTTCCACGTCCCACGTGTCCGGGCGCGACGACATCTCCGACACCAGTGGCTGATCGCTATGATCGCTTTGCATCGTTGTTGGTGTTTCACTAGGAACCAAACGGCCGCCGCTTGATCTGGGTTCCTTGCTGTCTTTACTCACGTCGCTGTTCTGGCTGCCATTTAGGGCGGCCTTTTCTTTGATGGCTGGAGCTTGGTGGTTATCACGCTTCCGTTGGGTGCGGCGTCCACCGGCCGTGCGGGATGAGTGGTAAGTAGGGGGAGGAGGAGCCGAGCTATCAAAGGCACCCAGATTGAAGAGTTTGCGGAGGAGAGTCCACGTAAATGGGAGATTAGCGACGAGGATGGCTGTTGAGGCTTCCCGGATGTACCATGAGATCCAGGTGGAGGTGCTATATGGCGACTTGAAGGAGTAGTATTTATTCAAGATGGCGGCCAGGATCTGAGGAAAAGATTAACCATTTGATAGAGTAGAGGGCTAAGGCGAGGGTCTTACAACGAAGATGCCGAGACTGAAGATACAGCAAAGGATGAGCTTGCGTTTGAGCGGCAGCAGGGTTCGGATGAACATGGGTAGGGCGATGCAGAGCATCATGATATCGGAAGATATATTGAAGACGGCATTGGTGATGCGGTGGTCCGTTAACCTGTCACACTAACAGTATGGTTAGGATGCGCTATGATTGCTAGTATGGAGTATCTCGGTACCTGGCTGTTATACGTCGGAATCGCCCAGTACTCGTGGAATGGCCTGCACCACACACCGAAGTACAGAATCTCCATGACGACGAACGCGAGGGCGACATAGACAGCGAGCAGCTTGATAGCCATGTTCTCCTTGGAAGCCACCATGCGCGTGAGGCGGTAGTAGAGAATCAGAAGACACGCTTTATTCAGCCATATCACGACGATTTGCATCTGCTCGACAACAATACCGATCTTGCTTCCATACTGTCGGTCAGAGATGTCCTTTGAGGTCAGACTCTGCAATGGAAAGTCGGGCGGCAGGAGGTTCGAATTCGATTTCGCGGCAATGTTGGTCATAACAATAAGTGTTGTGTACGAGCCCAGGACGAGCAGGCCCATGATCCAGTCGTCATATTGAAGCCGCTTGACGGAGCCGAATAATATCGAGCGCGATATTCTGGTAGCATTCGGTCAGCCTGTGTTGTTCGATTCTATGCACAGCATCTGCAATGCAACTAACAGTCGTGCGACTATGATGCCCACGGCGACCGTGTACCATATCCACGATTCGATCGCAAACCGCATCCTCAGCGGCAGCCAGCCAAACCAGGCTCGCGTCGTTCACGCTCGTCCCCCTGCTGTCGTTATCGGGATCGGGGCGTGGTCAGTGTGGATATAGATAGGCGAGCATGCGACTCCTCATCGTGCGTGACAACAAGCATCCCCAGCGTCGACGCCGCGATGGGAAGGCCGAAGGTGCAAAGACAGCAGAAAATAGACGGAGAGGGAGCAGCAGAGGCAGGAGGAAGGAAGAGGAGGAGCAATACGGAAATCTGGAGGCAGAAGATAGGCCGGCCATGGCGGTCGTAGGCTGTCCACCAAAGCCCTTATCGCGAACCCTTCAGCTTGGTCTCGCCGCGCCCATGTGCGATGCCCACTCGCCCGTGGGCAGCCAATGGGCGTGGGCGCGTTCAGCCTTGCGATGCAACCGCGGGATATCTGTGAGGGCTGCGCTTGTGCTTGCTTTTGGCGCCTCCGCGTGTACCATCTTTTGACAGGTTGACGTGTGCAGATCGGCGCGCTTTGGGGTGCTGATCGGTGAAATGCTTGGCGGGATCGTTGATGCGTGCATATTTGACCCTGTTCGGCTCTCTTTTCGAGATAGCAGGAGTGGGTGGGAATAAGTGCGTGGGTGAGGAACTGAGGATTTCACCGGAGCAAGCCACGATCAAGGCGACGGGGTTGATTGAATGAGATCGATGCGAACCTCAGCAAGAAGGCAAGAGGCAGTTTCCGACATTTATTGTCGCAGCCAGCATTGGTTACAGATATGGAGTAGGGCAGCCTTGGCCGTGGGATGCATATTTCGGCAAGGCTGGCAAAGGCTTTGGCTCTACGTTCTCATATCTATCAAATTATATAATGCATGCTATGACACAGCTTTCTCTCCTGCAGACCCTCCCACTTTGATTAATACATTAAAAGGACCAACATACATTTCCACAACTGAAAAAGAGCCGTAATGAAACAATCCACGTGACATTGTAACCATAAATCATCAGGGCGGGCGCTTTTGGACATTCTAGTAGCGCCTTGCAAATTCACACATCCAGAGCCCGAGGAGCTACGTCTTCTTTAGCCACATGGCTATTCTGCTATGGGCCGTAGGCAAGCTGCTGCAGTTTCTTCACCTTACTCCGGGACTGGAAACCAAGTTGCGTCTGAAAGTCATTCAGAAAGCTCCAGATTTGAGCCTTCCTGGCTATGCCCTGGATATGCTTTCCGGCTGGAAAAGTAAGCATCAGTAAGGCTTTAAAAATTCTCAATAATTCGAAGATACAGGCTACGTACCAAAGTAGAGAGGCAAAGCTGAGAAAGACCTGACTGATTTTGAGACATCTGAGAGCACTATGTTGCCAATCTCGTATGCGTTTGCTTGTACCTCCTCCATCTAAAATAACCGAATCAATGAGGATTAGGTTGGAGAGTGGGACCTTGGGGATGTACCTCTTTATCGAGTAGTTCTCTAGGCAATGGCTCCGCATAAAGAAGTATCATCAAGCAGTGATACCACAGCGCAGCCGTAGCTACCTTGAAATTAGCTTCAGGAAATGGATCGACATCAAGGCTGATGAGAGGGAAATGAGCCAGCCGGTTGCCTTTCCGGCAATGGGTACTCTTCGAGATGATGACCCCGGGTATAGACTTACCTGCAGCAGGAATGGCAAAGTACGTTCTAGTAAACCCCTCCTCTGTAGAGTTTCCATATCTGACTCCTCGAAACGACACCGGTAGAGCGTCCTTCCATTTTTGAACATCGTCGAGCAGCGATTGCCTCACACTTGATTGTGGGTCCTCTCCGTAGATTAAATCAACTGCTCTACCTACGAACCACATGAGGCGGTTTGCTATCTCATCCTCTTGCACGTCAGTTTTCGTCCAATCAACGTTCCAATCCCGTGGACTAATAGATAGTGTAGACTCATTAGTCAAAGCAACATCAATCTCGTGTCGTATATATATCCAGAAACTGGCTCTGTCCATTCCAGTTGAGCTAGCATTGATACCACGTGTTTTGATAACCATTCCAGCACCTAAGAAATGGTGTCTATGCTCGTAACCTTGAGCGGCAATCATTTCGTAGCTACCAAGCATCATGATAGCCGTGAGAGCCTCTTCCGGTGGGGCAGAAGGATCTACCTCATTGATGAAAAGTCCCAATGCCTGCACGTAGTATCGTGCAGCTACAGGGGTCCATACTTCGCCATTAGGCAATAGGCTGAGCTGCTTTGCTGAGAATGCGCAGATGCATCGCAATAGGAGCTCTGAATCTAGGGCTCGCTGACTAATGGTACGTTCATAGGTGCAGCTGTGATCAAAGATATCCATCCACGTTGCCACACCTCTCTGATAGGCGGTAAGGAGCTGGACCATTTCGGAATCTAGATTGATAGGGACTTTCGGATGCATCGGGACCATGATTTTGGGAGGCGAAGGGCATACTGTGTAACCGACAGATGAAGCCCCCGTGGAGTCGGGTAGGCTGGTGTCGAAAAGATCCCATGTTGACTCAGGAGGTTCGATCGGCTGGGCTGGTATGTCCACATCCGTTGATACTTGCGGCTCAACGTTCGGCTCGCACCACGCAGAGCGGGTGATGAACTCGGAGGCGCGGCATTGAAGGTTCAATCGCTCGCAATTACTGCATACGGGCTTCTTCTCATCGCAGCGCGTATGTCGAGCTTTGCAGGTGAAACTGGGACAGTGAGAAAGATGAACAGATACGCCAGGGCCTTACGAAGGAAAAGAAACTGACCATCCTGCGTGAAGCCGTTTAGTATCAATACATCTCACCAGAGCGGGAAATTTTGGAGCTTACCTGTCTTTCTGCGCGTCCCCGCGCGCCTCCGTCTTCCCCTAGTGCTACTCTCCATTAGAAACCCCGCTTCTTAGGCCCGTTTTCAGCATACTGGTGTCAGTGAAGGTGTGAAGCGAGATCTGACGCGCACAGTGGTGGTAGCTAAAGTAGCAGCCATGCTAACCCGAATGCCTCTAGCTAATATTTTATCCCCATTATTTTGTCCACCAGGGCAACCCTCAGACCATCCATCGTCTTTCCATCCCAGTCCAGACATTCCTTCTTTGCATCCATCTTCTTAATAGGCCATGACCCAGAGAAGTCCGACACGGCAGTTCCAAGTGCTGTACCTCCCGAAGATGGTCCTCAACTATGCTAAGTAGCGAATGCTAGGACGGCTCTCAGCTCCTGAAAGGTGCATTCCGAGGTTCTATTCGCGCGTTCCGCCGTCGATTATCCAAATCCTTGCAATACAACTAAAGCTACTGGCTAGTACTATCGCTTGCTGCATCAGATGCTCACGAGGCTGCGGAGCTGTGACGCTTCCTGCATTCGATTCGCATCTATCACCTCGCCTTTCCACTCTTCTGAAGACAGCTCAGGCCATTCAGCACCACAGCGGGCCTTTAGATTGAGAAGCTCGGTCATCCAGCTCACTCAACTCCCCCATTCCTACAGTAGTGCGTCGGCATCGCCGTTCGAGAATGGGCCCTCAGCGCCAAATATGCCACATGCGGATCGGCTCGCTGCCGAGACCGCTCTTAGCTCGCCTTGCAGTTCAAGGCGTTTCAGCCTCCAATAGAGCATGACATTAGCGCAGCCTCTGCGGGGTCTCCAGCTCTTCAGGAACACCAAGAGTTACTGGGTATGGCAGAATTGCACATACCGATGTTAGTTCTAGATTTCTCTACGCCTGAAGTCGGACTAGTCGTGTAGTTTCAGCAGCTGAAAAGCGACGGGGCGTTTTTCTAAGACCAATTGAAAAAGCCGCGAGCTGAGATTCAATATTCAATGCATGTTGGGTGATCTACCACATTAAGCCAAGTTGTAAGTCAATACGAACTCAATACACTCATGGACAAGCTCACAAAGCTGTAGGTGTCAGGCGTTCGCATCCAGGTGCACTTGGTATAAATGTCGCAGCTCTAGCACCTATTACGGAATAAATTGACAGTAGACTCACGTCTTATCCCCAGCATCGCTCGATTTTGCCTATCTGATACTCTGTCTTCACCATCAGATCAATTTCAGTTACCATCTTTCTCCTTAATCCATCCAACCCGTCCTTGCGGCAACTCCATTCTGTCTCTCAGCATGCAAAGCAAGACAAAACACGAGTGCGGAAGATGGAGCGTGGAGAATTGGCAAATCCCAGTGCCCCTGGGAGACTGCTCGGTCCATCTGCTTGTGGATAGGTGGGTCAACACCAATGGATTCCAAGTCGCCAAGGCGTTCATCATGGACGGCGGCAAGAACGCCGATACATACAAGGCCTGCGATCAGATACTAAAGGCACTGGACGCAATCGACAAGTTTGTCGGCAACACCAGCTGGAAGTTTGACGTGTGGGTCGTCACGCACTAGGACGAGGATCATTATCGAGGCATCAAGGATCTCCTGGCCAGTACCACCATTCTGAACCGCGGTGGAATTTTGGGTACATTCTTCAACCTCTATTTCGAAGACAGCCCCAGGCTATATTGCGGGGCGGCCATACCAAGCGCGAAAAACGTGCCCGTCTTCGACATTGAAAACTCGAAGTTCGTAGGAACTGCCGGTCAGGTCCTCATTGGCCGTGACATCTTCACTGGATCGCAAATGTTCGACATAGAAGGCGACAACAAGACCATCATTAGATCGTCCAACGAAGACCCGGATCAGCCACGCTTTTGCGTCGTCGGTGCCAATAACTACGGTGTGGGAAGTAAAGAGCCCATCAATCGGAAAAAGCCATCTAAGAACGCAACGTCAATCCTCGCCATTCTATACTGGCCCGGCAAGGGCGGAGGACGCTGCTCCTACTTTACGGGCGGTGATGGAAATCCTAGGGTCGAGACTGAGCGTGTTGCTGTCACTTTGGCAACAAATCAACGGCTAAACAGGCTCCAGAGAGAATTCCAGCTGCCTCAACTGCCTCTTACAATGATGAAGTTGGACCACCACGGCTCATCCCACGAGAATCTATCTGAGGAAAGCCTCGAGATGACGCCATTGGCACTGCTCTATCCTAAACACGTCCTCGTTACTCCCGGCAACCAATACGGTCATCCTAGTAAGTGAAATATGGTTATCCCTTCAGATTTCGGGCCTTGGTGAACTGACGCGGACAGCCTGGGACGTGTTGAAGTTCGTCAAAGAGCGCATGGGCAAAGTTGGTGGCAAGCTCTACACAACGCGCTCCCCCTATTGGGTTACAAAGGACGAGCACACAACCAAAGATATCAACGTCTCTCACTACGGATTCATCATGCCCATGATTAATAAAGAATTGGAATTGTGGCACAAAATAGGAGACAAGAACGTGACTCCCGAGGCGCTAGAAGCTCTCGGTGTAACGCAGGTCATGATTGATCAATTTGAGCATAACAAGGCTCGTGCGGAGCTTCAGGACCAGCTCGAAAAGGTACATAACGTCCGACCGCCCTATGTTCGTATGGCTATATTTTCAGTGCTAACGTGTCCTAGGACGGCAAGATGGTAGGGAAGAAACAAAAGTGGCAAGTCGTTTCGAAGGAAATTATCGACATGGAAAATCTAACGGTATTACTCCTTGCTCAGCGCTTCCACTCCTCCATGAGATTCTACTGACACCTCGCAGAAAACGGATTTGGCGAGAGCCTTAGTGGATCCCGAAAAAGAAGAGCCAGAAATGTCCAAATTGGAACGGGCGCGGCTCATCATGAAACAGAACCGGGAGGACATCCAGGACAGTGCATTTGCAGCATGGGAGTCTATCTGCGAGCAGCCCATCATCTTCGACGGTAACCCGTTCTTTCTTGTACGCTTCTATTTCTCCCACTACGGCTTCGACAACGCCGTTGAGGTCAAGGGCGACGACGGCACCTCCAAGACCTTCGTCTTGGATGATGGCAAGAACACTGTCAACCTGCACAAGTCCGCTCATCTATTTCTTTTCCTCGACTCTATTGACCACGAAAATGGTCTTGCCGACTATAAAAAGTGGTGTGAAGAACAGGAGGCGCTGGTAGCGCAGCCAAAGATGGAACACGCGGAGTTGATCAATGCTCTTGAAGTTCTGCAACTTGAGAAAAAGAAGCTGCAGATGACATTGCATCAGCTTGGTGATGAGGAGGATGAGGAGCTTCAGCCGGAAGAGAAAAAGATGCTTGTGGAAGAGCCTCCTTCTAAAGAAGACGGTGCGGGAGAATTGTATCACCGAGTTGAGAGCAAGCTTTTGGCCATGTTCGAGAACCCGGTGAGGGTGGAAAAAGAGGCGCTGGATTTGGACGCAATTCAACAGCACCAAAAGGAGAACTACCTGCAAAGCTTGCCCGAGCGGAAAGTACCAACGGACAAGTTGAAGAAGCTGAGTGAGCTGAAGCCTGAAGATATGAAGCGTGACCAATGGCTGGATAAGATTGAGTATCTGAGCAAACTTCCAAAGCAGACTCCGAAACAACAGGAAGAGTTGGCAAAATTGAAGGACCGAGAGTGGATCTTCCACCTAGATCGGCTAGTGGCGGAGAGAGCAGAGAAGCTCCAAAGGCAGGAGCAATACGAGGCAGAGCTGCTGCGGTTCCTCAACAAGGATGCCTATCAACCCGACAGTGCTCTCGGAAAGGGCGCAAGAGCTAGGCATGGCGACGAAGACGATAAGAAAAAGAAGACAAAGCGCTCTATTGGATAGTATGTACTTACAGGCAGTTGTTCAGCTACAATCGCGACATACTTTGCTTATTTGATTCATGTTGCTGCAAATATTACCTCGAGACAAAGTTTGCAGTGCTGCTCGAGTCGAGCATGATCAATTCTAGACGATACCGACTTCTTGCTCAGGGTCAAGCGGGCGTGAAACTCCATGAGCCACTCATGACCTTAAACAGTGCTGCTTACATGTGAGAATTTGCCACGATAAGCTTTCAGATAGCAACTCCAGGATACGCAAAGCCTGGCTAAACATGAAAAAGGAGTATCCTTTTGTACTAGTGCTGACCAGACGAAGGAAAAAATCAACATTGACTGCCTATAATAAATAATGTGCATTCTCTGGGGCATTTACCGCCCCCACCAATCTTACACTTCAGAGCTGAACCTGAAGCCTATCTATACACTAGCGCTGATGCTGGCGCCTTTCTATAAACCGCATGATTCTCAGAACCTCCACAGCCTCCTCATTTAATCTATTTCATTAACTATTTTCCATCATGAGCCCTCCCAAAGTCACCATCATAGGCGCAGGTTGGGCAGGTCTAGCAGCCGCACGCACCTATGTCCTATCAACCCAGAAGTCGATCTCACAATCCTCGACGACGACACCTCCGTCGGCGGTGTCTGGAGCAAGGCGCGACTTTATCCGGGATTAATCGCCGATAGCGCAAACGGCTTATTCGAATTTTCGGATGAGACCATGGTAACGGAAAAGCAACCCATCTACAAACTCATTCCGGGCTCTCAGATCCAATCATATTTGGAGGTTACGCAAAGAAGTGGGACCTAACACGTCGCATTCGGTTCGGATCGAAAGTGGTGAAGGCTGAGCGGATAGATAAAGCAGGGAGCTACGAAGGCTGGCGCCTGTTCACCGGGAAGGGCGGTGTTCTCGAATGCTCGAAACTGATCGTGGCGAGCGGGCTCTACTCGAAACCATATACGCCCGATATACCAGGCCAAGAAACGTTCGAAGGTCTGGTTTTGCACTCTAAAGAACTCGGTGCCTCCCACCAAAACCTCGCCACTTCAGAAATTAAATCAGTCATCATAATTGGTGGCCGCAAATCCGCCATTGAGGCCGCGAACATCTGCTTCGCCGCTAAGAAACATGTGCACTGGATAGTTCGACCGTCGGATATAGGAGTCCCTTTCGTCCTGAGTGATCCTGACATGAAGCCAAATCTGATGTCAGCAAATCAAGCCCGGATATTCAGCATCTGGTCTCCGTCCATTTTCTCTACGGACGGGTTTTGGTACAGGTTCCTGCATAGCGGACGTTCGGCGTTGGGAAATCGCGTTTATCGCGGTTTCTGGAGGTTGATGAGCTGGGCCATCACGAGAGAAGTGGGATACGAGAAAAGCGCCAACGGGAAGATAGTGAAGCCTGGAGAGCCGAATGTCTTCCGAACACTGGGTAGCACGAGCTTGTTACAAAAAGGATCAAATCGGTTCCTCGAGGAGCTTCACTCTGGAAAGAATGTGACGGTTCATCGAGCGGGTTTGAAGAGCATGACCAAGGAAGGGATAATATTGGACAACGATGAGGTCCTTGAAGCAGATGCAGTAGTGTTTTGCACCGGATGGAGACCGAGCACTGACTATTTCAGCGATCAGGATGCATTAGACCTCGGACTTCCTGTACATCCGGAAAGTGAAGACCCGGAAGTGGCGAAATATTGGACGCAACTCCTCGAAGAAGCTGATGAAGAGATGGTGAAGATATTTCCGCACATGGCGGACGGCCCGCGGCCGGAATTCGTGAAGGACGCAACACAGTTCCGACTGTATCGAGAAATTTTGTTTCCAAAGCTCCTTGCGCAAGGAGACCGCTCTATCGCATTTGCTGGATTCGTGTCCAGCAGCCAAACAGCGTTCAATGCTGAAATCATGGCTTTATGGGCTGTAGCTTGGCTGGAATGGCTCATGCCCAAATCAAACCTTCCAACCGAATCAATGATGGATAAGGAGGTCGCTAGGACAACAGCATGGATGGGAAGACGATATAGGTCAGGCATTCGCGCTCCAGAGATCGTTTTCGAATCTCAGTCATATTTCGACGTATTGGTGGCGGATCTAGGGTTGGAAGTCAACAGGAAGCAAAAGGGCTTTCTCGGTACTTTCAAAGAGTGGGTCATACCTTATATGCCACATGATTACGCCGGCATCATAGAGGAGTATACGAGGAGTGTGAAGGAGGTCAAATGAATGGTATCGGGCGCTGGCCAGGAAATGACGCATATAGTGCAACTTGAATGCTTGGGATAGAAGATGAAAGAGCGAGAATGAGTCTAAGTACATAGTATCGAATGTGAAAACGGCAGATTTTTGGCTGAAATGTATCATAAAAAAGCCGAAGAAATGAGTTCTCGGGCTGTCGTGGTTTACACAACGTTGAACGAGTGAAAATTGGCGTGAACAATTTGGAAGAGTCTTGGAGCGAAGTGCGTCTATCGGATGAGCGTGATCTCGAGACTAATCCAAGACAGCCTTGATATCTGGGAAAAGGACGTCTTTACCATGCAGATTTATATTTCTTCTTACTATATATAATTAGATGCTCTACTTGAAGAGTCAGGGGTGAGGGGTGGATAGGCAAGGGTCACGTGAAAAAACAGTCTAGCCACTTTTGACTTTAGCGCACCGGAACATTTGTTCAAGCGATTTCCCGAACACAAACGATTTTGATGAGAGATTCTAGCTCTTGACGACGACATCGCAGCGAAGCGCCCCTCACGAATAACGAACCATTTCAACCTCTAATCCGTCGCTATGTCTAAGAGAGGGTACGTTACAAAATCAACAGTCCTGTTCTCTCCGCGACGCAGGTCTAGCTAACTTTTGCGAAATGTAGTCGCGGTGGTGCCTCTGGCAACAAGCTGAAGATGACTCTCGGTCTCCCTGTGTACGTCGAACACCCTCACCCCTTACCTCGCCTCGAGGCTCTCCTCGAACCGATATCTTATTCTGCGGAGCTTTGCGGTATATTGAACGAAACATTACAAGCGGGGCTGATTAAGATACAGCGGTGCTGTCATGAACTGCGCCGACAACTCAGGCGCCCGGAATCTCTACATCATCTCCGTCAAGGGAATCGGTGCTCGTCTCAACCGTCTGCCCGCTGGTGGTGTGGGTGACATGGTCATGGCAACAGTCAAGAAGGGAAAGCCGGAATTGAGGAAGAAGGTCATGCCCGCGGTCATTGTCAGGCAGAGCAAGCCATGGCGGAGGGCTGACGGTGTGTTCCTGTACTTCGAGGACAACGCTGGTGTGGTGAGTTTCTCAGAGTATTCTCCCTCGAATCTTAGAATGGCAGGGAACGGTGTAAGGCCGTACGCAGCGGAGAAGGCTGGTGGGATTGTCAAATAGCGGGGAAACACATTTTCGAGGGCTTTGCTAACTCACGTAACTTAGATCGTCAACCCCAAGGGCGAGATGAAGGGATCAGCAATCACTGGACCGGTCGGAAAGGAGGCTGCGGAGCTGTGGCCTGTAAGTATACTCTTAGATGCTTTGCGATCTTGAGCTAATTCGTATCTTAGCGTATTGCCAGCAACTCCGGTGTGGTGATGTGAGCAGGGTTTCTTCTACTGGTACTTTCGGGGTTCTGGGGCTATGCGGCATGCATCAGAGGCTGTGTCTTCAATAAATACCTGCCACTGGCAACAATCCAAACAAATGAGTAGCTATCTTGGAGCCAACCACAAAATTGAATTGACACGTGAGATTGAGCTTCGCTCGGCGCCGCTAAAACTAGTGTCTAAAGCCTAGAACCTCGCATTCTGATCACTTAGAGATGATTTGTACACTGAAACCCTGCCTTAGCACATGCCTCAAGATTTCCAACGATTTTAAGGGTCTGAATGAAGACAAGTATTACGGAAAGGCTGTCTAAGGGTGATTGGTTGACGCGGGCCTGGCCAAGCCCGCGCGTCCCCTGAATCTGAAGTGCTGTCCCGTGGCTTGCCTACATCAATTCCTAAGCGCCGCATCTCTTCGACCGTGATGTCTCAATGCGTTTTTCGTTGTTTCTGCTCCGGCTCGCCCGGCTTTTGCTACCTCTTTGTGTCATAGCGACGATCTGGCTATACTTATACCCAATCTTCCACGGTTGTGCCTTTCCTATCCCTCCAACATCATGCGCTCCCGACACCTTCGACCCTTCATCCTCCAGCCCTGCAGCGCCATTCAGGCTGCTCGCTCTCGGTGATCCCCAACTAGAGGGCGATTCTTCGCTCCCAGATGCCAACGATCCGGCGTTCCCTAGCGTACGGCGGCTCCGCACAGTCCTCGAGGCACCGACCCCGCTGTCAGAGAAATGGAAGGAGGGCACTGCCTGCGTGTTGAAGTTCTGGAAACATGATATCCTTCATTTTCTCAAGGCAACCCGAAAGCGACTCGACCTATGGGGGAATGACTACTACCTCGCTCATATCTACCGCTCCCTCCAGGATCACACTGAGCCTACCCATGTCTCCGTTCTGGGCGACCTTCTGGGGAGCCAATGGATAGGAGATACTGAATTTGAGCGCCGCGGGCGGAGATTTTGGAATCGCGTGTTTGAAGATGCAGAACGAGTGCCGGATAAGATTATGGAGGACTCGGAATACGGACCTTGGATAGAAGAATTGGGCCATGACGAAGCCTGGAATAAGAGGATCATAAATATCGCGGGCAACCACGACGTTGGATATGCCGGCGATTTGACGGCGCATAGAGTGGAGAGGTTCGAGAGGCTTTTCGGGAAAGTGAACTGGGAGGTCACTTTCACTCTACGAAATCACACACCTCCAACAACATCCAGGTCGACAGGGGACCAAGAAAACCTGGAGGGCACTGAAGATGCTGGATTGGAGGGAAGCGTTTCTGAACCACCAGCAATACGCATTATAGTCCTGAACTCGATGAATCTGGACACTACGGCTATCTCTCCAGAGCTTCAGAAATCGACATACGACTTCCTGAACTCTGCTATTTCAAACTCTCGCCCCGTCGAGGACCACACGACTGCAACGATTCTGCTCACTCACATTCCTCTACATAAGGAAGGTGGGATTTGTAAGGATGCGCCTTTCTTTGACTTCTATAAGTCTGGTGGCATTCGAGAGCAGAACCATCTGAGCCCCTTCGCAAGTAAAGGAATCCTAGAAGGCGTTTTCGGTCTCAATGCCAATGAACACGCTCCTGGAAAGGGTCTGGGAAGGAAGGGAATTGTGATCAATGGTCACGACCACGAGGGCTGCGATGTGGTGCATTACTTGAACCGATCCTCTGCGGCAACTCCTGAGAGCGAGTCGGCCGAAGAATCCGATGCCGACTCTGAGGAGCCACAATGGAAAGCTATGCGCACGCCCAAGACAGGAGGTCTTGATCCCTCCGCAGATGATATACCGAATATACGAGAAATAACCTTACGAAGTATGATGGGCGAGTTTGGGGGCTATGCAGGATTTTTAAGCGCCTGGTTCGACGAGAGTCTGGGTAAGCGTGGCGAGTGGACGTTGGAGTATGCAAGCTGCAGTTTGGGTGTTCAGCATTGGTGGTGGGCTGTCCACGTACTCGACCTCGTCGTGCTGGTATTAGCTGCTCTAGGGGTGATCATATGGACATGGGAGCAGATCTTAGCACCGGAAGTCAAGGTGCCGTCAGAGGATAAGAAGGTGGAAACCGTCCAAGCGCAGAAGAATTAACGATACACGTGCGTCGAATATATTACGTTGTATCAATCATGTTCTATAGATCCTCCTTTGAGCATTCTTCATCTGTACTCATTAATCACTTCTTCCTACCAGTAGCAATCACCGCCTCACCATGACACACCACCTCCCCCTCCGCCCCAAAAATCTCCGTCAACCTCTTCTCTATAACCCCAGTCATGAGCGGCTTACACCGCTCCCTATCCTCCTCACTCCAGTACACATTCTGAATAACCGTCAACGGCATAAAAAGCACCTTACTCGCAAACACCGCCGGCGTGCCACACTTAAACGTCCTCTTCTGCACCACCGCATCCACCGCCTCAAACCCCGCCGCGCTCAGCGTCTCCTTCGTCCACTGCGGCTCCCACCACCTCCCCTTCATAATCGTCCCCATGAACTCCGCCTCGCTCGGGTTCCGCGGCGGCCCCGGCAGCGTCTCCAGCGCATCGCGCACGAACTCGCGGTACCAGTCGATCGTGTGCCAGAACGCGAGGCCGACGGCGCCGCCGGGCGCGAGCACGCGGTGCAGTTCGGCGAGCGCGACGAGGGGGTCGGGCATGTGGCCGATGCCGAAGGTGCAGAAGGCGTGCGTGTAGGCTCCGGAGGGCAGTTTGGTGTCCTGCGTTTCGAAACGGTAGCAGTTAGCCTCGACTGCCGCGAGCAAGAGGGATGGGGGGGGGGGGTTTACGGACCATTCCGTCCATTATTTTCGCTTCTGTTCCTGTCCATCCTTGGTCTTTGATTCGGTTTTGCAGATGCGAGATCATGGCCTCAGATGTGTCGCCACACGTGACTTTGAGGTTTTTCCGCACGTCGTTCTGGTCGCTTAGGAGGTCGTAGAGCTGGTCCGCGACGACGCCGGTGCCGCACGCCATGTCGAAGACGGCGAGGGGGCTGCCGGAATGATTCTGAATACCGGCTTGCTCGAGCGCGGCGCGGGCAAAAGGGCCAGATGCTGCTTCTGCAAGCGCGTACATCTGGGCGACGGAGGGGTCGGCCCAGCCGGCGTTTACGTTGGAGGGCATTGTTGCTGAGCGTTTTACGTAGTGAAGAGAAAATGATGGGTAGGGGTGTAAAGTAGAGAGAGAGAGAGACAAGAAATGCAAAAGAATAGGTATTTATATACGCTTCATACCGCATCCCTCCCTCCCCACCCAAGCATACGGTCTTACATCACTCAACCACCCCTACGAGCTACACCGACTCTAGCATCCAATCTTGTCTTCGAATCAGAGACAGAGGTGCGTAGATATCCTCAAGGTGTTTGGAATTTAGTAGTACTTTCGAGTTTTGGTGCTGACATCCAGATAGCAGGGGAAAGAAGTCGCCGGCGCTAAGCCAAACGGAGACTTTTCAGAGACACTATCCACTTTTCACATTCGTTGCAGCTGAATACGCATACAGTGCGTGCGCTCTGTTTGGAAACAAGACGTCTTCTTTTACTCCGTGGGCTTCCGACTACAGCCTGCAACGAATCCGAGCGGAACGCATTCACTGCTTCAAATGGCGGAGGCAGATGTATGGATTAAGGTTCGCTAATTTCACTGCATTGAGGCGGGGCCGTGGCACTTTACATCAATTCGGCTTGATAAAGCAAAGAGCAAAGTTCATACGATATCAATGCACGTTCTGGATGCCATCGGAAGTATTTACAAATGTTATTCCATGTTCCATCAACAAGCCTCCGCCCTAGCTATCGTACAAGTACGTTCCTAATTTTTGCAAAGCCAAGAAAGCGAAAAAGGTTACTCCTGAGGGTCTAGCGAATGCGACCGGGTATCCAAGTATTGAACCAGTAATAGGAATTCGTTCATATCGTGAAGCGTGCGGAAAGGTCATGGTGTTGATGTGGTGGGAGCGAGTGAAGAAATGAGATGCGGATGATTGGTTGAATAATGCGCCAATGAGATTTAGCCGCAGAGACCAGGGACTGTAAGAGCAAGTCAGCAAGGGCCCATTCCAACATCCATGAAGTCGACCCGAACAACATCGCAACAAAAATGTAGTAAAGAAAGAGCTTGGGATCGAGGGACTTACCATTTCGGGTTGACACGGGCGATGGGAAGATACCCTCTGCCAACAGGTCCTGCATGTCCCACTCCGGTGCGGACTCCGTCTTCCAGGTCCACCAGATCCAGCCAGAGGCCTTCTCGAACGCATCTAGCTGCGCGTTGATGAAATTTTTTATATTCGACTTGTCGGCATCCGAGAGACCGGCGACAGTCCCAGTGTACTTTCCATCGCACGATCCAACGGAAGTCGATCCAGAGAAGGTACCATCGTAGCGAGCACCAATGCCGAGACCATTGAGCCACTTCGCGCAGTCGGTGATGGCGCCTGTGAACTCGCCTGCGATGGTCCATTTGCCGGTGCTTGCCATGTCGTTACCAAAGCTGCACGCGGTTGCCACGTGCTCGCTTGGAGACTGGGCGACGGCATCGTTGTCAAAGATCTCGTAATGGTGAGTGTCGAGGAGCAAACTCCACATGCCGGAGCCCCAGTCGCCCCAGTTCGTCACGCCTTGGAAGGCATCGTGGAAGGTAATGGCGACGTCGGAGTTCTTTAGGTTACCCCAGCCATCCATATAAAATTGGCGTACGGTGTCCATGTTCAGATCCCAACCCATAGGCTCGTTGACGAGCTCGATTGCGGCTACGGCGGGGTGGGAAGCGTGGTCGTCACGGATCTTGTTGAGAACGTTGATGGTTTGATCATAGGTATTACCTTGGGTCCAATCGATGGCGCCAAGGCGACCAGAATTGTCGAAGCCATTTTGGGACCCGGGTGCTTTGTCCCAGTCAGAATGATGAGTCGGAGCTGAAGAGAATAATTAACTTACCACCATGCAGGTCAATCATCACCTTCAGGCCCGCGCCCGCGGCCCAATCCAGAGACTTGCCCAAAACATCATACGCACCCTGGACGTACGGCTCGCCATCAATTGGGATCACACTCCAGTAGCCGATGGGGATTCGGACGTGGTTGATTCCGTGGCTTGCGATCTGCTGGAAATCGTCTTCGGTGATCCACGAGTTCCAGTGATCAGAGAGGCGGCTGAGGGCCTCATCCTTTCCGAGGGTTTGGGTGAGAGTGTACTCGTCCTTGACGGTGTTGCTGTCGGCCCACTGCTCGAAGATGCTCGGCGTTATCCAGGGCTCCAGCACAAACCAGCCGCCGAGGTTCACGCCTCTGACTTTCTCTCCGTTATAGTCGAACTTGAGATCTCGCTTCACCGGAGTCCTAACAGGAATGAGTACGACCGAAATGGGACGAGCAATTGCACAAGACTTACATTGGTGCAGCATTGCTCAACGCGGCGCAGAGCAATAGCGCAGCCGTAGCAGCGGCTCTGAAGCTTCGGACCATAGTCGCGGTGGTCACCAGTAACACGGTGGGTGGTGCTAAAGTGTGTGTGGTTAAGCGATGGTGTAGCAATGCCATTCACTGGCGATAGTAGCATAAAATAGTTGGTTAGGGATGAATTGCTGACGGCAGACGTGCAACGAAGCTTGAGCAAATACACATTGTTCGGGGCAAAGCTGATTTATAGCAGCTCCAGTCGAAGCCGTCGCGTGAAGGGCAGGAGCTCTCCACCACAGACAAGATCAACATCAACAGCTCCCAACTTTCTTGCCGGGTTCATGACGCTGGAGAGAGGGCGTGGGCGCAGCCAGTGAGAGAGGAAGTACAGCCCCACCGTCTGACCTGCAGCGAACGGCAGGCGGCCTCTGACGCTGAGCTGGCGCGCGATGTGCATGGTGGTGAGCTCTCTTTGGGCGTCCGCCGAAGCGGCACGGAGGAACAAGCAACAGCTGGACAAACAAGCTGGTCCCCGAGCTTGCAGGCCCGGGACGCAGGGCTCACCTCGGCCCAGATGCGGCAGTCAGGTACCGCGTCGGGATTGGCTGTCAGAGCGCGCTCATGATGCACGGCTTGCGGAGGGCTGGAGCCACGCCGTCTTGGGCGTTGCTTGGCTTGCGGCCTGCGTGCTTTGGGCCACGATCGCCAGCCTGAGAAGCCGGTTGGAAGGTGTCATTATGCGGGGAAGCTCTGCGGTGTGGCGGCGTCCCTTGCGTGGTGAACCCGGTGACATAATGCATGGAGCTGCTCACCGACTTCGGCACACGAGACAAGAGTCAGTAGCAGCCTCGGAAGTGGCAGTGACCGCGCCCTAGACTTCCAGCACACGATAGCAGACTATGAATATCTCCTTTGGCAGGGCCAAGGTGGCTGTGGAGAAGGCTCTTGTACCTGTGCCCTGTCATCCGACTCCTTCGTGAGAACGGAAGCCGAGCCACAGTCAGCACTGAGAAGCATCAAGCACGCCGCAGACCGGCATCTTCCATGGCAGCTGCCCGATCCTCATCCCCCACCACGAGCCAAAGTGACACTGAAACGATCTGCTTCCCACCGACCACGCGCTGGCCGCCATCGCGCACCCATGGCGTCACACCGCGAACATCATCGCCGCAAGCCCGGCAGATCCTCACCCTCCAGCTTCAGCGCCCGCGATTTCGGCCTCTGACTGCAAATGGGGCAGGTCACAAGCGCGAGCCGATCGCTGGCCCGCTCTGGGAAGAAGTGGTGCCGTTGTAAGGTGTGTATTTATGGTTAGGTAATGACGGTGCGGGCAGCTTATAGTGCTGCACCTATTAGAGCGCCTATAGAAGGCGCCTCGCTGTCATATACTCTAATTTATTGCCGGGCCTAAGCTACTGCGGCTGAAATGCGGGTTTTTTCTGACTTGTCATCTGATGAGAGTAGTACTGCTTGTGCGGGTGGTGTAGTAGCACTGAGACTTCACGATGCGGAGAATCTCGGCTTTCTAAGTTAGGAAGCTGCTTGCATCAGCTGAGCCGACGAAGTTTCGTGTGTAGGATCTGTGATGGAGTTGATTTGAAGCGTTTGCATGTCACACAGCATCGTCGAGTCCGTGATGACAGTGTGCGGAGTCGAAGATGTAGGTGGTATCGCCATGGAGAATTGAGGCCGAGGTTGAATCACTGACCTCACTGTGGTATATTGTGCACTGTTGCTCACCGAGCCCATCCACTAAAGCATGCATAATGGCGTAAACATATATACTCCAACTGCGCAAACGCTCCGTCACGTAGTCGATGCCAGCCCCGGAGACAGAGGTTTCCTCCCATAGACCACGTGCAGGTTGCAGTACGAGTGCACTTGTCGGTTCTTCAAGTCTTTTCGGACGCCTGCTAGATGGACCTGCGTTGCCTCGTTGCTCCAGCCCAATACGCGTGTAAATAACGCCAAGGAATATGCCTCAACTGCCATGAGCAGCGAGCACAGGTTGTATCGACCGATTTCCTTCATCCTCGGGTCTTTGGGCCATGGAGATGATGGAACCTATAATAGTGTAAGTGTCAGAATCATATCACAGTCTGTGACCTAGGACAAGTATCCACCTTGTAAATGTCATCCGTCACATCCTCAAACCCAGCATCAATCATTGTCTGTTTATGCGTCTCGGCAATGTTCATCGGCTTCTTGAACATCTCGCTCGCCTTGTGCAGATGCTCTATGTATTCGCAAAACGTAGGCGCCAGTTTCAGTGTGTCGTCGTCCGACTTCAGCGTTACCTCGAATTCCTGTAGCTCGAGCCACCCCCCAGGCGCCAAGTGTTCATACGCCTGTCGCATCAGCTTAGGCCAGTCGCTGATCGATCCGCCCAAGTCGCGAGTGTGGATGTAGTCAAAAGGTTTGCTGTAGACCCACGGGAATTCCGCATTTTCGATCTGAAAGTGCAGATTGGGTGGCACCCATGAAGGCTGAATGGGTGAGAGATCCGTTCCAAGAACTTCAGCTTCGGGCATATCATCAGCAAAGTCAATGGCCCAGATCCCAGTTCCTGTGCCGACGTCGATGACTCTCTGTGGGTTCTTGATGGGCGCGAGAAACAGCTTGCCGCCTAGTGTGAGGTTGCGAACGTGGTGTAGGAGGTCCTGCCGGTCTTGCTCAGCCTCGTCGTTTGGCAGCACGTATTCGCCCTCGCGATAGCCGTGATATCTGCGACCGTTCTCATACTTGTAGTTCTTCACTGCAGATGCTAGAGAGGTGCTGTAGCTCGACGTGTCTGAGAAGCTGTCATCAACGCCCGAGTCGTTAGAGTCAGCCTCGAGCAGCTGGGCGGGCGGGTCAGTGGCTGTCGCCATGATGTCTGGTGGGATGGAGGTTAGGAAGATAAGGAGGCCTCAGCGGCGGCAGAAGCTCCGGCGGACATGACGACTTCATATACCTCACGCGGTTTTTTCTTCTAGGGCTGGGTAGGCAACGTGTGGGACCCTTGGACTCCCGGGAACCTGGGTTGGTGTGGAAGCTACAAGGGGGCTACCTGAGCGGGCTGCCGGCGCTCCCTGCAAGCGTCTCTGTTAGTGCTTACAATCGCCACATCGCCACATGAAAACAGTGCTTATTCAGTAACTAATATTTCGTTGGGCCGCCATCAGCAGCAATTACAGCAAGGCAACGCTCCCTCATATTGCCCGTATACTTTTCAAATTCTTCGGGCTCAAGCTTCTCCCATTCCTCCTCAGCGTACTGCCGTACTTCCTCCTTTGTTGTAGGAAACCGGCGTTGTATTCTCCCCTTCAACAGCCGCCAAACGTTCTCAATTGGATTCAAATCAGGGGAATTCGCCGGCCATTCCATTACAAGCATGCCGTTCTGTTCCCAGGCCAGGCGCGTCGCTTTTGCTGAGTGAATTGAGGCATTATCCTCTACAAGAATAGGCTGGTGTCGTAGTGTCTGCCATAATTCCCATGCAAAAGTCTTGATATTGGGGCATATATAGGTACGGTAGACGTCGCCGTTTATCGTCTTTCTCTTGTATCCCAGTTCAATTGACCAGTCCTTTTCAAAAACAACCAAAGGCCCCTTATTCCTATGGGAGATGCTGCCATGAATCATCCAGCTAGAATACCCCCTAAATTTAGGGACACAGCAATTAATATCGTATTTCTCCTCAGCACGCCTAGTAACAAAGATCTGGCCTCCTCCGGTTCGAATGGACGCTTCATCGGTCCAAATTACTGCTGCCCACATCTCGGGAGTCCATTCCAGATGAGAATAGGCCCATTTAAGACGGGCCTCTCGCTGCTCAGGCGTGATAAGGGGCTTCTCTGTTGCAACACGCCGGAAATAGCCCTCTTTTTCAAATGCCTTATATAGGGATCGCTTGCAGGCAGAGACCCCCTCTAGCATTGCAATCTCCTCTAACGGCTTCCTTCGGTGGATACGATCAAGCTTAGCCCGGGCAATAAGGCGCTGTCGAGTTGGAGTATCAAGATTCGGTTTTCTCCCTCTCTGTTTTTGAGGGGTCCACGGATTCTGGAGAGAGAGAGCATTGGATATAGTTCTGTAAGGCACACCAAGAGAGGAACCGATCCTTCGGTTATTCCAGCCAGCGTATCGAGAGAGGGAGAAAGCAATATCACGCTCTCGGTAGGAGAGACGGGTGCCCGGATCTCGAAGAATAGGATATTGAATTGGCCGTGGATGGTGGCCATTGTTCCGGCGTACAAGATTCGGCATTTTTATGATATAAAATACAAGGGCCCCTGCCGTTGTTTTATATTATCTAGCTATTCTGGTGGCTTCTGCAGATTTATAATACGCTTACTGTGGCTAAAACAACGCCAGCGCTAGCAGGGAGCGCCGGCAGCCCGCTCAGGTAGCCCCCTTGTAGGAATGTGGCTTCAGCTGGGTTTCTACGGATCTATTCTCGCCAAAAACGCGGTTCGTCCTCGCCGAGGACGCTCTCGATGACCGTGATGCATAGGCAAGTGTATAAGCTGCATTTTGACACAATTATTAGGTAGGACTACGACGAAGCGTGGAATAGAAGGGAGGCAAGAGGGAAATGTCACCCGCAAAGTATGGTACACCGTTGGCGCACGGGCGGGAACGGCGGGAACTAGAATCTCGACAACGGCGCGAGCTGTCGAGCTGAAGAGCTGAAAAGAAACCATGGTTCGTATATTGGGCCGTCGGACCCTTAGTTTCTACAGAGAATGCACATTGCCGTACTCAGCGGCCAAGTTAGCGCTTTCTCATCGTGATATTACTTACCTCCACAGGTCCTTTACTTTCATAGTCCGCGCACGTCACCCCTAGCGCTCACCTCGCGTGGAGAAGGAGATAAGACGCCGCAGCGGGGACTGGCAAGCCAAATCCGTAAAGGAACGCCTGCAGGCGCCTAAAGCATGCCTCTTGAACCGTCATGCGGCCCGGTCCTCTCGAGGGATCCCGGCTGCTTGAAACCCGGACATCATCGTCCGCTCAGCACTGTTCACTGTCGTACAACCACGTTTCAACGCCTCTCCAGCAAGCAGTCATGTCAGCATGGCTGACAGGTACCGCGTGGTCGGGAAACCCGGCCGTTCTTCTCGCGGGCGCTTTTGTTCTATTGGTAGGTTCAACTTCTGAACGCTCTCTGTGGACAGGTTCCCTGGTTGAGCAAACAGAGTCCTTCCAACCGTTGATCGAAACCACCAGGACCCTTGTTGTCAACTAGTACGATGGCTAACGTTTTTCACAGTTTTTACTACAATGGGTGTACAAAGTAGTGTATAATCTCTATCTAGCCCCACTGCGGAACTTCCCTGGACCAAAGTTGTGGGCCGTCTCGCGCCTTCCCTACGCACTCTCTGTCACGAGAGGTCACCACCATGTGAGTAACAGGATTATTCCCAGTCATACCTCAAGGAAGTTTAGTGACCCCGTTAGCTTGATATTCTAGAACTACACAAGCGCTATGGCTCTGTAGTTCGCATCTCGCCTCACGAATTAGCCTTCAACTCTGCCCAAGCGTTCCGAGACATATATGGATTTCGCCCTGGACATCAAAGCTTCAGGAAGGATAGGACCCATTACGTCTATCCTCCGAATGGGGTCGACCATCTCGTGTCTGCCGTCGATGATGGCGTACACGCAAGACACCGTAGACTCCTCGCGAATGTCTTCAGTGAGCGAGAGTTGAGAGCACAGGAGCCTCTGATCCGAGGTTATGTAGACCTCTTGATCTCTAAGCTGCAGCTCCAGATCCAGGAAGGGAAGGGGGCCAGTGTCGACATAAGGAGCTGGTTCAACTACACGACCTTTGACGTCACAGGCGACTTGATGTTTGGAGAGTCCTTCGGCTGTTTACGAGACAGCCAACTGCATCCTTGGATAGCCCTAATATTCGCATCGATGAAGGCCCTTGCTTTCCTGGGCGCGGTCAATCAGTACCCTGCTTTTAGTGCGGTCTTGCAAAAGATGATACCTGCAAGTATCATTCAGAAGGGAGTCGACCATTTCAACCTTAGCGCAAGAAAAGTCGATCGGCGCCTAGAGATGGGCGCTGAAAGACCGGACTTCGTGTCTGCCATACTCAAGAACGGATTGAGTGAAAAGGAGGGACAATATGCCGAGGCTGAGACGATAATGACGAGAGCTGAGATTCACTCAAACGCCTTTATGTATGTGAGGCCCGATACCGATTTCGATTATTCGTTTGTGCTGACATGAGATAAGCTTGATTGTTGCAGGCAGTGAGACATCTGCGACACTTTTGAGTGGTGCCATATACTACCTCTGCAAGAATCCGTCAACTATGGAAAAAGTCCTGGAAGAGATCAGGAACGCGTTCACTGCAGACAACGACATCACCTTTTCGAAAGCCACGACACTGTCATACCTCAACGCCGTGATTGAGGAATCGCTTCGAATCTATCCACCATTCGTGACCAGCCTGGCGCGACTCGCTCCTGCAGGAGGTGATACCGTTGACGGCCATTTCATTCCCGAGAACGTGAGTTGCTAGTTTCGACGAATCTAATCTCATTTGAAAACGGAAAAACTGACCAGTCCAATAGACAACCGTGGCGTGTCACCACTACGCATCGTATCATTCCCCTTCGAATTTTGTGTCGCCGGATGATTTTGTTCCGGAAAGGTGGCTCGACACAGACTCGCGATTTGCAGAGGACAAGAAAGATACCGTCCAAGCTTTCAGTCTTGGGCCAAGGAACTGCATAGGAAAGAAGTGAGTAGAATCCCTGTTGCGCCTCCCATCTTGGATGGTCCTTGAGTAAGACCTCATATTGACCTCTTGCGTAGTTTGGCGTATGCCGAAATTCGCTTGATTCTATGCAAGGTTCTTTTCAATTTCGACATTGCACTCTGCCCTGAAAGCGAACATTGGAAGGATCAAGAGGTCTACTTTCTTTGGGACAAGCCCCCTTTAGTGGTGAGTCTGACGGAGAGAGCCGTGACAGTATAGGATTACTATTGCAGATGATACATACATTACTTCGCGGAAGAGTAGACAGGAACTTCGAACCAGCATTTTCAAGTTTTAACGAGCTTAGTTAATAAACGAATTGAAGATGCGACTGAAGAGCAGCTGAAGGGTGAAGTCCTGCGCGTTTCCGCATCAGACGCTCTTAAAAGTCCGGGCCTCTCTAGAATTTCTAATTGTGCTCAAAGTATATCCAGGTCATGCAACCGTGATGAAGATACTATTGAGTGAAAGCGGCGGAGATGGAGCGTATTGTCGAGAGTTGTAGAAGCTTCTCGGCGCTCGTAGTGGCAGTGGCGCACCACCTCTCAACTTCGTCATCGCCCGCACCTTTAAACCACCACCATCCCCACCTCTCCAACGACATCTTACCCCATCGAACTCAATCAAGATGGCGTTCGTCCTACCGCGCACCTTCACCATCTCGGCGACCCTAAAGCAGGCGCCAAAAGCTTCGCGGTCCGCTTTCCGCGCCTTCCACAGCTCGCCACCGAAAACCTCGAACTTCTTCATATCCAAGACCTCAAACTTCTCCACATCTAAGCCCATCGCGCCCGCGCTCTCCAAGTCCCAAAATGTTTTCCGTGCCACCTTCAGGAGGACGTACATGCAGCAGGCGCCCCCTATCGCCCCGACCGGCGACCTACGACAGCGTCTTCTATACGGTGCTGGCATCTTTGGGGGAACACTTCTCGCTATAAATCTGGTGTTTAACCGTGAGACGCGAGAGGATGGCGGCATGCCTGTCTACGAGCGAAGCTACTTGAACGACACCTTTCTGCATACGGGGTTGGGAATCGGTATTATTGGTGTGGCGGCGCGAACGCTGCACATGAACGGATGGAGCTACAGGCTCATGGCAATGAACCCGTGGGTGGTTCTGGGCGTTGGACTAGTCGGTAGCATTGGGACTATGTACGGGACTATGGCTACAAGCCCTACAAAGTGAGTATTTTTCCAGATGAACGGATTTTACGGTATGAGATACTAACAAAGACACAGCTACATCCAAAAGTACACCCTCTGGACCGGCTTCAACATCACGCAAGCCCTCCTCCTCTCGCCCCTCATGTTCTACAATCCCGCCATCCTCGCCCGCGCCGGTCTCTACACCGTCGGCATGATGGGCAGCATCGCCTTCGTTGGCGCCACCGCCAAGCAGGAGAAGTACCTGTACCTCGGCGGACCACTCCTCGCCGGCGTGGCCATCGTCGCCCTCTCTGGTCTGGCGCCTATGGTCATCCCCGCTACCGCTGCCCGCACGCTCATGTGGACTGAGAACATCTGGCTATACGGCGGTCTCGCCGTCTTCGGAGGCTTCACGCTGTACGATGTGCAGAAGGTGCTGCACCATGCTCGACTCGCGGAGCGTGGTGTGATTGCCAAGGACCCGGTCAATGAGTCTGTCAGCCTGGAGCTTGACTTTATCAACATCTTCATCCGGATGGTGCAGATTCTGGCTATGCAGGGGAACAGGAGGAAGTAGGCAATCGTGCATTTGATGGAATGGGTTCGAGCGTGAGCAGAAGTGAAGCAAGCACTTATATCAGGAGGATGGGCTTTTTGGAGACGGCGTATGGAGCTGAAATATAACATTACCACTCGTCCTCCCTTGAGGAAAGTTGGCCTCCTTTCTTTATGTGGTCTCCGCTCTTAGTGGCATAGGTAATCATAAAAGAAAATACAATATCCTAGAACTCAACTTGCGCGTAGATTATGTCCAGATCCGGGCTTTACTGGGTCCGAATCTTCAGGCCTTCAAACCACCTGAGCCACCTTATGCATATGCACGAATTCAGGAGCTAGATGCAAAGATTCAAGGACAATATATCAACTTGTAATTACTACTGACCTAAAGCTAGGTGCATAATCTACTACACCCTAAAGTAAGACTGCATTCCGTGCTTTTTACCGGCCAATTAAACCCCGCATGCCACCTTATGCCTATGTACGAAATTAGAAGCAGGATGTAAAGGTTTTGAGAGCGTATATTAGCTTGGAGTCACTGCTAATCTGAAGTCGGATGTATATTCTACTACACCCTAAATCAGGTCCACGTTGCTTGCTTCTTGCTAGCATACCGGACTGTTCGAGCTACCTCACGCCTATGCATGAAATGAGAAGCAAGATGAAAAAGTTCTGAGAGCGTATATCGGCTCGTAGTCACTGCTGATCTGGAGCTATATGTATGTTCTACCAGGCCGGCAGACTAGATTATGCCTATACAACACAGGACTATCGTTCTAGAAACTCGCCCCATCTGTCAACTTCTCCTAGTAGACGCTCGGCCTTCTGCCACGTTCACCTCCTCCCTCCGTACTGTAAGGCCACGTACACCTCCTAGCGCCGCTTTTCAGGCCTTCCAGGTCTTGTAACTCAGCGAGCTGAAAAGGTATCATTTGTCGGCAGTGTGTAAACACTACAGCCTCCCGACCTCAGAGCCCTAACACAAAAAACACGTGCATATTCCCAATAACCCCACGAAAAGCGGCAGAATCCTTGAAGCAAGCTTGCGGCAAGACACATCATGCGAACTATGTGTGGCCGTTTGCTTCATGGCCAGTACAACGGTGTCATGAAGTGATTGGGGCGTGTGTGAGTCGTGAAAGGGAGCCCATGTGCCAGATGCGGCCAGTGTGGGGAACATGCAGCGAGGAGGGTCACGTAGCCTAGATATATAGCTGTAAGAGTCGGGATATAGTGCGGGCGTTGCGGCCAGATCTATGAAAGGAGTGGAGTGGAGGATGGAGGAGGCGGCATTAGCTCGGAAGCCTGTAGCACGCTATACACATCTGCGAAGAAACGGCCAGGCACGAGAGACTATCGGCATCATCAATGTGCCAATGTGTTAGTATGTGTCAGTATGTGATCTGCTGTGGATATCTTCAAGTTAGTCTTTAACGAAGCGACCAGCAGGCCTAAGCTCCTCCCAACAACACCACCAAACATGTCACAGCAAACAAGGACCAAAATCCCAAGGAAAAGCGTTACACACTGTATGTATTGTGCCTACATCGCCAGTCGTGGGTACTCATTAACCGCCTGCCGAACTCTCAAAGCCGCATAGATTCCGATGTTCCAACTCATCGTGCAAACATAACGCCACGCCCTTGGGTATCCGCTGCCATCGATTGATGCAAGCCGCTAGGAAATCTGCCAGTAAGGCACGCTCGCTCCAAAAAGACCACTCGCTGGTGGTGTCCAAGACCAGTCATTTCGGTCCCGCTCGCTGTGCGCCTCGCGTTGCCACTAAAATTATCCCCGGCTCCTCCGTTTACCTCCCCTCACCTCACATGACCACGCACTTGATAAGCCTCCGTCCTGGACTGGCGTCCTCCGTAGAAGGATGAATGTGTTGCAAACGGCTCTGGGCACGGCTCTGGGCCCGACTCTGGGCCCGCGGAGGTGCCGTCATGGGCTCTCGGTGTGAGTGGACTCCTGCATGCGGCGCGGTGATTAGAGATGGCAGCATCGGCCGCCTCGTATGCTGGCCTCCACTCGCGGCACTCAGACCAGTGTTATGAACACTAAAAGACTCGGCAGATGCGACGCGTCTGGTCCCACGACGACTTGACGCTCGATTCAGCGAGGCGAGTTGCTGATCAGATGGCTGGTACCGCGCCGGCCTAGAAGCGTCGCCAAGTATCGGGTTTCCGTCACTCCTCATGTTTGCTAGCGTTGATAGATGGGAAGTCAAGTGCGACGGACGCCGGGTTGGGGTAGCGGCCGACCGAGGGAAATATTCTTGCCCTGAGTTCGCAGAATGTGGAGACGAGGGGCTAGCGCGCGACCGGCTTCCCAACACAGCTCGCGAAACAAGAGGAGATCGAGGTCCCGGATACGTGCTTGGGTGCACTAACGACGGCCGGCGTTCTGGAACATTCAAAGAGGGAGACTCCGTGGACGAGACCATCAACATTGTATTAGGTCCGACGGGAATAGCTCGAGATGAGCTGGTAGGGGTCGGTCGTCCCGTCAGGGGAAGCACCGGAGGAGGAAGTAATGAGTCGGTTGACATGGACTCTGGAGGTATTTGAGCTGGTGGGATGATCGAGGGAAGAGATGGATGATTGGTTGGTATTGGAGGAGGGAGACGCAGAAGAGGATCTATATTCGCTTGGGGGCCCAGCGGGTGCGTCAGACTGATACTGGTAGCCTCAGGTCCAGGAGGGTCGGCATTAGGTGTATATGGTGGAGGTGGCGGTACCCAGTTATCGGCGTCGGACTCATGAGGTATTTCCCGCGTACCATCCGCTCTCCTATAATCTAGGGGCCGGAAAGGAAGGGCGCGAAGGTGCCTCCTATTGGCAGGAGATACGGCCGCAACGGTTGCCGCCCGCTGAAGAGACATTTGAGATCGTGGCTGGGAATGATCGTATGGGACCTCGAATGCTGCTTGGACCTCGTCCCCGTCGAGTTCATCATCCTCTTCGTCATTCCTAATGATGGTTGGCAGCGGAGGTCTTCGCTCTGCGGTTGCTTCGCGGCTGCTTGTTGTCTGAGATCTACCGAGAGCTCTAGAATTTCTAGCAGTTCTCGTAGCTGCCCGATCAGCCGTCCTGCGTTGAGCGACCGTCCGGGTACGCACGAGCTCCACTTCTCGCTCGAACTCGATATTCTCTTCAGGAAGCTTTTCTCCTGGTAGGAGAGTATCCAGGTCGTATGTCGTCCTGATCGGAACGGCGTTGTCTGTAGGCCCCGTTCTGGTCCGGTCGAAATCCATTACCACTACTACGCCACTCGAGCTGTGGGACAAGGGGCGCAATTCCTCATCCCCACCAAAAGTAATACCACGTGACACATTTCCAATTGCAATCAGCCGCTCGACGTTAGGACTGTCCGGAATGGTTGTCCAACGCAAGGCAGCTATTTCTTGATGCATGGAAGCATCTCCTTGAAGCACTGGTATGCAAGCACACGGTTCTAGCGGTGATTGGTCACTCCCGTGCTCCGCATTGAGCTTGTATGATGGGTCTTCTCCTAGTGAGGATTCGGGAATACGATAGAACCAAATGCTCGTCGTGTTCTGCTTCCTGAGAGCGATGGCGACATGATCCGCCTTCGGGGAGACCGCCGGCAGAGCATCATCTAAAAACTCAGCACGTGTCCACCGCTGCTCTTCAGGGAGAAAATCCTTCTTTTCTGTAAATGTTAAACCTGCCAAGTCGAAAATGCCCCAGGAGCCCTCCGTTGCATCAAAAGCAAACAGTTCGTTGACCTGGCCGGTGGATGAATCGGGGAGTAGACTAGCCTGTCGAGCGACTTTGATCTTTTCTGGAAACAGTATCTGTGTAGTCCACGCCTTGTCTACCTCTTGTTGAATTGGGATTCCTTCTTCGGTGAATGGGCCGTCGAAAGCGCCGTGTACAGTGAATATGGTAGACGTGCCTGACTGGCGGGCGAATGTGGTTGCCAAAAGGGTCCTTCCGTCATCCGAGAATTGCAAGGTATCCATCCGTGGAGATGAGACATAGCGCTTATTTGCCTCGGTCGCGTTCGGTGCCAAAGACATGACCTCAATGCCAAATTCATTTCCAGTGGCCAGCACGAGGCCTTCTGGAGTCAGGGCTATAGAATTGGAGTCGTACTCTAGCAGGATAGTCCTCTCCTTCACAATTGGTTGGTCTCCTTCGCTAGGGAGTCGGTACACATCTACCTTGCTGGGAGTAGAGAGCACGGCGAGCAATGTCCCATCGTCCAAGATATCCAAGGCCACTGGCTTCCTCCGTACCTCGAGTATGCGTGTGAACAGCCGCGGCAGCTGGGTAGCATTGATCAGCCAGATGTTGGTCGCTCCGTATATGGCGATGAGCGAGCCTTTGCGAGAAACAAAGAAGCCAAAGGACTCGGGCAGAGCGGACGACGAGGCGGTACTGGAGACGAGGTCCAAGATGGTGGTCCTGGGGCTGGAATGGCCCTGTCGCAGTTTTGCGGGCTGTTCGTCGTCGGTCACGGCCGATGTGCGGGCGGTCGAGTTAGCCGACAGTTCTGAGGAGGAGAGGGAGGTTTCCATCGCGGCGGAGAGGGGTGCGTCGAGACCGTCGGTCGAGGGCGCGACTGAGGCGGACGAGGAGTCGTCGTGGCCTTGATGACGGAGCGCGTTCTGATCCTGGACGCTGCAAACGCCTTCTCCACAATCCTCATCACTCCCATGGTCTGGCGCGGCGGGAATGCGAACATGCAGAGAGGCCAGGCAGGCTTCTTGGTCCATCTCACTGCGGCGTCAGGAGCATCGAGATCGACGCGGAGGGGCTGGCAGAGGTGTGGATGGCGATGCCGGCCAGCATTGCTTCGGGCGGAGGCGTCGACTTGGGATGCAGTACCACGAGGACTACAGGATCATGGGCGGTGGCGGGCGTGTTTGGGCATGCTCTCGTGGGTACGTATGGCGATGGTCGTCAGTCGTTGGCAAGGCCCAGCTCGGACGTTCGTATCCTAAACCAGGGGCCTGACGGTGAGCTTGTCAAGGCTTTATATATAGATTCATCACGTGGAGCGAGCGAACTGCACAACACCTTGGTACATAGCAGCACACCTTCTGCCCGTCGTACGGCCAGGTGTTTCGACGCGTCCCTCTGTGCCTTCTTGCGGCACAGCGGCCCCTTTCCTGAGACGCCGTCGAGATGCGTCCTCCAGTCCCCAGCCCTCCCCACGATCTGCGTCCATGGATGTTACCGCGCGCCATCCGGACCTAGCTTCGCGGTTAGGCAGGGTGCGGGGCTATGAATGCTCCCGCTATCGACACTGTCACATGTATCAGCCTATCCAGCCCTTTCAAACGGCTACCCAACGCGACAGCGGCGAAGGGCCTGTGGCAGCGGAGGCGTACATGCAGCTGCGCATCTTCAATCCCTCGGCCTAGCCTCATGTTTTCTCAGCCAATCTGACTATCCGGCCTAATTGGCTCAGCCTGATCATGATCGAATCTATCTGCGCCGCACACACTTCTGCATCACATTCCTACCGTCGAGGCGCAGCGTGGTCCTGGCATGGGGCCGCATCTCCGCGGGCAAGCATACGCGCTCGCTCCAGCAGTTTCATTTGCTAAAATATGCTTCCCCAACCTTTGGAAAGGTGGAATGATAGGAGAGGGCAATTGCGTGTACAGATGATGTGGCAGGGCTTCGACCTCCTCAAGTGGTAACCCGACCTTGGGACATCCTCTACTCAGATATCGTACTCTTCAATCGATTGAATAGGAGACCATTTATGGAAAGAGAATTAGTACAGTAAAAGCTCGTTATGACGTTCAGCCCGGGGCCAGAGGGTCCGAACGGTATAGACTGAACGTGAGATCGAATGTCACTGTCCGCCAAATATCAGAACAGTAATCGGAAGGTTGAATGATATAGTGCATAAGAATGGTGTAACTAGCAGACGTTATAACGAGCTTTGACTGTAGGTATTTGTGCAGAAATTCAAGATGATTATTAGTGTTTCTCTTGTTCTTGGCATTCCGTCTAGCTACTAGTGTCCAACTTTTCTGCGTACTGAATTAAAGGCCGCTGCCGTTCTTATATAGATAGCAGCCTTCAGACCCTTTACTAACTTTTCTATTGACCACCTCGCGTTATCTACTTTCGCTTTACACCGAGGTACTTCTTCGCCCCATTTATCTGCAAAGTTCTACAGATCTAACCGCGTGGAACGCAGTATGCAACCTCCTATCTATCCTTAATTCGCAGCGGTTGTAGTTATCAAGTTTATTCGAGCCTTTGCATTCCTACTAGCAGACCCTGCCTGTATGTCACCTCACGGCGAGGTATCTCTTCGCACTGTTTATATGCAAGTTATTGCCGATCCAACCGTATAGGACCCGTTTATTAGCCGTGACGAGCTCGACCTGCGATCAACAATATCAACTCTTTGTTTGGTCTATCGCGTGTAGTCCGTGAACGTTGTACAGAAGGTTATGGTAACGTTGATCGATATGGCGGCGTGTCGCTTAGGCCGCGTACAGGCTGTACATGCCGTGCAGCCTGCTGGGGAGGTAGGGAGAGTACTTTGTGGATAGAGGAACTGGCGTAGAGATTGTAGAGGATGAGCGATACAGGATCGACGAGATTAGGGTGTGCAACGAACGTCGAGGAGTAACAGTATCCGGGTGCTTGACACTGTGTCGACAGAGAGGGGAGCCCGTAGGGTTCGGGGAAGAGTCGACTACATCAGAGTGTGCGACGAGGTCAAGGCGTAAGCAAGATCCGGGTGTTTGACACTTGTCGACAGAGAAGGGTGGGTGGAGGTGGTGGGTGTCCATTCAGTGAAAGGATTTGCGGGTGTTCGAGAACCTGCTTGGCTACCGACTGTCACAGAACAAGAAGCTGTTGGCCTTGTATAAAGTATTGGGTGATGATGTACAGAAGAGAGAGAGAGAGGTCTGGACAGAGTGAGGAATCGATCAACCGATTGACGTGATTGACTGAACTGGCTAAAGTCTTGGCAAATTGCTTCAACAAACGGTCGGCTTAAGAAACCTTCAATCAATCAGTTTGTAGGGCTTGAATCAGGGACCTTACAATTATCAGTCAATATTGTCAATATTAAAGCTTTCAATCAATTCAAATTTCAACCAACGAAGACCTGAGACCACTGTTGACTAAGTTGTCAATTCAATCAATCTCGAGAGACCAGATTGATTAATTAATTCCTAGCTCTGGGTCTAAGGAAGGTGAGGCTTTACACAATAGGTGCCGTGCGCCTGCCATCAACTTCCGTGACACAATGTACCACATCTCCTAGGCAATTCTTCATGAGGAAGTCTCACACTGAAGTCCCTCTCTGTTCCATCGAATGCAAATTGTCATAGATCCAACCGCTCCCAAGAATTCTTCAGACGTAGTGTAAACGCAATGTACCACCTCTCTCTCTGCCCAGGTCCCTTCACGCCGAGGTATCTCTTTCCCCCTTTATGTACAACCTCTTATACGTTAAGTTATATGGGATCAGACTCATGAAACTCGGCGTGGATGCAGTGCGCCACTTCTGTTTCACGCTAAGTTGCCTCTTTGCTCTGTTCGTATACAAATTATCACGGGTCCAACTACGTGGATGATATATTATCAGACGCAGGGTGGACGCAGCGTACATTTCTCTAGACACTTCTCACTACACAAACAAAAGCTTCTAGATTAGGTCCTTAGTATCAGGTTCAAAAAGAGACGCCGAGGCACTTCCTTCAAGAGTTCCCTAATTAGTTGCAAAAAGTCACAGAAATAACCGCATTAAACCTTTTCCTATAAGATACGGCGTAAACACTGCAGAGCACCTGTTGTAGTCACCTTTGCTTATCGACGGTCCCGACACCTTCAATGGGCCGGACCCATGTCTCGCCGCGTAGTTGATGCGCTTCGTCGCTGTAAGGCAATACTGTGTCGTAGGACGAAACCTCAACCGTACCAAAGCCTTCCATCCTATATCTCTACATGGGTTCCGAAGCTTCGGCATGCGACCCAGGCCGACATTCTCAACCTCGACTCAACCAAGATACTCTCGACTTACGGCGCCGAGTACAGACTGCGTTCAAACACTTTCGCGATCCAACCACAGCCTTGCGCAAGTGCCGAGATCGCTATATCCTTGTCCTTTCAAGAGTTACACAGATGATTATCGCATGCAATTCACAAAGAATTGTGACATATTTGATATTACTACGAAGCACCCCCGGGCCTACAATCATAATTCTAAAAGAGGGAGAAAGGGATCTGATTTCCAGTCTCGGGATTTAGTGATGGAGAAACAGGGCCTAAACCGCACGCTTGCTAAAAGAATGGAGAACAAGCTTCCAATGCCCACACTGAATCACCTTCAGAGCTACAGTCACTCCATGTGTCAATGCTAAGCCTTGCTACATCAGGATTTAATCGACGCAGGAGATGATTGATAGCTGATATTATATTTGTAAGAATAAGGCGGAAGGTAACAAAAGTTGGTAAAGCACGCTGTATTTGCCAGGCATGAAATACGCAAAAGATTTGTGGCGAAGTGGTTATAAAGCTGGTCGCGACGCAACAAATCGATCTTAGAAAGAAGGACTTCAATTTTTGCCTCGGTTCCAACTTGCTGGAGTTTTAAAAAGGTATCTCAGAGGAGGGTTTCGATTTTCATGTCGGCCTTGAGGTTAGTCCCTTCCACTCGGATTATTGCCTTCAGTTCGTGCTGATTTAGTATAGCTTTACCTTTCTGATCCCGTCGATATTCGGATGATGATTTCAGCCTTCGCGGGTCTGTCCCATCTGCCAGCCAGCCAACCTAAGGAACCTAGCAAGCAGTCTGAAAGACCTGGAATGCAGAGGACGAGTCTGTCCGAAAAGCCAGCCGCCACCACCTGTCTAGACTATCTCCCAGTGAAGGTTATTGTGATGATATTTTGTCTCGTACCAGTCGAATCAATAGCGGCTTTCTGTTTTAGTGCACGAAGCTGTTGGAATATGTGCCGGGCGGACACGCATTGGCTGCACCGGTTGCTCTCCCATCTATCTTGGCTCTGGGGGTTTAGAGATATAAGGAGGTCCGATCTGGATCTTGAGCAAAGCAAGGAGGAACACGATGACTTCGATGATGTTGACTGCCGCGAGGGTTAACGCTCGATACGCGATTACAGCTTCATTACTCTTCCGTTCGATGACTCTCCGTGCTACTATACCATTAGAGACGCCCGTCACCCATGTGTAAGCAATGGCTTTTCTTGAAACGCCGAGTATCTCGATCAGTTTCACCGAGACCACAGGAACGTCGCAAGCAGAACCACTAAGAAGCTTGCAGGTATCCGGAAGTGAGTGGCGTAGACCTTGTTGTGTTATGCTCACACCAGACGATACTAATCTCACACAGGAAGCACAACGCTACGAAGCAGAGAAAGGGATTCGATAGGGGTATGATCGGTCTTCCGAACAGACGAAGGATCTGGCAGATTGCAGAGGAGTTTGTGGAGCCGTATCGTGCGTCGCAAAGGCTGGAGGTCTTAGCCGAGGATTTGGAGGGAGGAAGGATCGAGTTGGGCTTCAGGAGGACCTAATGTAACAACTAGATGAGTGTCGTCATGGTGTGCTGTCAGTAGAATCAACGCGAACTGCCTGTTGACCTTGAATACTCGCCTTGGTCGGAGACTGATGCCGAAATGGCGCTGTTGCCCAGTTCTTAGCAGTTTGTTCAAAATGCGCCAGCTCACTGTCGAAGTCAGAGGAAACTACTTGGAGGAATCTGACAGCTCGAGCATCCGACTGTCTGGATATTCAAGCTAGGTCGGTGCGAGTCGGTGTCTTCGTGCGTGTTTCTGGCGCTGGTATTGGGACAGAGCGGCATCAGGTATGCCTCACAGCGTACCCTAGGACGCGAGAACAGAGTGAGTCCGTACTAAGAGTGAGGCTGTACGCTGAAAGCAGTCAAGTCCCCAGCTCGACGCCCTCAGGAGAACACCGAGTATATCCGATCGCTTGGGATCTTGTGGCTCAGGGATCTCCTTCCAAGCCGGATGTGTAGCCGTCCGAAAAATAGGAGGCAGGCCAGATCGAGCCTTAATTGCTTGTTGTGACCATCTGCTGATCATTAGTCTGTTGCTGGACGTGTCGCAGCGGCTTGGTGATTTAATTAGGCGTGATTTATGTCGCAGACAGAACGGCTGGAAGATTCGTCGTAACTTCTGGCGATGGCGTGATTGTGCCGCTTACAGGATGCCGGCCACAGGAGGCTGGGGATGATTATGGTCGTAGGTGGCGGCTTCAGATAGGCGCGGTAGGCGGGTGCTGATGCTCTGGGCTGCACGGCGCTAATTTACGGAACGAGGCCGATAGAAGGATACAGTGGTCTTTTCAAGTGCTGTTGCAATGGCTTTTACATTCGAGTAGTCTTTCATTGAGGGTCGGCATGGTCAGTTTGTCTCGCATTGGACCCTATCTTGCGATCTACAGCTGCTGCAAGTAACATCCCAGCTGCATTGTTGGAGGGTATTGCAGGCACTCTAGGAGAACGCCTGGCGCGGTATTGATGAGAGTTCAGAAGCAGTCAAAGCCTGAAGCTAATGCGTGCTATTGCCATCGGTTTCTGTCTGCATCAGAACCCCATCGAGAGACCCAGAATAAAGTCGTTTATTCATCGACCTCTTCCTCATCGGTTCCCACACCATCAGTGTGTCCGCGCGTACTCCTCTCGCCGGCGTTACGTTCCACCTTTTTGCCCTTCCTAGTGGCGCCTCCCTGACCTTTCGTCCTGTCGTTCTTCTCGGTCAACAGACTCTTGAGGAAGTTGTTCTCCATCTCAAGTTGCGACACTTTGGACTCGAGTTCGGCGGCTCTGTCAGCCTTTTCTTGCGCCATGCGCTCCAGTTCCATTTCACGCTGCTTCTTCTTGGCGCGGAAGCGAGCGCTGGCGGCCGTATTGCGGAGACGTTTAGCTTCCTCGGAAGCACGGGATGCGTCGTCGAGCGGGTGCGCCATGTTGGGGTCAGAGGGCAGAATAGGGTTGCGCCATTTGGTGGTCATCTGATCATAATCGGGCGACATTGGCGGAGGAGAAGATGGCGAGGGAGACATTGGCACGGCATAGTTGCTCATTCCAGTCGATGGAAGCGTGGAGAGCTGAGGCTGCTGCGGCTGGTGGGAGGACTGAGCCATCTCGGCGGGAGCGACCTGGAACTGGGAGAAATCTGGGGGTTGTAGTGTTAGCGAGGGCGGTATTTATAAAGATAAAGAGAGCCGGCGAAAATGGTTATCGGTGAGGGCGACTGGGCAAGGGATGAATAGGTAGCGTTGCATGCACGAGGCCCGGGCCCCGGCGCACCACCGTTCTTCCCACCGCCAACGGTGGAACCGGGGACGAAGCTCTAGTGCAACCAGCGAGCTTGCTTGATTCGAAGGGCCATAGAGCAAGATGAAAGAAGGGGAGCTTGCTCGAATAAAGTTTTCGGAGGAAGTCCTGGCGTACAGTACCATCTGTAAGTTGCCTTTCAGGAAAGGCCTCGTAGGGAGCATTCTGACGCCTCGTGTGCTCGTCACGGGCGGGCTGGTATGGCAGTGGAGGGGGAGGCCCCGGGATGCCGTCTGGATCGTAGTTGTAGTATTCGTTGTTGCTGAACATGGTGAAGCGATCAGCTGGCCTGGGTGCACAATGGACAGGCACTTGGCGGAGCGCAGAATCAGCGCACCGGGCCTGTTTTGAAGGCGGACGTGTTCGTGATGGAGGAAGAATCTGGTGATAAGACCTGGCGTGCAGCTAAGTGCCTAGCTTGCAGTGCCGCTCACGCCGGATCAAGTCCGCCCTTGGAGAACGCATGGTGGATCCAGTGGCATCTCGCCAATTTTGAGGCGCTTTCGGGAGGCGACCAGGATCGGACACATGCTTGCTTCGAGCGTGCCCAGCGTGCAGCGAATCGTGTTAATACGTTGCAAGCTTCGTAGCTCAGCGAGCACCTTTGCTTTTGCTTACCCGCCCTCCCCGCCCTCAGCATCCTCCGAGGCTGGAGACACGAAGCAGCACGCAAGTCATGTGCCTTGATCTGAGCTGCCTGAATGATCAACGCCCCAGAGTCTGGGGCCTCGTCTCGCAACGCAGCGCGGGCTGCCGGAGGAGCAGGCACTGGGGCCCCAACCGCCGAGTTGAAGACGAAATACTGGCGTCCTGGCTGCCACGTGGATTCGCTATCTGAATGATTCAAGTGCTGTGCATGGGGCGCTGGTCGACGGGTCTCCTGCACTCCTCCAGCCCCGAACGGGCCAGGCTAGAAGTTGCAAAAATCTGAACGCCAGTGGACAGCAACCCGCGCCCAGTGAGTTGTGAGACCGCAGCAAGCCGACTTGCCTCTTCCCTGGATGGGATTGTCCTCGGCCCGGTCCATTGTGCGGTCTAAATGTAACCTTGGCCCGCCATTGCGGCAAATCCGCTGCTTTGATGTGTGTAAAAACGTGGGCTGGGCTCGGTCAACACGTAAAAACCACAGCTGGTCCCGCTGCAATTCCCACGCCGCCTGAACTAGCAGGGCCTGCTCGGCTTGCCGCATGGGTGCAGGAGTGAGGCTGCTCACCGGCTGGCAGCCCGGCGGTCGCGCCATTCGGTCGTCTCTCAACAAACGGACCGTAGATAGAGAAGTATCAAACTGAAAGGTCAGTGGACACAAAGAGGCAGACTACGGAAGCGGCAGCTAAGGCCATAGTCCCGATGATGCCATGGTCGGCCTTGATAGGGCTTCAACGGCGCTCAAGCACGCCATATGCAGGGTGTTTGTAGCAATTCGGTTGGCGAGTGATGCAACACGAAGGCCGCTGAGCTGGGATGAGGCCGGAGGCTGCACGGCAAGCCGTGACAAAGAAAGCTTGCTCGTGCCCGTTGGCCTGGAGCGCTCCCAGCTTATTGAGGACACAAGGATGGCGCTCTGGGAAAACCGATGTTGATCTGATGCCACAGCCGGAACTGACGTTCAGACGAGAACACCCTAGGCCGGCTCGAGTTAGCGTAGCCGTCCGGGATCACCGCTACGCACATGCCGCACATCTGGTCACGATCACCGCTAAACCACCCATGGCTGCTGATGTTTACTCATCGTCTTCAATGAACCCTGACAATGTCCACTCTTGAGGAACCATTGGACAGCGGAGCGCAAGGACTCCAGAGTATAGGACGTGGACGTGTCTTTGACGCGAATATATATCAGGTCGTAGGTGCCTGCAAAACAGCATTCTTAGCTCTATGTATTGGTATCGTAGCCTATGAAAGGAGAAACAACTGAAGAATTTCGCAGGCTTCGCCCCGTGTCGACCGCGAGGCTCAGTCTCTCGGTAGCCGAGAGGTCGACGCCAGACGAAGTACACTGTATCTCTTGTTCAGCTCTTCTGGACACCGAAACTCGACATGAAATGGAACATCCGTCATCGTCTCGTCTGGTTCAGGAGCCCCTTCCTGGAACCTCAGCCGCCTGCAGTCTGAATATCTAGTAAAATTATCGAACAGCGACGGGATCTGGTTGGCCATGGCTCGATCCTGTGAGCCCGTCTGTTTCTCCATCGCGAGCTGGACCTTGTAGGCCGAATCCCTCTGCAACGCATGCTCCTTCTCATTCACGTCCTTCCACTCATCAGATGGGAAATTCGGGGTGAACCTTTGAACTGCGCTGTCTTTCCCCAACCACGTTTGGAGGGACTTGTCTCGAATGTAGTTTTTCGACTCGGGGTTGGCAGGATCCTGAACGCACCACTGCTGCCAGAAAATGGAGGGGCCTTCATGAAGGATATACCACGTCATCCAGGAGTTCCCTCGCCGCAGAAGTCGCTGCCCATCTATGCCATGTCCCCAATCAAAGATCCACGGAATGTAGTCCTCGATATTATTGGTGGACAGAGACATCCGAAAGACTGACGACAAGAGCAAGAACATCAGCTTATAGTCTTTGGCAGAGCTCTCCGGCAGAGACTCGATGTACACCAATCGTCTCTCCAATGCATGGCGCTCGCGAGCTTCAGTAAGCACAAATCTGAAGCGCGTAGGGCTGAATAATGCCAAGCCTAGCTCTTTCGTTGAGAGTCCGAGGGCGCTCGGCTTCAGTTTGTAGGCCTCCTGAGATATGGCTGATAGCTTTTGCAGCACATGCCATCCATTCACAACTCTTGTCCGCAACTCATCCCCCCATGGATCTTCAGCTGGTATGCCATATCTAGTGTTTCCCCAATCGTGCGCAAATCTGTGCCTGTCAACTAGAATTGCGGCTAGTTGCTGTGGGATCAATCCTTTGAGCCATGCCAATGTATAATTTCCTTCTAGCGGGCGGTTCAGGAGGCGTACTGCGTTGGGGAAAGTTCGACGCGCTACGGACGGGCCGATTGTCGTGATGTATGCGAGTATGATAGTATAGAGTCTGCGGTTCGTGAGACAGAAAGACAGTATGTCGTCGATTTGGCATTGCGAGAGAATCAGGATGACAACGTCGTCAGGGAGCCGGTCAATACCGGAAGGGCCAGATTTGGGGGCATTGCGGGCCCATGATGACACCATTGTCCCCACGTCCTGTCATGAAGCGTTGCAGCTCTACGAGACAGCGCAAAGACGTTGGGGGTTAAAGACGGTGTTTTGGCGATTGGATTGCTGGGGTCCGGCCCTACTTCGTACTCCGAGCCGCGACCGTCACGTGCGCCAAGCGATGTTGATAATCGGGATCGATATCCACCCGCTCACCGCTCTAGCAGGGATCAGCCCTGCAGGGACTCACCACCAATCGCACGTCTCTCTAGCATTTCAGTGAATGTCACAACCACACCCTAACATTCACACTTCAATCCTCACGTGACCCTCCTACTGGTTTCTATTCACATGGTCACCAAGAAGTACTGAGTGGCCTTCCTCGCATTTATCCTCCGCAAGCCCACACACTAGACTCTCATTGAACAGCACACGACCCCGCTAAACATCCCCATGAGGCTCCTCAAGCAACAGATCGACAAGAAAGATGGTTCAGGTTTCGCAGTACTTCTCCCGGAGGAGCCAGAGGACATGGTATGCACCCATCGCCTCCACCGTTCTATCTCATAGACTCCAAACTGACTTCGTCTCAAGTGGCACGCCTACAACCTCATCCAACCCAATGACTTGCTCCGCGCCCGCGCAATGCGCCGGATAACCAAAGAATCTGAGTCCGGCTCCGTCACTTCGGTGCGCGTGCCCATAGACCTAACTATCATGGTCAGCTCGACCGACTTCGACGTCGGCTCCGGGCAGCTGCATGTCGCCGGCAAGGTGTCCGCCGAGAACGAGCACGTCAAGCTAGGGAGCTTCCATACACTAGACCTGGAGCTACAGCGGAAGTTCACCCTAGAGAAGGCAGAGGGGTGGGATAGCGTTGCGGTGGAGATGCTGAAGGAGGCCGTGGACACGAGCAAAAGGGCACAGGTCTATGCTGTAGTGATGCAAGAAGGATTGGCCAACGTGTGTTTAATCACCGAACATCAAACTATACTACGGCAGAAAGTGGAGGTGGCGATCCCCAGGAAACGAAAGGGGGGCATCGATGGTCATGACAAGGTAAGCTCAGATGTGTTTCTACCCGAGTGACTAAGAGTAACGAAAGTCCTCATTAGGGTCTCGACAGATTCTTCACCACTCTCCTGAGAACGCTCCTGAACCATATCGACCTCCCATCTCAAACACCACCATACACACCTGTCCTACTCGCCTCGCCAGGGTTCCTCGCCTCCGCCTTTCAAACATATATTAAAACCATCGCAACCGCAACAACTAATAAGCCGCTTCTCGCCCTCCTACCTTCTATCCTCATCGCACACTCCTCTTCAGGGCATCAGCACGCATTGACAGAAGTCCTGTCATCGCCTGCAGTACTAGCTAAGCTAGCCGACACCAAGTATGCGCGTGAAACAGCACTGATGGACAAGTTCTTTGAGCTCCTAAGAAAAGACGACGGGAGGGCGTGGTATGGGCCGAAAGAAGTGGAGCAAGCAGTTGAAAAAGGGGCTGTGGGCCGCGGAGGAGGCGTTTTACTAATATCGAATGCGTTATTTAGAGCGCAGAACGTGGCTGAGAGGAAACGATGGGTAAGTCTTGTAGATCGCGTTAGGGATGTTGAAGGCGGTGAGGTGCGTGTACTGAGCTCGTTGCATGAGAGCGGGAAGAGGCTGGAAAGCTTGGGGAATGTGGCTGCTATCTTGACGTTCCCACTAGAGGATCTTGATGAAGATGACGAAGAGGACGGAGCCAGAGCGGAAGGTGAGATGGAGTTTTAGGAAGCATGTTGTTGATGCGATATGCAAATAGTTATTTAGCCAATCTGATGCATCAAGGCTAGAAGGAGCTATGTACCCAATACCTGCATCTTACCATCCTGCCAATTCTATACTGAGAAGGGCGCTGAGGGTACCGTGAGGGCAATAGCGAACTACGAACAAGACTAATTCCACAAATGTGACATGCCCAACCCGTCCATCCTCGAAGGTGTGTATTAGTTTGCCTTCCCTTGAATTCGATGTCAAACTCTACCATCCTCCCGCAGCCTCAAGTCGTTTTGCTGATGGCTTCGCCGCCTCCGCTCGAAGGCCTCTAGCTCTATCTAATGCCAGAGGCTCATAACCAGGCTTTCAACCAAGTTATGTGGAGAAAGACGCATCATCATCTAAGAAAGAGAAAACATCCTGAGTTGATATGCCCAGTTCTTTGAGCGATGGATCTAGGCGAATGTTCTCGGACATGGATAGCGAAGGAAAACGGTCTTGATGAAGCACTGGAGGTGCCTTGTCCTGGTGATTGGCTACTGATAGAGCCGGTCGAGGAGGAGGTGGCATTGAAAAGTTGACGCTGTAGCTCTGCTCGCGAGAATGTTCCTTATTTGGGAGTATTTTCTTGTCCTGAGATCCTAGTTCCTCCAAGTCTTCGGCGGAGAAGTCGAGGTCCTGGGTGCAAAAGCTGAAACCAAAGCTCTTCGTGGGTGAGTTCATGGGGAACGCTACTGTGTCTGCTGACAACTCCCGGGCAATCTGCGTCGAACTGGCTAGGAAGTCGCCCCAACAGTCCATATCAACAGCGAGATCTGGATCTCTGGGGGTGGAAGAGGGCAGTGATTTGCATGCCCGCGGAGTCGGCTTTTTGAGTACATCCAACCATTTTGGGGTATTACAGAGATTCTTCGCAGCGTTATCTTCGAGAGGGCGTCTAAATTCAGGTGCTACCCCATAGAGTGGTTGCGTCTTGGTAGGGGAAGAGCCCGTAATCACCTTGACGGGGAACTGCGTCCGAGTATAGGTATACTGATCCTCGTTCTTGTATCGCGCTGCAAACGGAATCCGAGTTAGAAATGTCTTCGTACCCTGTAAGCAGCCATCCAGGAATACACAGTCCAGCCGTTCCTTCTTGATCTCAACAACCCGCACACGACTACCTCTAGACAATTGACTGCTAGAATCAAAGTCCCGTAGAAGGGCAACGGTACAACCGCCTTTCAACCGAAGCCTGTGCAATGGTAGTTCTGGATGTTTTAATTTGTACAGCAACGCCGGGCTCGGGTCCCAATTGGCTCTGTTGGTAGATGAATCTTCCGACAACATCTCAACCAATGGTCCAGGCAGCGCTTCAAGCAGCTTTTCGATCGTGTTGTCTATTGGACCGTGCAAACGGACGAATGCAGACGCCTTCGGTGTATGGGATGTACTACTTCGCGGTGTCTGCAGAATGGCTCCCGGCGAAGATGGTCGAGGCTCGTTGGTATTGAGTTTAGGCTCCTGGATGAAATCCATGAAAGTCTGATCATCCAAATCCCAAGGTTCTGAAGAGGCTTGTTTCTCTAGCTCCAACAAGGCTTCATCATCGATGCCTTCTAGTGTGCGGACGCTGGCTGAGTTCGGCAGCTCCCCCTGGGCTTTCCCATCAAAACTTAAATCCTCATCCACGTCCCACGGTTCATCCTCAGATTCATCCATTAGCGCCTCGATCGTGTCGATTTCGACTTCCTTCTCCGGGACAGCCAATCTTCCACACCGCAAAAACGTCTCCATTCCCGTCTTTAACCTCTTCTGAGTGTGATTGTATCCGGCCAGTTGGGTCGCTTTTCCTATTCCTAGCCGTTTCCTTGCTTGCCGTTCTTTTTCGTCTTTCTCTGCCTTCTTCTGTTTCGCTAATTTCTTTCGGGTTTCCTGTTCTTTGAGTCGCTCTGCCCGCTCTTGCTCAATTGCGGCACGTTCGATCTGTTTGAGCTCGCGATCCGAGAGTTGTGGGCCTCTTTTCTTAAAGATGGCTTTGACCTGTTTCGCTGTTTGAGGGCGAACACGATCAGACAAGACTGCCATTGACGCAAAGTTCTAGCAGAGCATCAAGAATGATGGATTCCAAAAAGGCGCTGTAGAGAAAAGGTCTCTGTTGATGGAATTGTTGTGTTGTAGGTGGTTGTGGATTGTGAATGAGAGGTGTCGTGGGGTTGCTGGGTAAAGTGCCTAAGTAGGCAACGGCCTTTGTACGCGAAAGCGTTGCGTCTTCACGTGATCATCTTGACAGTTCTGCCTAATCAATTCACTCACTTCCCCACCTCGACTCCACCATCATCTACATTTCGAGTCACCGGGATATATAGCGAAGATGGCTACAGCTCCAGAGCCCACTCCCAGAAAGCAGTATCGAAAGTACTTCATTCCTCTCGAATCCAATCCGGACGTCTTCACGGAGCTCATCCACGAACTCGGAGTATCTCCTACTCTATGCTTTCAAGATGTCCTCTCCCTAGACGATGAAGAGCTCCTAACATTCGTACCTCGCCCTGCACTTGCGTTGGTTCTCTTGTTTTCAAGCTCGAGCACCTACGAAACACACGTAGCGGCGGACGAGGCTGCGCGACAAGGCTATACAGGCAGTGGCGATGACGAAGATGTGATTTGGTTTAAGCAGACGATATATAACGCCTGTGGGCTTTATGGTATCTTGCATGCGGTCTGCAATGGAGATGCACGTAAGCATATAGGTATGTGTGTTTCTCGAGATGAGTTTGAAACCAAAGACCGCACATGAACGGCCCACGAGTCCTACGGGCTCAGCTTGATTGCTACCTTTCCCTCGACTGCATAGCTGTAGTGTAAAAGGCTGCCTAGGAGTTAAGAATTGGTGTTTTAGATACTGTTCTTGAAGCCATACTTCTAACCTTATGTTAGCACCCAACTCGACGCTTTCAAATCTGTTGGCAAAAGGCGTGCCACTTGAGCCAGAGGCCCGAGGCAGAGTCCTAGAAGCCAGCGCTGAGCTAGAATCTGCATACAGAGTAGTGGCGCAGAAGGGAGATACGGAGCCACCCGAGAATCCGGAGGATGTAGTGGACTTTCATTACGTCTGCTTCGTCAAGTCGCACGAGAACAACCGTCTCTATGAGCTGGACGGAGACAAGAAGGGGCCTATTGACCGGGGTGCTATCAATGAGGACCAGGACATGCTTTCGCAAGCAGCGTTGGAACCGATACGAGAGTACATTGATCGCGAAAACGGCAGAAGCATCAACTTCAGTCTTATAGCCTTAGTACCCGCAGGGTAGGTCCCAGGCTGTTCGAGACAGGCAGAAAGCACATGCATGTAGGTACGCTTGGAGTCACACTCTTTGTAGAATTCTCCAAAGAGCAAGAAGTGTGAACTATGAAGGACCTTGGTTTGTCTTGCAACATGTGCACATATGCCACCAGGGCACGATGAAGCGGCCATACAACCCGACCCTCCGCAAGACGCGGAGAATGAGGTTGCTCTTCGATGAAGAACTTGTATATGCAGTCTCCCTGAGGAGGAAGTGGCGCGCTTGTGCGGTTGCGTTTGAGTCGACTTGGACGACTATGAGAGAAACTACTTTCATTATGATGTAAGCAGTAGCGGATACGATTCCGCCTGGAGGAGCTTCACAGAGTGAAGTCCGTGGCCTCTTTGTGTTGAGCTCTGGCTTGCTGGACGCCAGTTGTTGGAGCAGCAGCAAACCGTGGCCAGGTGAAGAAATCCCTAAACACGTGAGGTCCGCTAAGGCGGAAGAGGCTAGTGGCTTGGCGTCATTTTTAGCCTCATCTGCCGCACCTCCTCGAGCTTCGACCAACAACCCTCGACCGTCCCCATCACCTCCCTTTCTTCAACTCATCACGCGCTTCACGTACCTTCGCTCGCGCTTTGCCATCTGAAATCAACCTCGTCGCTACGCCACGTCGTCAAAATGGTCAAGAAGAAGCGCAACCACCCCGATCTCCAAGACAAGCTTGACCGTCCATGGTGCTACTATTGTGAGCGTGATTTCGACGACCTCAAGATCTTGATCTCCCACCAAAAGGCTAAGCACTTCAAGTGCGAGCGCTGCGGCCGTAGGCTCAACACGGCTGGAGGTACATGCTTCTCTGTTGGCCTTGACTTCCCTTCGCTCGCTGTCGCATTGGACGTCGCTAACAATGTCATCAGGACTGGCTGTCCACTTGAACCAGGTCCATAAGGAAACCCTCACTAGCGTCGAAAATGCGCTTCCCACTCGCCAAGGCCTCGAGGTCGAGATATTCGGGATGGAGGGCATTCCCGAAGAAGTTGTCAATGCTCACCAATTGACGGTGCAGCAGCAGCACTATGCTGATATCCAGAATCGCGCAGTTGCGACTGGAAATCCTCCAGGCGGCGGAGGTGTTCAGTCGAATGGCAGTGCACCCAAGAAGCCAAAAATCGAGGCTGCGGCGGACTTGAAGAAGCGGCTGGCTGAATTTAAGGCGCGCAAGGCGGCGTTGGAAGCCAGAGGAGGCACAAGCAGCGGAGATGTGACTCCGATGGACGCAGGACAAGGAACACAGAGCCCTGCTGTAGGCCATAGTCCAGCTGGATTTGTGAGTAGGCCTACAGCTCTTTTAATTTGAAGCTGACCGTTTTTCTAGCCGCCTGCGGGCTCGCCTCCATATGGAGCACCTCCACAGCATTTCTCAGGCCCTCCGGGCGCGCAGGCGAGCCCTCAGCCGGCATACTCTCCACCGTTTAGCCAGCACCAGTTCTCGCAGCCACCTCTGCAGCATGGCTTCCCGCCACAACCTCACTATGCTCCACAGGTATCGTTTCCACCCCAGCCTGGCTATGCCCCTTCTCCAGTTCAGCATTTTGGTGGGAACCCATATGGTCCCCCTGGACCACAGTCGTTCCCACCTAGTGGTCCGCCTAGTGGTCCGTACCAGCAACAGTATCAAGGCGGGCCACCTCGTCAATTTGGTGCTGCGTCTCCGATGACCGATTTCAATGGTGGGCCGCCGCGTTATGCATCTCCTACTAACGGCATGTCCCATCAGAGACAGGGCAGTCTGCCTGCTCCACCTGGCCTACCCCAGAAACCAGTGTCCAACGTGCCGCACGTCAATTCGTACCAACTTCAACAAATGCACCAAGGACAAGCTCCACCCGGTGCTCCTGGTCAACAAGAACTAAAAGGTCTTCCAAGCTCTGCGTTCGACGAATCTGTCGATGAGCTTATCTCCGCCGCCGCCAGAAACGCTGAAGAATCGTCGAAGACAACGTCACTGAACACTGAGAAAAAAGCAAAGAAGGACAAAGAAAAGAATATCAAGCTCATATACAACGATGAGACGGTTAGCCCCGAGGAGAAAATGGCAGCATTGCCCAGGTACGCATTCGTTCCAGATCACAAGGAGGTCATCATGCAAGATGCCCTCGAGGGTGCTCTCACGGGAACAGTGGGTGCGTAGTCAGGCAAACGACGCTTAGGGAACCTTTCATCTGCTACTTTAAGACCTTTGAATATTGAGACGAGCCTTCTCGAACCATCGATTTGACGTGTCGCCAAAACAACACCACTCCTCGACATTACGGCATTACCCTCGAGCAGTTAAGTGTGGGACTTACAGAACATCGTTGGTCTGGGGAAGTCGTTGATAATTTGCAGACGGGATGAATCTTCATTGGCAACTATCGTGGTGACGATCGAAACGGACATACCCGGGGACACAGTCGGGGTAAGTGAATTTGCGGCTTTTTCTTTTTTGCACCAGATGTTTCAAGTTCAGGCGGATTCATTGCGGGTTTCCTCACTTCCCCTGGAGAGTTGTTGGAATGGTGGCTGTTTTGGACTGATGGTGTGCTGGATTGGTGGTTGGCGGGTAATTGGCAGGTGGCTATTCCGAGGACCGGTGACTGGCTTGCGACTGGCGACTGGCGACATCAGGCACATCCAGTGCATTTACTCTCCCAGACCCTCTTAGCAACTTGGTAAAACAAGTAGCTGTTTCACAGATGGCCTTCGCCTGTAAGTCTAAACGACGGTTGGTCTTCCTTTATGGATCCTTTGATCTCTATTTACATTGAGCCTCCCTGGAGAAGCTTTCGTAAGTCGTGAAGTCATTACTTGGTTATGGAAAGGCTCGGCGAATACCCTGCCGTCTTCGGTAGCCTTGACCGAGTCAGATGGACAGCCTTGATAGTTTGTATGTGCCCTCCGATAATCCCCAAAAACCGACCGCTACCTCAGCTTCATTGGCTAGCTGACTCGAGGTTCACAATCCTCGACCATTGTCTTATTACTTGCACAAGAAGTACCGACAATTCATGCTATTCGCTCTGACTGCAAGGTACCACAGTCTTCGGTTGTACGATCAAGACGGTAGCTTTAACCCAGCCTTCTGGTCTCCTCCCTATTGCACCGCTTTGGACTGCGATTCAGTCATGACGGTCGCGATAACGTTTGCAACTGATCGACGTGTTTCGTACCCACTCCTTACCAGGTCCTCATCCCCGTGTTTCAGATGTTCATGTCGGTATGTTTCCACAGTACCAGGCTCAAGGTAATTCCTTGGGCTACAAGGGGCCATTAACATCCGCCATGGTCATGAAATACCCGCGAATTGAAGCCCGTTGCCCATGCTAATGTACCCTTGTATCGTTTCACAAGACTTAGTCACCCAACATGAAAAAGGAGAGGTAGCTATGGAATTCGGCGTAAGCTGTCTATATACCTATGCAATACAAACCTCGAAAGATACTCGACATAAATCATCAATTGAAGACCAATACTCACTGGTGTCATATCATTGCTTCGAGCTGTAAAATTGGCCTGAAGCCTAATTCAACGTCCTGACAAGAGTCATCGTATATGCCCTGGCATCTGTTCGCCTAAAGCATAGCCGGAGTATATTCATTTTGTTTCGCGAGTTCTTCCCCGGCATGCCAGTGTCGTTAACCCCACCTGGGGCACGACATGCACATCCGCGGATCCCGAAAAGCTTAGTATGATGCTTGCCGACGTCACGCTTACCTAGGTACGAAGCCACTGGAACACCAAGGCAGAATCTAGAGCTATTTCCATCATTACCAGTCACCTACCGAGAAGCTCCAAGGGTCTGTTCTTGCCGCTTAGAAGCTAGTTGAGTCTACATTCTTTCTCTGCAGACGTTCTCCGTCTGGCAATGGAGCTGTTCCTCAGTTCGGATCCCTCCCTTCCTCCGTTCTCATCTCTTGCTTACCTCTACTTGACTATTCTTGTTTCTTCTGCTCTTATCGCGTTTGACGCTTTCGGATTGATGAAAGGCGGGACGAGTGGCGAGGCGAATTTGGGCAACATGAATATTGATAAGGTGAGTCGATTCTTGGATTGCGAAAAGCTCCGGGTGTCTCGTAATTTGCCATGGGCAACTACTAACGAATGCCTTGCATATAGATTGCAATGATTGGGTGCGGCAGTATGGGAGGCGGCATGTCCCTTCTGTTCGCCGAGAATGGGCTGGAGGTCAGTATATCGGATCCATCCGAGGAGGCCATGGACAAAGTCCTCAATCGAGCGGAAGAGGAGGGACTGGGCGGGAAGCTGAAGAAGTTCAAAGGTAGGACTTTATAATGCTTCTATCTAGCTAGTACAACCTGATCATGTACTAGGCGGGGACTACAAATCCCTCTGCGCCTCGCTCAGCTCCCCCAAGCTCCTAATCTTCAGCCTCCCCCACGGCGACGTCGGCGACAAAGTCCTCGAAGGTTTGACACCGTACCTAACATCCAACGACATCATTCTCGACTGCGGCAACGAGCACTTCGCAAACACCGAGCGTCGACAGCACAAATGCCGCTCCACCGGAATCCACTATCTCGGCATCGGCGTCAGCGGCGGCTACCAAGCCGCTCGTCAAGGCCCCTCCATGTGTCCAGGCGGCGATGAAGAAGCCCTCCGCACCGTCATGCCACTACTAGAGCGGGTCGCCGCGAAGGACAAGACCGGACGAAGCTGCGTCGGCGCCGTAGGAAAAGGCGGATCAGGCCACTACGTCAAGACCGTTCACAACGGCATCGAGCACGGCATGATGAGCGCCATCTCCGAAGCGTGGGGCGTGATGCGTGCCATGGGCATGGGCATTGAGGAAATAGGAAACGTGCTTAAGAAGTGGAACGAGAAGGGTGAGTTCAGGGGCACGTTCCTCATCGCCATCGGCGCGGATCTGGCGCACAAGCGCGATAACAAGAAGGAGCTTGTCCTGCCGACGGTTGCGGATAAGGTCGTGCAGGATATCACGGGCGAAGAGGGGACGGGGATCTGGTCGAATACGGAGGCGATTGAGCTGCATGTGCCCGCGCCGACGCTGAATGTGGCGCATGCGTTCCGGTTGGCGTCGGCGTATCTGGGAGACAGGGAGAAAGCGAAGAAGGTTGCGGGAGGGGGATGGCCGCCGAGGAAGTTGGAGCTTGAGAAAGGACAGAAAGAGGTGTTTGTGGAAGATCTTAGGAAAGCGACATTCGCGACATGTCTGGCGAGCTATATCCAAGGCCTTACCGATATCGATGCTGCGAACAAAAAACATGAGTGGAATATCGACTACGCTGCCGTGCTCCAGATCTGGAAGGCTGGCTGCATCATCCAAGCCGACTACATCTCGGAAGAGCTGCTCGCGCCCGTCCTCGATTCCGAAACCCCCAAGTACATTAACCTCCTGTTCAATGACCGCGTGGTGAAAGACATCCGGAAATGCATGGGTAGTCTACGGAAAGTGGTAGCCAAGGGGGTGGAGTCGGATCAGGTTATTCCGACGCTGAGTGCGAGTTTGGAGTATTTCAAGATTGCGACGGGGACGAATCTGCCGACAAGCTTTTATGAGGCGGAGCTGGACTATTTTGGGGCGCATATGTTTGATAGGAAGGGGGAGGAGGGGATCAGGGGACCCACAGAGGGGAAGCACCATTTTGAGTGGAAACCGGCGAGGACGGCGGATGGGCAGGAGGAAAGGTGATTGGAGTTGGTGTTGGATATATGCGATAGAGCCATGACGTAATAAGGAAATCGGTGGTTAACCTCAATAGATTTGTTTCAAGGAACGCATATGGCGAGCGTGATATTCTTCTTGTATTCAAACCAACTGCGCCTAGATCGAGTAGACGGACGAGAGATTCCGAGACGTCTCATCTAATCCTCATATCCTTCATCGTTTCCCTCCTCCTCTTCATCTTCATCATACTCCTCACTCTGCTCATCGGAGCTATCATTGCCCATGCCGTTCTGCCCCCACTCCTCACTCTCGTTCAGGGCAAAGCTCTCACTCAGTCGTTGACTCCCATCGAGACCACGTTGGGTCTCAGATTCCACCATTGACGTCGAAGCCACGACCCCTTTCTCCAGCTCATCGGCCTCCGGAACCGGATCCACCTCTCTCAGCTCCTCCTCTTCCTCTCCATCTGCGGCGAATCCAACAGTCTTGCCATTCCCGCCACTTGAGCCCCTGGAGCCCGTACGCTCCTCTAGCACGTCTCCGTTCCAGGGCTTGCACTCTTTAATCACTTCTCCGCACCTCAGACACGTCCAGCCCTCGCCCTCTTCATTTGCCACCCGCTGCGCCAGACACGCGAAGCAGTAGACGCACCCGCACGGCACCGCCTCGTACGGGTTTGTGATATCTGTCGCTGCAGAGCCCACCACACCGCCGCCGCCGGCACTCGCCGCCATGATATCCGCCTCATTCGCATTGATCGGATTCTGGTCTCGATAGCAGATGGCGCAGGTGCGCTGGGGGAGGAATCCCAATTCGCCTCCAGCTTTCTCAGCATCAGGGTCAGAGGAGGACGAAGGACTCCGGCCAATAGTTGACAGGAAGAGTAGTTTTGCTTTCCTGAATCCGCGGGCGAGGATACGACGCCAGCGGGATATCCCCACCAAGGGGAGTAGGAAGAGTAAGAACTCAGTGAAGGCATGCCACACGAGTTGGCGGTTGAGGTACTCGAATGAGACTTCGCGGGATGTAGCGTGGGATGTCGGCGTCAGCCGTAGCCGTAGAATACGGTCTAGTATTGTGCGGTACCGGCCGTTTGTGAGGAACACAAGGAAAGATATCAAGCTTGCGGCGTCGTGGGCCGAGTTTGTGAGCTCAGTTATTCGGGTGAGGAGCCGGAACTGCGGTGTAGATTCGTGGGTGTAGTCCTCAGAAAGGGCGAGAAGGTGCTCTTCCCACTTCGTCCACACGTACCGGCCACCGACGCTGGTGAGGCCGTAGACGACCTTCTGCCATGGTTCTGGGGGTGGACGTGAGGGCAAGTTCGACCGGGCATCAGAATAGCGTAGGCCTTGGAGGAGAGCACCGTAGGAGGCGTTGTGGTCCCATATAGAGAGTTTGAAGAGGATGGCGCGGAGGGCGAGGAGGATTTCGGGGGAGTAGGTGTCTGTGATATGGGACTGGAGGGGTCAGCAAAGAAACATCGGGGTTTCCAGGGCTCACACGTACACCCAGATACTTTAGGCCCTCGCCAACCTGGCCCTTCAGTAGTTCTAGCAGCTCGTCGTCGAGGAGTTCGGCATCCACCTGGCCAACCCTAAATGCCGGTCTCGTCCCCTCCCGTCCACTAATGGCATCCCACACACTCAGTCCCGCGTTTCCCAGTCTATTGAAGGGATATGGCAGTCGCGCTACCGTCGAGGCGTTGGCAGCATTCTGAGCAGCGGCGCGTGCTCTTGCGTCCGAGTCGCGTTGGGCGCGGCGAGCGGCAATGCGCTCCTGAGCGGCGGCGAAGTCGGCGGAGGGCATCTGGGGCGCATTTGTGACGGGGTGCGAGAGGTAACGGGGGGGCGGCGAGGTGTATGGGCGTGGAGAATTGAATATCCTGGCGATGCAACCAGGCCGAGGTAAAGCAAGGAGCTTGTGGTGGAGAGTCGTAAATACGGGGTAGACCAGGTGGAAAAAGTATAGAACTGCACGCACGTTTCTGACCTCTACAATGGTGGGGGTGTGTATTTCTCCAAGGCGCGGTTAGAACGACTGCGTCTCGAATGCATGGTGCAGTCGTGAACCTCAGACGGAACCACTCTTTGGCACGTGAAGGCCCTCCGCGAACCAGCCCTACCGCCTCAAGTGTGGCGCGTGCGACGTTGGACGTGGCGGGGCAATATCTGAAACACCAGGTGCCTCCTCGTCAACATCCAAAGCTGCCCCACCTTCACCACATTATTCACCGGCCAAAAGAGACGTCTGTCCAGCTTCTGTGCTTGCCATGTCCATCACATCCGCCGTGGCCGCGATCCTCGACTCTGCCTGGCTTGGAGCCCTCCATCTTGAAGCCTAAACCCCCCCGACGTAGACAACCATGGAGGTTGAGGGCCTCATTGAGGTCCCGGGCGAGGCCAACCCGCTGACTGAAGGGATCCTCTTCCTGGTGCTGAAATCAGCTGCTTCTAATAACCCCCAGCAAATCCAGACCGGCACTAAACAACTACAGACATGGGAGACCAAGAGAGGATTCTATCCGCTGTTGCAGGTATGCCTTTGTATGAGCCCGAAGCTCTACAGAATACACTAACTAGTGTCTAGACTGTGTTTATGGATAGCTTCTTGCCCAAGGACATCCGCTATCTGGCTATTATCCAGCTCAAGATCGGGATCGACAAATATTGGCGCAAAACAGCCTCCAAGTACGGAAGAGTGCCACCTGTATCCTCTTTCCAGACTAACAAACTCAAGTGCGATATCCAAAGAAGACAAGGCTGTCATACGAACACGGCTCCTTCAAAGCGGCATCAACGAGGCAGACCAGCGTTTGGCTCTGCAAAATGCATTAGTCGTTGCCAAAATCGCGAGATTCGAATACCCCAACGAGTGGTATGTCCTCTCTCCTATTCGAGATTTCCAATTCTGACTTCTCTTCAGGCCAGACGCGATCACGAGCATCATACAAATTCTCCGGTCCGCTTCCCTTCCCGGCGCAAACCGACTCTACCTACCACGAGCACTACTCATACTACTCCACATCATCAAAGAGCTATCGACTGGGCGCCTGATGAGGACACGAGCAAATCTCCAGTCCGTAACGCCTGAGATCTTCTCGGTCCTTGGCCAGGTCTACGTTCAGAAAGTACAGAGATGGCAGGCATTTCTACAAGATGGAGGGGATGATGAGGGCGGTGCCCTAGAAGATATTGAGCACAGCCTGCTCGCTATCAAGCTTATCCGCCGCCTACTAACTACAGGCTACGAGTTTCCCAACAGAGATTCAGACGTACCAGAATTCTGGGGCGTCATTCGCGCTCAATTCGGTGATTTCTTGACAATCGCGACACACGAAAACTCACCCCTGTCCCCAGACGTCCAGGAGCTCGTAGAGAAGCATCTTATGCAACTATCCAAGTTGCATCTGGAGATGGCGCAAGTTCATCCACAAGCATTTGTGCTACTACCAGATACGCTTAACCTGGTCCGCGATTACTGGGGCCTCATCTCCAAACTAGGAGAAACATATGGCTCCAAATCGCCGGACATTAGTAAGATCGGAACTGACGGCGACGAGCTAGATGAGCCTCCACTGCTCGAGCGTCTCGCCTTGAAAGGACTTCTGCTCATTCGGGCTTGCCTGAAAATGGTCTTCTATCCAGCTCAAGTATTCAGATACAGGCATCCCCAAGAAAAAGAGGAGAGAACGCATGCCATACAATATGTGAAGACTGAGCTTTTCACCGAAGAGCTTGTGAGAGACATGATGTCTGTTATCGTCTCTCGATACTTCGTGTTCCGTCCCAGTGATCTACGAATGTGGGAAGAGGAGCCAGATGAATGGGAAAAGATGGAGGAAGGAGGAGAGGACTACGAATTCTCGATAAGGCTATGCTCAGAGAAACTCTTCTTAGACTTGGCCAAAAATTTCAAAGATATACTTATTCAACCACTCTTACAGGTCTTCTATTCTGTGGCCAGTGAGTTCGCACTCATAACCACCAAAAGAAGCGGTCACTAACTTGTTCCCAGCTCCTGACAATGAGAACATCCTCTTCAAAGACTCCGTTTACACCGCTGTTGGTCTTGCAGCAGATGTATTACATGACCAACTAGATTTCGACGCATTCATATCGTCGACGCTGATTCCAGAGATTCAGAAGCAGAAACCAGGCTACAATATCCTCCGTCGACGCATTTCGATACTCATTGGCCACTGGATCTCCGTCAAAGTGTCTGATCAGAATAAGCCCCTGGTCTATCAGATATTCCAGCACCTGCTGGACAAGAGCGATCCACTTAACGACCAAGTGGTTCGTATCACTGCTGGAAGGCAGCTCAAAAACATTGCCGATGAGTGGGAGTTTAAAGCAGTCAATTTCCTCCCCTATGCCCCAGATACGCTGAGTCGATTGATGGCCTTGATCACAGAGGTCGAGCTCCCCGAAACCAAAATGGCTCTACTCAATACAATTAGTAGTATCGTGGAGCGTCTGGAACACAACGTAAGCCAATCTGAAGGTGCCAGTCATTTTATAGCTAATCAAAAGTAGATCACACCATATGCTGATAACATCATCTCCTTATTGCCCCCACTCTGGGAGCAGTCTGGTGAAGAACATCTCATGAAGCAAGCAATTCTGACCATGCTCTGCCGCCTCACCAACGCTATGAAGGCCGACTCGCGCAAGTACCACTCGTCTTTCCTCCCCATAATCCGCAATGCGATCGATCCGAATTCCGATACCCAAGTTTATCTTCTTGAAGACGCCCTTGATCTCTGGTCCTCTATTCTAGCCCAGACGCCATCTGCCCCAGAGCCGACTCCCCCAGAGCTTTTAGAACTCCTTCCACACTTGCTGCCTCTCTACGACCAAGGTACGGATATTCTCCGAAAAGTCCTCGAGATCACCGAGGCATATCTTCTCCTCGCTCCAGCTTCTGTTCTGGCGGACTCCTTCCGGAGACCTCTCCTGAATGAGCTCACCTCCTTACTCGGTAGTCTGAAGCCCGACGCCAATGGGACCGTCACCCATCTCATGGAACTCTTCGTCCGTGGCGCAGACGGCTTCGGCGGCGAAAACGCAGTTCAGTTCCTCGTCGGCGACATTATAACGTCTGGCTTCTTCGCCAAAGTCATGGAAGGTCTGAACGGCGCCTGGCACGCGCACCAATCCCATGGTCCCAACAGACAAGTCCCCGACCATGCCGTCGACGGCGTCGTGGAGACAGACTACCTCTCCGTCCTCGCCCGCATCGGACTAGCATCCCCTCGCGTCCTCGTCGAGGCGGTCGCCACGGTCGGCGGCGGGCTAGAACCCACGCTAGACTGGCTGCTGGAAGAGTGGTTCAGCCACGTCGAGAACATGGGCGATCCGCCGAACCGGAAACTGACCTGCCTGACGCTGACGCGGCTGCTAGAAACGGGACAGCCGTGGATCTTAGGCCGACTGCAAAGCTTGATGGCTGTGTGGACGGATGTTGTGAGGGAGCTGACGGACGAGGATGAGGATAAGTCGAAAGAGTATGTTGATTTCATTTCATTTCATTTCCATGTCAACCCACCAGTTTCCCCCCTATTTTTCAAGACCTCCGCGAAGAATCGACTTGCTAATCAATGTACTAGCTTCCTCCTCTGGGACGACCAGCCCGCCGCCAACACACTGCCCAACGACCCCGAAGCCCCTGAAGACGTGCGCCGCCGCGACCTGATCTACTCGGACCCCGTGCACCGCATCAACCTAATCTCTTTCCTGCGAGAGCATCTGCAGGCGGCTATCCAGGCAGCCGGAGGGATGCAGCAGTTCCAGCAGGAGTGGCTGGAGCGTGTAGACAAAGATATCGTTAGGGGGTTCGGCGAGCTGGGGATCTTGTAGGATCCGCTGAGGTGCAGGCAGATACTGGGCTGCTTCAAGATGTAGCATAGGTGCTATACCTCCTTCTACGGACTAGGCGGCGGTGGTGGTAGAGAGCTAGGTAGTGCGGCTTGGGCCGATCCGTGGCAGCTTCAATGCGATACTGGGCTCGATACCTAGATATACCCTTTGTTGATTCGCGTTAGGTGTTATGTTGCTTTGAGAATCCTGAGTGATCCATCGTATAGCTCGCCCTGTGAGTGAGTTTGAAATTACAGGGCGTGGAGTTTTAAGGAGCACGTACTCGCTTTTCTTCCAGGGCCCCTCCGACTACACTGGAGACTGCAGGGCGTGGACCTTACGTGGTGAGTCTTCCCTATTCTTCTAGTTCTATAGCGCGCTGTCAGAGGTGTTTCCGACCCGTGGAAGAAGTTAAATAGGGATGTCATGAGCTTGGGGGGCGTGAGTGAGGCGCGTGGAAGATAGTGAAAAGGCGAGCGATGCTGATATCTTGGATGTAGCTGTATAGAGCGCTCTGAGATAGCCCTGGGTAAGTGGGGAGATGAAGATGGTGTCAAGAGCAAGGCGCCTAATTGAGGTGGGTGAGGAGGTAGAGTAAGAACTAGGGGAGTTTGATATTGCGGTTACGAATATACAAAGCTATCTGAGACACGCCTGGTGAAGTAGGGAGGTAATGAAGAGGGTATCAAAAGCTTGATCGAGGTGTGTGGAATAGGCAAAGAACTGAATTCGTGAATGTCGCGACTGTGGACGTTAAGAGGTCATATATATAAGGAGGCGGCGACTTGGAGGGTCGGCGGACTGCAATGTTGTAAACCAGAGGGTATGAATCAAAACGTTAATAAGTGTATTGGTAGTAGTAGGACTTAGACGAGCCTGATAACGCGGCTGGGAAAGGTAGAAGTTTAAGACGCTCCAGGATTGATATCAGCGCCCTTGATTACCCTGATTACCTTGGTTCCCCTGGAAAAGAAATCCCGGATATTCCCGAAAGTAGTCTGATGGCACTTGGGTTCCTTCGCTGACCGCAACGGTTCCGGGCGTTTGGTTCTGTCCGCTAAACATGTGGCCAAAATCCTGCCGCATGTTTCGAGGGTCCATGAATTGAGCCTGGACATCAAATACGGGACTCGTGGCACCAAAAGGCCGCGGTTCAAACCCCGGCGCGTCAAATGGCGTGTCGAACTGCAGAAATTCAAACCCAGGCTGCACGTAGCCAGAGTGACTCTGCATTTCGGAAAGCGGGTCTGGAAACAGGTTCTCGATACCGCCGGCATTGGTGATCATGTCTTGGAAGATGTTCTCGGCGGCATTGGCCGCCTCCTCCTCTTGTCCCACATCCAGCATATCAGCAACTGTCATATCCAGCTGTGGTGCTAGGTTCTGAACAACAACAACGACGAGCCTATATCCGCGGTAGGCGAGCGGGTCGTTGGGGCCCATGGCCTTGAGCCATCGGATGAGCTTTTGGAGGTGCTGCAGGATGTCTTTCTTTTCCCCTGCGCCAGGGGCGTGGTGAGTGCGGTGGTACAGCTCCAAGAGAAAAATGGTGACTGCTTGCATCATGTTGTGAACCACAAACCACCAAGGGCCATTTTTATACGGGAATGTGGGATCGACGTGTTTAGGAAAAAGGTTTGCAATCTGCTTGGCCGCTAATATGCACAGAGATGCAGCGTACTGGTTGAACTTGTCCGACTGCTCGGTTTGATTCTCAATGCGGATGTCGAGCCGACAGACACAGGGTCGAGTGATGATTATGAATGCACTCCAGTACATCAATGTCAGTATTCGAGTCTCGCGCTGGAATTCGGCTCCAACCCTGAAAGGATCAGCGGTAAAAGGTTGCGGTAGGTTCTTAGCCCAGTAGTCCAGCTCATCTTTTAGATGCTTCATGGTGTTTTGCATGTCCTCCCAGGACTTGGTCACGGTGTTCGCCGAGTAGAGGTGCCTTACGGCCTTGTGGGTGATAACAGACACCTGCGTTGTTGCACGGAAAAAGATGCCTGCGAGGTGTAAGTTGAGTTAGTGTATATAGACTAGGGAGTACAAACTCTTCGGATGTGCCATTGCGGTCAGTGTTGAGTGTGGGCCCCCTATGCTGTGCTGATCGAACCATTCTTGCAGTAGTTCCATTCCATCGTCGTCGTCCATCCTGCTCTCATCAAGCGGCACTGGAAGGAAGATAGAGCAGTCTTCATCTGCGATCACGCTCGGACGACCGGATATGGTGCATATGAGGCGTTCTAAGGTATATAGGGACCACCAAACCCGGACTCTGGCTTCTTTTATTCTAACATCCGTCACAGGGTCTTCATTTCTGACGTGTAATCCGAGAGTGTAAGCAAGGCGAACAGTAAGACCTAAATTTTAGTTAAGTAGTGAGTCAAATAATTTTGATGCCTTCGAATATCATTGGGTCTCTGAACTTACCCATAGTGTTGGACGATCTACAAGAATATTAGTAACAGTGATTCTGACTGCAGTGTCAGTTACATACCGAGATACCTGTCCGATTGAGAAGAGGTAAAAGCTAAGTAGACCCAAGATTCGAACGCGTTCCAGGTCTGGATGAGCGATGAATGTGCTTTCAGTAATACCAAGCTTGCGAGCCTTGGTACTATATCTCAAATGGTCATGCTCGCCGACATATTGATCGCCATTGGCTAGATAGGAGAACTTGGCGCCAATTGCAAATACCAGATTGAGTGTGGCCAGCATCTTGAATGAATTTCGGTTCTGTTGGGCTGACTCGCTAAAGATAGAGTTGAAGTCCAAGTCGATTTCATTTTTCGACAGGATTGGGAAAGATTGATGAACAGTTTCCATATAACAGGAGTAGAGATGCTTGGCCAAATGTGGTGCAGGTAGATAGAAAGGGTCCTCAATAGCTATGTCAACGGACACATCGTCCATGAAGTAGGTTGACTGGCTGATTGATTCTTGAGCGTCGCCAGAATACGCGCTGCGACGCAAGCGTCCAGCTGTGACTCTCGCGGCAGAAGATACATCGTCGTCGCCTGGAGGGCCGAACGTGCGGGGAACTTGAGTGCTGAGTCCTTTATCTTTTAGGTCAATTTGTAATTTGAGGCGCCGGATCCACTGGATTACCGATGACTTGCCGATGAAACCAGTGGCCCTTGATTTTGCATCGCGTATCAAATCTTCCTCTAGTACGTCCAAAGACTCGTTTGAGCCTGCATCAGCCGTGATCATGGATTCTCCGCGCTTGTCATCATTCACTAGTCTTTCGAGAGCGTTTGTGTCAGTCGTCGGGGATGATAGCTTCGTCCTTTTGTTGGGCGGCGAAATGATTTGGAGCTCTTCCTCAGCTTCGGCAACCTGGACCATATTAGCAAGCTAAGGAGTCCTCGGGAATGGTATGCAATCGTACATTGAGAATAGCTTGAATTCTCTCTTGATCTTTAGAGCTTTGACGAGGCTTCAAGTCTTCTAGAAGACTAAGAGCCCCTTCTAGCTGACTCGTGGCCCTAACGCCTGGTTAGTCTGAATCAGTCAAGAGGCGCGAGAGAAGACAAACACATGCAGCTTGTCTCGACGTGGTGGCGGATATTTGCAGACGATGTCTAATTTCGTGCAATACTCGCACTTGGGTAAGTCACCGCTGCACTTGACCTTCCTCCTACGACAGTTTACACAAGCTAGTTCGGTGCGAGATCGATCGGCCTTGGATATTTTGCTTCCAGTACCCCCGCTGCTGGCTGATTTGGGCGCTATGAGACGAGGAATCGCAATCTTTCCGTGCGATAGCGGATTTGGGGATTGATACATGACGAGACCTGGGGCGGAGTCTCGATCAAACGGCCGGGCGATTGAGAATGCGCCTCGGATGTTTGATCGTGCCAAAAAAGACTCGATGCGGCCGACGTAGATGATTGTCGGTTCGTGTGATAGATGGAAAGTTGAAGCGGACAGACCCTCTGGTCGAATCAAAAGGGCAAAAGCAAAGCAAAGCAATGGGGGCAGATGATCGGCGGCGTAATTGAGTTCCCGTTACCGCCACATCCACGCTCTCTTCATCCAGGGTCCTACGCGGTGGAGATGTGACAAGGGACTCAAATAGTGCAGATGTGCTTGTGGCGCAGATTGCAGTCGAGTTGATGCTGCGAGTGACGTACCGGGCATCGGAATGCGGATTCCAAGGTTGCGGAGGGGCGTTTAGGTGGCCGCGATAGCGAACTCAGCGCTGGACGGACACGATGAACAACCTGACCTGTGGCAACCTGGACACAGCGTGGCTTGTGGAGAGGACGGGCCGACCTCGAACCGCAGCAGCTAGCACCGTCAGAGTCTGATTTGATCGTCCTTTCATGGGCTGGGTTGGGCGGAGGCGCAGAGGCTGGAGCATGACAGGTCGCGGCTCAGGCGATATGGGTTGAGAATTTGGCGCTGAGATGCAGTACTAGCACAATGCCACGTCGAGTTCGTAGGACTCACCAGATATAAACATGCATTTGTGGATGCCCGGTTCCTACTCTGCAAACCGTCGGTCAGGATGTAGTCGGGCAGCTTCTTCACGAATCAAGTGAGGGAGGCTTTTTGGATCGACTTGGAAGTTGGCAGGTAGCCGTAGTCTGGGAGCAGCACAGGAGGAGGCGCCGGTTGGCCGCTCTATACATTCTGTCGTCGTCGCGAACTTCTCTTCGGACTTGGTTCCGACACTTCTAGCTCGGCTGATCAGAACAACGGTTACATGGTCGACAAGGCTGCAGCGCCGGCCTTGTTTTGTTTCAGAGCTACCTTGTATGTTTGTTAGTGCAGTAAAACCTACGTATAGTGATAGGGGTCGGTCAGGGGGCTACTATCACTGTATAGGGAGTATCACCGTTACCAAGGTCACGTGTTGGTGATTTATAAGCCAGGCTGTCCCAAAACAGCCCAAAAAAGGGCCTTACAAAACCAAGCACAGTTAGTATGATATTGTATGAGAGGGGCTTAATGATACTATACTAAGCAGGGAGCTAGTGATATAGGAGGCAAATCGTACAATCCGGCGACTTGTATCACTGTATAGAAAATATCACTAAATCCCTATATCACTATAAGTAGGTTTTACTGTACACTGTCGGAGCATCTGGCAGCAGGCCATCCTTTGAGCCCTCGATGGATCTGTTGCAGGCGAGTTTCAAGCCATCGAAGTCACCACGCAAGTAACGAGGCAACGTTAGACGTGGAAGTGGACTGTGGCCTCATGCTCGTAGAAAAGCGTGCCGTAGAAAACAGTAGACTTCAAAGGATTGACCGTTGTGCTTGATACACTGGAGAGTTATCACCATCTAGGCGCGCTGCTCTACTTCAGGTAGCATGCGCAAAAGCGAAATGTACTGTACTGCTACGTACGCCATGGAGCCAGACAGAATCGGACCCGCCGTCGTTGTATCGAATAGAGTATCAACTTGATGTGAGCAGAGTTGATGGATGAAAGGTGAAGTAGAAGATATATGATAACGAGGAACTCAGCTTGGTGGCGTTTTCCACCGTCATGCCATCACGGACCGAGGCACCATCGCCATGCTTGCTCCACCATGAGGCTCTAGAAGCAAGGCGCAACACATGACCTTGAACAACCACCTGTTCCTTCAGCCCATCTCACTACTCTTCACGTCACGTTCGCAGTGGCTACCGCTGGCTGTCCAGAGCCATCCGGGTGTGCGGGTGTCCGAGAAGTGTGCTTGTCCGAGCTCAAGGACCTTGCCTAGGTATATCTACTGACTCCCCTCAGTCTTCTCCTGCGCAGCCTCGACCTCTTTTAGTGCTCCTATACATCCTCCCAAAGCCCAATTGGCCACTCCTCCCCTCAGCACTTCGCAATGGACGCCCCAACCCCCGCCGAGGGCGCCGAAAGCTACTACTTCACCCACAACCCACCGCCCAAGTCCCTCCAATCCAACGTCACCCTCGCGCGCGAATTCATCCACCGCCACGCCGACGAAGGCCGCCGCGTCGTGCTCGTCACCTCGGGCGGGACCACGGTGCCCCTCGAGTCGCAAACCGTGCGCTACATCGACAACTTCTCCGCCGGCACGCGCGGCGCCACCTCCGCCGAATACTTCCTCGAAGAGGGCTACGCCGTCATCTTCCTGCACCGCCAGTTTTCGCTGCTGCCCTACTCGCGCCACTACTCGCACAACACGCGCAGCTTCCTCGACTTCATGAAGGAGGACAACGGCCGCGTCGTCGTCGACGAGCAGCACCAGGCGGAGATGCTGCGCGTGCTACGCCAGTACACGGCCGCGAAGCGGGACAACAAGCTGCTGATCCTAAGCTTCGTTACCATCACCGAGTACCTATGGGAGCTGCGCGAGGTGGCGAAGCTCATGCGGCCGCTGGGGCCGAACGCGCTGTTCTACCTCGCGGCCGCCGTGTCCGACTTCTTCGTCCCGCACGACCGCATGGTCGAGCACAAGATCCAGTCGTCGGAGGAGTTCAATGCGGACAGCAGCGCCAACGGGCTCCCCAGCGGGAAAGTGCCGGCGGCGCGCACTGAGGGCCGCAGTCTGATCATCGATCTGGAGCCCGTGCCCAAGTTCCTCAAGCAGCTGGTCGATGGCTGGGCGCCCGAGGGCATGATTGTGAGCTTCAAGCTGGAGACGGACCCGTCGATGCTCGTCAAGAAGGCGCAGTACTCGCTCGAGAGATACGCCCATCACTTGGTCATTGGCAACCTGCTCATGACCCGGAAGTGGGAAGTCGTCTTTGTGTCAGAGATGGATGGCGAGAAATGGATACGGGTTCCTCGCAACCGGCGCACGAGGAGTATATCCGGCATTGAAGCCTTGATCGGTAAAGCAGCAGCGGCCGCGGCAGCAAAGGGGCAGTCTGTGGAGTCGCCCACGCTGACAGCAGAGGTGCTAGAAGGCGACCCGGCACAGGAAATCGAGTCTCTTATCATCCCAGCAGTCGCAGAAATGCACACCAAGATGATAGCCCAAGCGACGAACAAATAGTAAAGGCAGAAAAGGTCACTCGAGCCCAGCAAAAATGGGTTTATCCAATTGGGTTGAACCTAAGGCGTGGCTTGGTTATCCTTGTCTCCGATCTTCCACTACAGTGCCTTGCCATAAATATCCGTACACATTCCTGCCGCTGTTTGTGGGGCTCAAGTACTAATAGAAACCGGGAGCAGCGGATGCACTTCCAATCTGCATACACCCTGTTGACGCTGTGTGGGGTAGCCTCGCAAGTTTACTAGTTGTCCACGATGCCGAGTTCTGGCGAGCGAGGAAGAGATCGACGGCGATGACGGCTGACCGGGTCGCTAGTCCTGATAATCTATCTGCTCTATGGGAGCAACTTGGTATGGTTGCTAGAGGTCTGACAATAGCCTCAAGAATCGAACACTGGCCCGAATTGGCAGCGTTTCCTAATTCTCATATTAGAATTCGCTAGCAGAAGCTCTAGCTACTAAAGATGGCTAGCCACATCAAATGTCTTGCATTCCTGCGCAGGCGAACCGCTGTAAGACCAACCTGCGAAATCTTGAGTCTACAATGCCTTCGTCATAGAAATCCGTATCCGTGCACTCGTTTGCCGCTGCGTGAGGATGATCTTCATGGTATTTTCAGATTTAAGAATGCGAGAGGCGTTCCTCTTCGCATCCTCCGAAATCGCTAAGGCGCTTATTTTTGGATTCCTTTCAATCTTTTTACACACTCTTCTCCTTGAGAGAGAGAGAATTTTTTTTTTTTTCCGTTCTTTTGATGTCCGACTGCTTCTACAATTAGCGGAGTAAATTCGTGCGAGAGCGGCGTGGCCAATTTGGAGGGAGGGGGAATGGGCCGCCTCTTGAATGCTGCCATGATGAGCTAACATTATATACATCGTATGTAGCAGTAGGTTCGGATGAGCAGCTGATTCAATTCATCCGGATGCTCGCTGCCATGTGCCAAAGCAATAAACTCATCGGACTCTTGATTAATTATTGTATAGGGGTGGTTGAAGACTTCCCACCGTTATCTGCATACACTACCAGTGCCCATCTGGTGGCCTGGACTGGGTGATGTGGTATCATGCTGCTACTCCAGTTCGCTGGTCTCGATAGCAAAGGAAGACACGTGCGTGTGTGTGTGTGTGTGTGTGTGTGTGTGTGACGTTCAATCACTCCATCGTCAAATCAATACAAGGATAACAACTGTTCGTCATCTCCCAGTATCGCATTGCTAACCACATTTCTAAAGCACTCGAAACGACATAAGATAAAAGCAACTAGTCATACATCACCGCTTCATCCCCGCGCGGCGCGCCAGATCCCCTAACTCCAACCATGCCCTCCTTATTGCAAGTCTACCACACCATAGAACAAGTCCCCTATGTACACAACCCCCTACAGGTGGGAAGAGCCCGTCTAACAGATCCAGAACCAGATCTTCTCAAGGAAATTCCTCGGAATCTGCTCCGGCCAGATCTGCGCATCCAACGCCGCCTTGCCGCTCCAGATATCCGCCTCAGCCGCCTTGACGAAGCCCGGTCGCTTCCAGATCTTCCACACGGCGTAGAGGAAGAAGTAGATCGGGATGCCGATGTAGGCGGTGATGAAGTCTTGCACGGCCCAGTTGCCCTTTGTGAAGACGGCAAAGCCGTTGAAGAGGATGATCATGGCAAAGTACAGGAGGGCGAACCAGGCGGTGTAGGGCTGGAAGCGGGACTTGAAGACGAGGGTGTTGCGGTCGACGCCCTGAGCAATGAGCGCGCTGCGGAAGCGGAGGTAGGCGATGCAGATGCTGCACCAGGTGAAAAGTTGAGCGATGGTCGTGAGGGCTTGGAACCAGATGAAAACATCGTTGGCACCCGTGGAGACGCTCATGTAGGTTAGGAGAGAAACAGCGGCCGTGATGCCGACACAGTAGTACGGTACGCCCGCTTTGGAACATTTGAGGAGAAACTTAGGCGCCTGCCCGTTCTGGGCAACACCGAAGAGGTAACGCGAGCCGGTGTAGAGGAAGGCATTGGCGGATGAGGCAGCGGAGGTTAGGATGACGGCGTTGATGATGGAGGGAAGGGCAGGGATGCCGGCACGGTAGATGGCGATGACCCAGGGAGAGCGAGCTGCACCGGCCTCCTTCGATAAGAGCTTCTTGTCGTTGGATGGCACGAGCACACCGATCGCAAGGGAGCCCAAGACGTAGAAGAATAGGATGCGCCAGAAGACGCGCTTAACAGCTTTGGGTATGTTTTTTCGGGGGTTGGTGGCTTCGCCAGCCGCGACGGCAACCATCTCGACACCACCGTAGGAGAAGGCGGCGTTGACAAGAGTAGAGAACAAGCCGAGGAAGCGTCCAGCATCACCAGTGCTAATGTATGCCTTCATGGCACCCGGGTTCTTCCAGTAGCGGAATCCAATGCGGTCTTTGCTTGGTCCACCTCCCAGGTCAAGAATGAGGGCGAGCAGAAGCAAGCCAATGATGGTAATGATCTTGATCGAGGCGAAGATGAACTCGGCTTCTCCGTAGATGGAGACGGCGAAGATGTTCAAGCAGATGACGAGGACGATGATGACGGAAATCCAAGCAGCTATGCTGATTTGGTCGTTCCAGAACTCAACGACAACGGATGCAGCAGCAATTTCGGCGCAAAGCGTGATGGCGGATTGGTACTGCAGCGATAATTAGCACCTTGTCAAACATACGTGAAATGGCCTTCAATACCCAGTTGTTCCATCCGACAGCGAATCCCATGGCCGGGTCGACATAACGAGAGCAGTACTGAGGAATGGCACCAGGGAGAGGAAGCCAGGTAGCCATCTCACCAAGACATTGCATCATGGCGAAGACAGCGAGGCCGGTGAAGGTATAGCCAAGCAGCACGGAGAGAGGGCCAGCAGTGGCGAAGGCGCTGCCGATACCCAAGAACAAACCAGTTCCAATAGTACCGCCGAGAGCAATAAACTGGATATGGCGAGACTTGAGACTGTTGGTTGCATTAGATCCGATATCACACAAGACAGAAGGACGGAAAAGCACTTACCCTCGCTCGACATATCCGTACTCCTCAGCCGTAGCCAGGTCGCCGTAGAGGTCGGCAGCTTCGCCGGCGGCATTGCCGTTAGCCTCGATGATGTTCTTGACATCTTTGTAGTCGGCGGGCATAGAGCGCGCGTCGATGGAATACTGGTCCTTGTCGGACGACATAGTAGAGTACGGGTGGTAGTGAACCAAAGGGAGAGACGAATGAATGTGTGAAGACGAGAGAAAAGAGTGATAGAAGGCTATGCAGCTAGAATGAGACGGGCGGGGGCTAGCCGCGGGTTAGTTGGATGAGTCGGAAGTGCTCAGGACAGGACAAGTTGGCGTCTTTATATTTCCGCGCAGGCTGTCTCCCGCGTACAACCGTGGGCGGCGGGGAGTGCGAGCTGGTGGGACATGGGCGCTTGGGAGCTCAGACGGTACGGGGCAGACTGGCCTCACTGGCGTCTTCCTGCTGGCCCGTCCACGAGCTGGTATGGATAGTCAGGGATAGCTCTTCCTGGAGGTTAAGGCTGGGATTCAGAGGCGAAAGCTGGCCAGCCTGGGGCACTCACTGCCCTATCACTGCCCTCGAAGCGAGCGTCGTCCGTATTGTCTGCGGCTACGGGACCCTCCATTCTTACCTGCCGATCTTGTTGATACGCCATGCGGAGGAGAGCTACCTGTGCGGCAGGCCCTCGGAAGTGAAGACGGGGTGCGTCTCCGCCAAGCAGCCACCCGATGGTCGCACGCCGCCAGGCTTTGCACAACTCGGCCGGGGGGCAGAGAGGCAGGAGAGCATTCTGCTCGAGCATGATGGGAGGCGTGATAGGCGGGGGGGCTGTGATGAGGTGGATTAGATGGCAGGCCTGCGTCTAGGGATTGTGAGATGGATCAGGCGTCAAGATAGGGAATAGCCCTGTGGATCTAGGCATCGTGCTCCCGAGCGAGCGTAGCCGCAATCGGCAGTATCGAAGAAGGCTTCTGGAAGGGAGACGGCTCTCTCGGCATCCCGGTCGGCTAAGGTTGGTTTCCTCCACGAAAACTGATCCTGAGAAGGCCAAGCAGCCTCCACCTCGCTGGCCCGCGGGAGGAGCAGCCCGGAAGGCAGACCTTCTGGCGTGCTTCTAGCGCCCTTCCCTGCATCCGCCGTCAAGCCTCATCCGACAAGCTGCCGTTGACCGGTACAGGCTGCAATGGCTGTGCTCCACCCTCGAGTTGTCCACCTTCTTGATCTGCGCGAGGCTGAGACCCACCAACTCCACCATTGGCGCTCGGGCGCAAGGCTGGCACGCTGGACGTCGATGCAGGAGGCGCACATGCCGGCCCTCCAGCGCCCCATCTTAAGCCGTCTCAAGGGTGCAGCCAATAAGACTCCCGAGCACTGAAGTCTCGTAGGGTGCGCCAACCCTGCAGACCTCGCCGTTGCTCGTGTGACCTGCGGGATGCCAAGATACGTCCCCGTCCACGCCGTGGTGTTTTGTCAAGGCATACAAACACAAACACATCTCTAGCTATAGCCATCGCCAAAATCTGGCCAGACATTGACTCCACGGGAACGGCGTCAGTGGGGACTAATCTCGCACAGCCCACACGAGTAATGAATCGATTATTCTACAGGTTTAATTTACTGCGAGTTAGTCCACATCGCTTCTTATTTCCTTCTCACCATAGTAATGCCAAGCAGCTACTAACATTAGCGATGCTGCCAATATCTTTCTATTCAGTTGCGTCAGTCCTAAAAACTAGTTCTATTCCTTCTCAGGTGTACAAAGGTATAGAAAAGACGTACAAACATCCTGTTTTGACCAAGGATCAATCCCAGACCCGCACATCCTTCATTCCCTTGTCCGCCATCACCTGCTCTCTGCTCAGGTCATCCATCAGGAATGTTACTGCGTCTTACGATAAGATTCGGCCAACTCTGATCTTCGCTGGGATACCTACACCTCCATGTAGAACAGGCGACCAAATCTGAGGCTCGACTGCTCCCTTGTTCCATTTCGCATGCTCAGACCTCAGCAGATAAGAATGGAAGCCATATTCTAGTGGGTGCTTTCCAACATCCCAAGAGTTGACAACATTACACAAGGCTTTGTCTTCCCTCAAATCCCTCAACGTCCTGCCCCAGCCTCTTTCATCCCAGCTTCGTCTAGTTTTACCCTGTCCACTCTGGCGCTGACCGACCCCGCTCCTTCGCAGTACGCCCTACCCAAGCTAGGTTTCACCAGCAGGCGCATTGCCGGACATGGATACCTGTTACCTACCAGGGCAAAGCGAGTCGAGTACGGCCGCTAGAACGCCCGAAGAACATTCCTCTAGAGATCGCCCGAAGGAAGCGGGGACTTCGCCTGCAGGAAGTGGGCCCTTTTTAGCCATCAAGGGCTGGAAAAGACGCATGAGCCGCTCGGAGGATTCCGTACCCCAGGCTGGTGAGACGTGCTGGATCGAGGGGCTGACGCTGGTATCTGTACGCTCCATCGACATCAGTAAAATGTACGATATACTCATCGTCATCGGCTGCTACCTTATCGCAGCACGGTCTACCAACAAAACTCGGAGAACTTGCCTCAGAACAGAAGCGGTGGCGCGGTGCGTTAAAATAGCTGAAGAAGTTGCTATGTACACCAAATGTTCTTGCGGATAGCATCCATCAGTGAACAGTGCTATCAACAGCATCACATCGCCAGAAAACCGCACAACATGCCTGCCTTGAAGTCTATCCCAACTTGCCTTGATAGTCCCGCACTATCAAAGCAGTGGAAATTTCCTCACTCCTAAACCAACGCCTAACCAACACGCTCAAGCCACACCACTAACTCCTCCCAACCCCGCCTTGCCCCATCCTTATCACCAACCAGACATCTACTACAATAGCAACCCGGTATCCACCCAAGCTTCTACCACTCCGCATCATCTGAAACAAATCCTTCCCAGATCCCAGCCCTAGATCCGCTTCGGTCACACGACTCGACAAGCACAGAGAACTTGTCGTAGAAACGGCTCACCGAAGGACTACACCACCGACTCTACACGCGGAAGGAAGCAGGGCCTAGCCGTCCGTCCGTCCACTGATCCCACACACGGCGCTTCCGACCTCTCTAGCACTCGCGGCTCGCTCGCGGCGCTGGCATCGGACAAGTCCAGGGATTCTTTGAGGGTTAGGTGTAGATAGTCTTTGACAAGAACCACAGAAAAGACAGCAGAAATCAATCAAATGATATTCACGTTTCTCAATTCTCCCTTAATCTACCTACCCTAACCTGCCACATACCATTTGACGCAATTGCAAGAACCCTTTACCCAGCCCAGTCGTCCCTAAGACCATACGCGAGCCAAGCAACTCGCGAAGAAAAAGGCAATGGAACAGAGACAAGAGGAAGATGCAAATCGCACACCAGCACAGCCCTCACTTTCTAGCACCCATAAGACGTATATCATTGCGCATAACCAGTGTACCAAGGAGAGAAATAAGGTAAGGCATAGCAAGCAGGGCAAGGGGGGGAGGGGCCAGTGTTTGGAAATGGAAATGTGAATGGGACTGAGAAGAAGCCCGAGCCCCATCCACCTATTCATTCATCTGCGATGATAAACCACCACCCTTCCTATCATCGATATCAAGCCCAGTCCAGTCCAAAGGACCTCATCTAGAGAAGAGCATGGTCAAGGGCGCGAACGCAGAAAAGATGCCTATGCCCATCCCCTCCTCCGATGCCAATAGAAAACGCCTCCGTTCCGACTGCAAGAAAAAGAAACCCACATCCCGCCATGCAAGCTCCCTTTGGCGACTGTAGATCTTGGAGTCCGAATGGCAGGCCCCAACGACAGGTTTGCGGAGTCAAAGACCACAAAAAAGAAGTCCAGGAACAACGAGTTGCACCAGTCTATGCCAAGTAGCCCAGCTCGTCACCCTCCAAGCGCTCGAGATACTCCTTCTCTAGGAGGATGTCGATACATTTCTTTATGTCGGGCACCCGCGGCGAGAATCGGCTCTTGATCTGGCCGATTGTCTCTGAGACGAGCTGCTGGTGCTTCATCTTCTTACGAGACTTCATAATCCGAACGATAGCAGACTGAGAAAGATGTTAGCATATGGAATGGAGTTAGACAGTTTAAATTACTAACCTGCATGAGGAGTTTCCGATCTTCCTCAATAGTCTTGTGGGTATCCTCGGCTTCTTGCTTCTGCTCGGACTTGATTCCGATGTTCAGGTTAATCTTCATCTTCTTGGTCTTGAAGCCCGTGTTGAGTTTGTAGACCGTGCCGGCCTCTGGCTTCGCACCGTCCGGCGAAGCAATCACAATTTTTGCCTTGACGAAGACTCCAATGCTGGGATCCAGAGTCTCCTTGGCCAATTTCGTAGCCCCTGCCATCTCCTCGTAGGACACGGTGTCGTTGTCGTTGAAGAGCAACAGCAGAGCCATCTGGTACGTAGAAACCTGGAGAGTCGGGGAGGCCTTGGTGTTAGGCATCTTGATGTAATTAGCCTTCATTTCGCCCTTGCACAGCTGCCATAGCCAGGTGAGCTTGCGACCCTGGTGCTTGTGGTTGTAAAATTTCGCGAAGCGCTCATAGGTCTTGTTGATCTCAATCGGAGCCACGAACGGCGTCACGGGCGGATTCAGTGGCCAGAAGCCCGTGCCTAGGATGTTGTAAGTAGCATCAACGAAGTTCTTAACGTCTTCTCGCTCGAACGTATCGTTTACCCAGTCCTTGTACGAGGTGTTGAGATCTTTCGAGATCTGCATGTCCTGGAACATGCGCTGGAGCTTATTGGTGTACTCGAAACCGCAAGCCTCTTTGAGCTTGCTTATCATGCTAGTCTCCGCGTCATCGGACGCTGACGAAGTTTGCACAAGACGCTTGGCCAGCATTCGAGAGTAAAACTTCTGGAAAACGTCCTTATCCTCAATGTACTTGAAGACAGTCATGATTTGCGTCAAAAGCTTCTCCATGTCATCCTCTTCCGTCATTTTAGCTGTCGACTTCTTCAGGAGATTGTCGGTATACTTGGCTAGCAGCTCAGGCGACTTGTTCGAGCCAGACTTGCAAATTTTGTTCCGATTGACGAATTCTCGGCAGGCGTTGTCTAGAGAGCGCACGAACTCCGACTCGCCGTTGAAAGCTCGGTTGACGAGGTCTTGGTATTGGGTATGCACCTCAAGCAGTGCCTCGACATAGACCTTGGGCTCCAGGCTATCCCCCTCTGCTGAGACCTTTTCCACTGCAGCTAGGCCAGCTTTCCGAACGTGGGTCTCGAACCGGTTGCGCAGCGGGTCCAGTCCATCGGGAATCCGAGCAAGAAGCTTGTACATCCGACCCAGGTCGTCCTGTCGATCCTGATCCAGGAGACTCTGGAATTCGTCGCGCAGGATTGCGGAGTGGTTGGTAATTAGCGACTGCTCGCAAGTGCGCATCAGTGGGGTCATAATTTCGTTAAGGAGGTACAGCGGGACACGCTCCTTCTCCTCGTCTAGACGGGCCTCGGCCTTCTTCATATACTCCACAACATTGTTCTCCGCAAGGAACTGCTTCGACTCGGTATCGTAGTACTCCGCGGTGGAAACAAGGAATGGCTTCTCGAAGTACTCCTTGTACACATCCAGAGTAGACTTTGTGCTGTCGGATTCGTCCAAGCCTAAGGAAACGAACGAGTCTACGACGCTCTTGATGTGAGACTGCTCGATAGTTTCGCCATTACGCTGCTTCTCAACGAGTTTGAGGACCGAGCGCATCACGCTCTCTTGTGTGCCGGCGAACATATCATCTTTCCATCGTACAAGGTGCAGTGTGTAGATGTCATAAATGTTCTTCTTTCCCTCGTCCATTTCCCGCTTCACCCAATGACGATTGAGATACCGGAACAAGTGGTTGTTGTATTGGCCTGCAGTGGTGTAGCGGTTCCATTCTCTGATGTAGTACGTGAGCAATGCCTCGTCAACGTGGTCGCGCGATCGATCCTGAACACCCTTGAGGTGGTTCTGAAGGTATATGATGAGATGCTGGTAAAGGTCCTCTCCGAGGAGATGGGCTAGAATGCGAGTTAGCAAACAAGTTCAGAGAAACAAAGGGACGAGTGAGGATCACCACCTCCCCGGTTCTGATGACCGGTGAAGCCACCTGAGCCAACCGCCTTCTGGGCTGTGCAGAAGTTGTGAATCGCGGTGTAGAGACCCATGTACGTCTTCATATCCATTCCGCCGCGTAGGTCGTTCATGATCTTCTCCACGCCCGCTTCGAGGTAGTTCCATCTATGAATGTGATTAGCTGCTGTATAATCAAGCTTGAACCGCCTCATGGAGGCTCCCGCGCTTTGCGTGCCCGTTGTCGGGACACTGCCAGGCTATATGACCACATGCTTAAAGTATGTTGCTAAGCAAGACACCGTAGTGGGCGCACGCTCAGTGGACATGCAGGCAGGGCGGGCAGCAGACACCGAAGCCATGGCCAAAGGCTCTGTACAGGGGAGGACTTACGTTGCCTTCACATCATCCTTCTGCGGCATCGGGGGCATGCCAGAGGCATCTGGCGTCGAGGTGCCGCTCGGAGTTGCTGTACGGGTAGGCGTCGCCATCGCGGCGGTGGGGTGCTCCGGGGCACTGTTCGGAGGCGCCTTGTTGCGCTTGAAAAACCGAATTTTGACGGCTTAAAGCTGGGTGAGAGAGTTGGCGTTGAGGAAGGTGGGTTCGGGGGGGTGGGTGGTGGAGGCGAAGGAGCGAGGTCGACAGAGGACGGCGAGAAGATGTGGGGGCGGCCTCTTTGTAGGCGGTCAGAAGGTGAGAGGCGGGATTCAGAGAAGTGAATGTGGCATGGGCGAGCTGGCCGAGGAAAACGTTGGAGGTGATGGAAGGGTGGAAGGGTCGGGCTCTTTTGAGGTTCGTTGACGAGCTCAAGGCTCCCACGGGAGGCAGGCACCGCCAGATGGAACTCGCCGCACAGCCGCACAGCCGCACCTCAACACCATGGCTCTATCACCGTGCACACACACGCCATTCGCTATGATTGCAACGCCGACTTTCTGCGCTCCATGTAGCAGCGAAGAATGTACACTAGTCTGGCGAAAGGCATGTTGTCTAAAATCTCGGGCATCATTTGGAGCGCCCTCTCGTGCAGCGGCGACAGATCTGGTAAATATAGCTCTCGAAGCATGCCAGGCAGCAGTAAAGCAGTATACTCAGACGCTGGGCAGGTAGGATATCATTCACATCTCTGAGAGCCTCTGTTAAAAGGATGTGCTTTTGCTCTATCCCTTCGCACGCTGGCGTCCACACTTGGCGCCAAGCCCGTGCCCCAACGTACGCGCCAGCACGTAAACAAGCTAAATAGCTAGTTATTATCCACAATCAAATACTCCACAATGCCACGGACATCTAATGATGTCGACTACGTGCAGAAGGACCTACAAACACCCCAAACTTCCCTACCCCAAGCCTACGCCGCTGCCTGCATTCGAGCCACTACAAATCAACAACTACGACGCGCCCGGCACCCCCAATATACCTCCAGGTCTTGATCAGCATGATCCTGTGGCCCTATTCCGCCTATTCTTTACCGATGAAATGGTAGAGAAGATGGTGCGCTGGACGAACGAGTACGCCAAGGATCACCGGCCGTCCAAGGGCTCAGCTACTTCTATAGCTGCTACACGTATTTGAATTGCCTTAGCCGGGTGTAGGCCTCATCACGGGGGCCTAATTCGGAGCCTCTAATTGGCCGAATCCTTATCGATAACTGTGGACGTAAATCAGCGTGCGAAGGGATAGGGTTTCGCGACGCGTCAGGGGTGCTCCGCCAGACTAGTCACAGTGGGGCTAGAGCGATTTTCCAACCTGAAGGTGCATTTCGACGATGACGTTGGGAATTCTTACCTAGCACGAAACAAACTCCAACTTTCAGAGACAACCCAGTCTCTCAAACTCCACGCCACGAGCATGACCTGAACGACGGCACGAACCCCCCAATCATCCACCCCTCGCGCCCACGCGCGCATTCCCCGCAGTACTGCTGGAATACGAACCCGCCGAAACGGGCGCCGCCGAACCATGCGACTCTTCCTCCTCCCCGTATCCACGCGACGGACCCTGATCTACTGCGAGCGCATGCACGACAAGCTTGCGAGCGAGCGCAGCTACCTCGACAAACTCACCAACAAAGCTAATGAGACGTGGGCCAGCTGGGAAAAGGACGAGAAGAGTATCGCCAACTGGAAAAAAACCGTCACTGTCTACGGCAACAAGGCCTTCAAGAGGATTCCGTTCGAGGAATGGGGCTTGAAGACGGTGCCAGCGCTTACAGCCAAGCGGCGGAAGCTGGAGCTGGAGGGCAAGGAGAAGGTCGAGGTGATCTTTCCCAAGCGGTTTGTGCATGAGGAGAGGGTGCCTGGCATATTGCAGCAGCTGGCGACGGAGCGTCAGGCGCTGCATAAGAAGACGATGATAGGCAGCATTGTTGCCATGCCTTTTACGGCTCCCTTTATGTTGATACCTGTGTAAGCTACATCTGCACCGGCGAAGACTCTGGTGGTGGCTGACGTTCCGAAGGATACCAAACATACCTTTCTTTTACCTCGTGTTCCGCGCATATTCGCATTGGAAAGGTAACTCTTCCCTATATGCCTGCAAAAGCTGTTTGCTGATTCAAATATAGCTTTGACTGGCTCGAAGCACCTACAATTCATCTTGGAAAACAAACTCCTAAAACCTGTCCCCTCCTCAGAGCTCGACGAGGCTTATGCTGCGGGGCTCATGTACCCTACCCGCGAAGCATCGCGCACCGCTCCACTCCCTACCCAGGAACAAGTGTATGAGATATCCAGCGTCGTCGGCAAGCAAACGAACGATGGCTCCGAAGACGTCATGGTATTACAGCGGTGGAATGGCAAGCTGATAGCTGAACGGTTCAAGCTTCCAGAGATGGAGATTGAGATAGAAAGAGCAGTAGAGCAGGTAGAGACAGCGATAAAGGGCAAGGAAGAATTGCTCGAGGAGAAGCGCGAGCTTGAGCGAGCGACTGCTTCTCCGGACAATGTGCAAACCAAAGAGCCCGCAGATACGAAGACGCCGTCAGAGAAATTTGGGGAAACATTGCGGGAGAAGAAAAATGATATCCCAAAGCGGTGACACATCGTTCAGAAAACTTTGTATCATAAGGTGTAAGACCGCTCAACTTTTTGGTGTAGAGACATGAACATAACGCATACTAATCAAAACCCTGTTATCACTCATATATGTCATTTTTGCATGATCTGTGTTCACTCCCTTGCCACTGCATAAGGTTCTTCAGAATACTTTCATTGAAAGAGATTCTATTCAAGGGGCATCATAACTACCTACTTGGACTTAACGTCCTAGCAATACGCCGTAATTCTCCCTCTGCTGTCCTTACTTCTCAATAGTCACCATTTCCCCCAGCCTTGACTTCAAAGCTCCGCCTTCGCCCTCCAAAGCCCATATCACAATCTGCTCCAGCGCATCCGCACCGATCTTCTCGACGGGAAGCCAGTGGCCGCCTTCTTCGATGACGACCACCTGACTTTGCTTCGTCAGGTAATCTGAAATCCCCTCCAGTGCCAGCCTTCGCTCAAAAGCGGGGTCTTTCTTCCCGTACACCAGCGTCACTGGCGCCTGGAGCGAACCCGGTGGCCCATCTTCAAAGAGGCCAGTGCCGCTGCTTGACCGACGAGAAAGCGATTGATCGTCGAGTTCTGACAGCCTCACAATCATCTCAAGCGACTTCTCCCATTTGCCCCTGAAGAGACCTTCGCGATATATTCGGATCTTCTCGGACCAGCCGCCGTCGTGTAGACGCTGTTTGACTGACTCCGGATAGGCCAGTCCATCCTCAGTGACGGTACCAAGTTGAGCTGCAGCTGGGCCAAGAGTTGCGGCCATGCATTCTGCCGCTTCGGTAGAGCTTAGGCCGGCTGGTCCTGGCCTTCTACTTAATTTGTGCAGTAGTCTCAGGAACCACCTGCCTCCCATGCGGCCGGCGAAGTTGGAGAGTGGCTGCGGCAGGTGGAACACGACAATATAGCCAGATTTGCGAGCTTGGCTGAGAAGGGGTGTAACAGTCCGGAAAGCAGTCTTGAGAAGGCGAACAGAAAGCGGACGCTGCAGCCATGTGTGTAGCATCTGTTTCGAGGAGCCTAGGTGAGCCTTTGCTGTCGAAGCTATTTGCTCTGGCTGTTGCTCCTGTCAGTATATCAATGTAGTGGAGAGAATCTTGATAGATTCAACATACGAGTACGGCGCTGCTGATAATGAATCGATCCACAATTTGAGGGGCTTCAGAAGCCAGTCTGAAGGCTACGACGGAGCCCCAGTCATGCGACACGACCAATACCCGACCTCCATTCTGAATCGGATACTGGTCTCGCATGCCGATGATGAAGGTTCCCATAGCTTCGAGCACCGTCTCGGCGGAGTAGTCAGGGAGGTTGTCGCTCCCTCCATAGCCACCGAGATCTACTGCAACGAGGACGCTGTCCTTCAAGAGCTCGGGTGAGGCTAGCAATCGCTCCCAGAGAATCCAGCTATCCGGAAAGCCTGATATTGTTAGCTTGAATCGCGATGCCGTGAGTGATGAACATGCCGTGCAGGAACACAACAAGGTTCTTTGGGGTAGTCACTGCATGTTCCATGTAATGCAGTCTTCGGCCATTCTTTAAAGTAAAGAAACGATGCTTGAATCCGAACGGCGAGCTTGCAAGGTCCCAGAATTTGCGCTGAGCTGTCCGGAATAACGTCATTAGTTCGGTACATCATCAACAGTCTGTGGCTCGCATACCAGCTGCTAGTCCCTGCTTCTCTGTGTCTGTGATGCTGCGAGTGAGAGAACCGTCCAGAGCAGCAAGGGCGGTGAACACAGCGAGCGTGAACACTCCATAGAAAAGGCTTACGCCTTTGGCAACCGCGTCGAGGAACATGGTGGCAGTGTATTAGCTAGACTAGCTCCTAATCAGTGGCTGTAATGTGAAGGGAATCCATCGAAGGCATTATTCGAGGGATCTGAAGTGTAGTTGAACAATCGACGTTTGATGAACAGAGTGTCTCCTGATGAGGAAATGACCATCGCGCAGTGGCACCGTTTTACGAAGACCCCGCAAACATTGATTGGGAGCCGTCACACGCTCATGCATACATTTCAAACTTCCGCCTCGTGTTTTAGAGTCTGACATGCTGAATTTTGAGTAGCAGCGAACTCGTACGGGCAGCACTGAACGTTGTTTGGGATATGACGTCATAATGCAATATGATTGGCTGATAGTTCACGATCACGTGATGCTGTCCCAGTCGTTCACATTGGGTACCGTGAGATAATTAACCAGTGCATAGGCACTGCTCACCAGGTTCCTCCGCGTTAAACCCTCTCACGCACGACAGTGATCAAAAGCAGTGAGAGTATTGTTATCCTGCACCATAATATAATATCTAGAATATACGGACCCGCACAAGGTCTCAAACCCACGTTCATATTTACGAAATACATTAGCGCTATGAGTATCCGACATATGAAAAGCAAAGAGAGATGCACGGCTTGCAATGCAGAAGAAGATCTGGAAACGCAAACCATGCCTCAGGAAAAGCAGAGTCAGGAAACTAATATTACATAGCAGACATTAACGGACCATGGAAGGGAAAAGTGACCATGGAAGACATCCGAGAATTACGCTCATGGGTATGTCGCTGTACAAGGCCAATTATATACGTGTCCGCCCATACATGATGAAAAAGCTCCTAGTATCGTTGTCCCTAGCACCCATCTCGAGTTAATTTGGGACAAAGCGCTGCGTGCTCTTGGAACCTAGTCCAACGAACCAAGGGTGATCATTAACTTTCCCGTACTTCAGGCGTAGCAGCATCCGTTTCAGACTCTGCTCCAAAATTCGGGTCGCGTAATACGGACTTGTCCGATGCCGTTGTCGGTGAAATAGGCTTCGGTGCGAGAATCGTCGGTCCTGCATCATCGGCCGCCGAATCGTTCGATTCTTCCCGTGGAGTCCTGCCCATGAGTCTGTTCTCGTCCAGATTAAATTCAACCGGTCGCCCATTGCCGCTGCCAACAGGCACGGAATGCTCCGGCAGGTCCCTGAGCGGCGTTTCCTTCTTTTCTAGGTGCTTTAGGTGCTCGAACTCGACCAGGGAGGAACGGCGCAGCTGTTCGAGCTTCAGATCCGGATCCTTGAAGGACGGTGAAAGTTAGCGTTTGGTTCCAGTCAGGAGTGCAACAACAGCATCAACATCAGATTCGGACTGCAAAGTCAGACCGTGCGATTTCGCAAGCGCATTCACAGTACCTGGACTCGGAAAGTATGAAGGCGTTAAAGAGGCCAAGGGCGCGCCTCGAGAACTGACGCCGCTGAAGGGGCTTATTTTGACCGGAGGCGCGGTCACGGTTTGAGGGCTCTGAACAGTAGGAGCCAATGTCGGGGCGGTTGAAGCAGAAGCGCTTGACGAAAGTCGATGATGTACGCGACGAAACGAAGCAGCGCTCGTAGAAGAAAAACCGCATTGTGGACATACCCAGTCGACTTGGTCCGGCACGCCTTCGGCGGCTGGCAATTCTCCTGCCTCATCCCTCTCATCACCCCAGAAGGTTGGCCGACGAATCGGTGCAGGCGTAACCGGAAGACTCGGCCTCTCGACGGCAGTAGGGAAATCTGTCAATATAAGGCTCTCGCGACGCTCTTGTCGGCTTAGAGTCGGCGAGAGAATGGACGGTCCACCAGCCGGCCCTAGTGTTTCGATGCCCGGCGAGGGTCTTCCATGTCGTGTCTGTGCTTCCATGATCGCACGCACATAGCTTTCGATACCCGGTACGCTGTCCCAGGCATTGCTGCTCTGTGAGAAAGCCTGCCACCCTTCCTCTGCCGTTTGTGGCGGCGAGGTCGATGATTCCGGTCCCTTCTCTTCCAATTTTGAGGCCGCGGAGGCTGAGACGGTAGGTATTGGGGCGGGGGGGAGATCTTCGGCGAAGACGCGGGTTGGTTTCGGTACACTGCGTTCTTTTTCCCATGGGAAAATTGGTTTTGGCTTGTCAGCGACTGTAGGTTTCGTCTCAGGTACCTGGTACCACATGTCTTTAGGTGGTTCTGGATATGACTGCGGCGCTTGAAAGAGGGATCGGCTTTCGGTCCACTCATACGTTTGGCTGGGAAAGTTGGCTGCCTCAGGTTTCGATTCAGAGGGAGGCTCCGAGCTGTGGATGTCAATTCACTCCTTGAAGGTACTAACATTATGGCCAAGCTTACCGTGTCGCGTCCCAAGACATAATGGGAGCAGAGAACTTTCGTTGGTCAACCGTGGGTGTCGGCTCTACATAGCCTTGGTCAATGTTCTCCACAGTCTCTCCAGGGTCAGACAGCGGCAGTTCCGTACTAGTGGTTGGCGCTTCTGGCTCGATGATCTGGGGCGTTGAAATTAGATGTTCGATAGATGTGGTTCCGAAGTCGACGCTTTTTACCTCGCCGTGAACGTGCTTTTGCACTGTTGTGGATGGGAAGCCTCCAGCGGAGCGTGAAGTCTGAAGTCGCGTAAGAGGAGCGCGAGCTAATGCATCCGGTCTACTGACTGATTGTCCCTTCAGGTGCTTGTCGTACACAGCCCACCAGCGTCCCAGAAGCTCGTTGTAGACACCTCCTGGACTCTGCCGCCCCTTGGTCCACGGTTTGTCCTTGCCAATGAAGTGGACCATCTTGATGTTGCTCTTGTAGTGCCGGTATGCTGGTTCCCACTGGTACTGGGCGTTCGGAGTGCAGTTGTAGGTAAAGCTGAGCCTATGCCAGTTCTTGTGCTCGTAGTATTGGTTCAAGAGGCCCTGGTCAGCTCCGTCGAAGCTATCTCCACTGGCCGCCAGAGTCTGAAGCGCCCAGTAGTCACCCATGTTCGGAGTGAGGACCATGACGCCAGTATTGAAAGCATCTGGCCAGCCAACATCGGGAGCAGCCGCAAAGGGAGCATCAATGTTGAAGAGCTCGTCCGGCGCGCGTAGAGCCACGACATCGGCGTCTATGTACACAATCTTGCTAAACTGAACTTGTCTCCAGAGGGCTATCTTGGTGAAGGCGAAAGCAAGATCGGCACGGTCCATGAGGAAGAGATTCGAAGGATTGGGGGTTCGAATCCGCTCGACGGGAATGAGATAGTCATACAGGGCCTGTGGAGGTCAGGACAAGGCCGTTGACATTAGAGAACTATCTGTACGGACCTTGAGTTCGGTGACTGTGTCGGCGGATAAGGTGTCCAGCGTGACGAGGACCGCCAGCTTCTTGGTAGTGCCGCCATCTCGCAAGGAATGAGCTAGGACTGCAGCGCCGGGAAGGTACGCATCGCTCATGAGCAGCGTGCAATACACTTGCTCGCCATAGCTCGCCATAGTCGAGGACAGCTCCGGTCCCGAGGATGAAGGAGTGGAGGTAAGAGGCGTCGGCGGCTCAGAGCTCGGTTTGGAGCTCGTTTTCCCCGCTCTAGCTCGACCTTGACGTAGCGGAGGAGCTCACGAGCTGTCGGTCACGCGCAGACAACGGAGCAAGAAGAGACGGCTAGACGAGGACAATGGGCGCGAGAGTGTGGTCCATGGTCAATTGGCCGCCGCGCAGTCGGCACAGCTCCGAGCTGCTGAGGTGGTAATGCAATCTCCCAGTCTTCAGCATGCCCTGTATGTTGCCGTGGCGCGCCCGTATCTCACGCCATTGGCTATCCCGACAGCCGTTGTACAAACGGGTCGGTTGACCTGGAGATATCGGCTATGGCCGCAAGCTGCTCCGAGCACGGGAATCAACATCACGCATCCATCCCGGTTCATGGAAATCGCCGTCGTCATGTAAAGATTATCGTATCGCTGTTAAATATCTTAGAAATCAAGGAATGGCATCGAGCTTTATACATGCCACTGCAAGAGTGGTTTAGTGACATGACCACTGGCTCATATCGATACTCCTCTATTTTATATTCACTACCCGTGCGACCCGTACACCACCGCCTCCAACCCCCCGATATCGTTACACTGAAAAAACCCCAACCTGCCCGCCCTACCGTCCCACCCATCACTGAGAATCTCAATCACATGTGCCATCTCCGCGCCCCGTTTCTCCCTGGGCAGTTTCGATACCATGAAGTGTATGTCGACGAGGAACGGGAACGTCTTTCCAAGCGCGGGATGTGTCGTACAGGCCTCAAACGCTGATGACGTGCAGTAGTTCTGTAAAGCTGAGGCGGTATCTGGACCGTCCGGATGAGAGCCATCAGCGGGTGTGGGAGGCGGACGTCGCGTAATACCCGAGTTTATGACGAGCGATGTCAGGTTGTGGCTTCGCGCGAGCTGTGAGAGATCGCGCATTAAAGAGGCAAGCATTGCATGGGCTGTGGAATGTCAGAGAAGTTAAGAAGAGCGAATGATATGCAGAATCGCCTGCTGAACTGACAAAGCAAGAGAAGAGAGCAGCATTACCTTGCACATATTTGACCTTCATGAGTGGGCTCAGCACTTGGGTAATGTTATCGACAATGAGCATCCAAGTGGCCCCTCCACCTTCATCCGCGCTGACATCTGGACTCAGATGCCGCCTCTCTTCAGGGCGATGTGGCTGCCATGTTTCCCGCGTAATCATGCCTACGAAGAGCATTTCTTCCTCTTCGTCCTCTTCATCTTCGCTGTCTGCTACTTCTACTCTCCGGCTACGATCCGGCTTAGGAGGAGCTGTCGTTTTACTTGGAGGCGTTTTGGCCGCTGATCTCGGAGCTGTCTGGCTGATCTCTTCCTTCAATTCCTCCAAAGCCTCCTTCATGCCAACGAAGTCGAAGACACGCATGATCTTCACCCTCTCGAGCGCTGTGGCGGCAATGTCGTCTGGCTCGAGCGACCCATTGTTCGGCTTCGCATGCTGTGGCACGACATCCCGTTGGAGATGAGAGACCAGGGTAGTGTGCAGTCTTAACACGTCAAAGTTGCCGGAAGTATCGATGATAGCAGCATGCGATCGTGCATTTTCAAGGAGATGTGAGGATAAGAAAGCGAGAGCTAGCTGTATGATAGATTAATATGAGATTGTGGAATAAAAAATCCGCGTGTAGGGAAACAAAAGCACGTGGATTCGATGTGAGGAATCAGATAGGAACAAGAAAGCAGAAACGGGCGTCACAAGCAATGATTAGGATGGACAAAACCAAAACGATTCAACAGGATAGCATTAGCAAAACACAAACCCACCCCGGTCTTCCCAGCCTGCCCTTCACCGGAAACACAGCACAACCCCCTGATCCCCCTTTCCTTCCTTCCCTCCAGCGCTTCGTCCACACTCCGACACCCTGTTGTTACCCGTGGGATGCGCGGGTGTTCTCTATCGCGCGCTATCAGTGTCGCAATCTCATCGGGATGGACCAGGGATGCGGCATCGGCTGGAAGGGATGTGCCGAAAGCGGCCATGCAGTCAGTTGATGCTTGAGGTCGAGATTTGGAAACGCCAAGTGTCGTTGGTGGAGACTTGGGAGTGGAGCTGCATCAAGTTTGTTTTCTCCTAAAAATTTGGGGATCCTATATTTCAGACCACTATCCGAGGCGACTAAAAGAGTTTATCAATCGTTCAAAATGCCATATGTTTGCGTGAGATTTGCAATGGCGTTACCCCTTATTTTAGTCCGCCTACTTTTGAAGTGGTTTGTACACGGCAGCTGTTTGCGAAAGCAATGGTCTTGTATAGGTCACGTGGCGCATTTTAGTCTGCTGGCCCGTGCGTACATTCTCTTTACGCGACGACGCGTGAAGCTGCAACATTCACTACTGCTTTGCACTCTGCACGAGAACCACAATGTTTGCTCGCGTAACGTGTATCTGGAATTCATGAAGGACTCTTCTCCATGCTTCCCCTCTTCATTCGATCCCGCAATCCACCTCCACTCCGAGCTTGACGCGTACGACGCGCCCCACGAAGACGTTTCTTATTCCGACGATCTCGAAGCATTGCACGATACCTTAAAGGAAACTACTGCGGAAAAGAACAGACAAGGGATCGTGATTCAGCATAGAGCTTGGAAACTCCCTGACGTCTTTCGAAGCGAGGAGAATTATATAATTGGTACACAGCATTACACGCCGCAGACCGTCCTTCAACGACTAATGGATCCTAGATAGTCCGCTGAGGGCTCCTAGAACATTTCTTCCCTCTCTTGTCAACCCGACCACCTCTTCTAGCTATCCAGCTCCCCCCTCATCTCCACCAATATCCACGATGCCGATGATATCCTCACCAGTCGCGTATCCACCGAGCTCTTCGCCGAAGCTCGGATCGCCGAAGAAGAGGAAATGGGCTGATGTTCCACGGAGTCCGTTGAAAGATGTAGATTCGAATTATTCTACTAAAGCTTTTGGCGGATTTCTGCAAGCGGAATCGGATGATGAGGATGATTTCAACGCATTTCTGTCGAAGAAACGCGCTAGGACGGTCCTGAAAGATGTCGTGGCGGACAATACACCACCAGCAAGCCAAGGAGAATCTGTTTTGGACCCCGAAACGGTCGCAGTAGAAGACTTGGATGCATATTTCAAGACTCCGTCACCCGTGAAGCAGGCCCAAGAGCCACAAGATCCAGTTCCGACGACTGATAGGCGTCCTCTGATGGCGACAACAGCAGCAGGGCGGTCGATATACGTAGGGCAAAAGACCGCCGCTCCACTCATGTCGTACGAGCAACTCATCGCATCTCGCTCCACCGTTGTTGAAGGAAAGGCACAGAGAAGCTACTACGGAATCGATATCCATCAATTGATGGACGATGCAATCCAAGAAGATATGGAGGCTGCGAAAGCAAGAGAAAATGAGAGGAACGCGCCAAAAGAGTCCGTTGAGCAGCCACAGGACATCGTACCACCTGGAAAGAATAGGAAAACCTTGATGTGGACCGAGAAATACCGGGCTCGCAAGTTTACGGATTTGGTCGGAGACGAGCGTACTCACAGATCGGTGCTACGCTGGCTGAAGAGCTGGGATCCTATAGTGTTTCCTGGCTCCAGTAAATCAAAGGCGAAAGCTGGCCAGGCTTCTAGCGACGATGTTGAAGAGCAAAAGCATCGCAGGATTCTCATGTTAACAGGACCACCCGGTCTCGGCAAGACTACCCTAGCTCATGTTTGCGCCAGACAAGCAGGCTACGAGATTCAAGAGATTAACGCTAGTGACGAACGAAGTCACAACGTTGTAAAAGGAAGAATCCGCGACATGGTCGGTACCGAGAATGTCAGAGGTGTCAACACGAAGACTGCTGATGGCAAGACAAGAAAGGCTGGCAAGCCTGTGTGCGTCGTTGTTGATGAAGTGGATGGCGTCGTCGGTGGTAGTGGTGGTTCTGGAGAAGGAGGCTTCATCAAAGCACTGATTGACCTCGTCAATCTAGACCAGAAGAACTCTAGCATGATAGGGGTGCAGACGAACGCTCCGAAAAAGAAACGGAAGGGCGATAAGTTTAGGCTTCTACGTCCGTTGATATTGATCTGCAACGACGTCTATCATCCGTCGTTACGACCGTTACGCCAGTCTTCCATTGCCGAGATTGTTCATATCCGTAAGCCACCGCTAAACATGGTTATCTCTCGCATGCATTCCATATTCGAGAAAGAAGGCATTCCCTGCGACTCAGATGGCGTTCGTCGACTTTGCGAGGCTACGTGGGGCGTGAGCACGAAGAAGGAGGGAGGCACAGGAACCGGAACGGGAGAGGGCGATATACGTGGTGTCATGGTAGTGGGTGAATGGATTGCCGGCAAACTTCGATCATCGCTGAACTCGCAACCTGGCATCACGAGACTTACGAGGCGATGGATCGAGGACAATGTTTTGGACGGTCTTTCTCACGGAGGTGGCGCAGCCAGAAGCCTTGGGCGCGGTGGAGCGAAAGAGGTTGCAGAAAGGGTGTTTCGTGAAGGAGCAGGATTTCCCAAGAGCGCTGTCGCTGTTGAGCAGAACAAGGGCTATATGGACGGCACAGGGGTAATTGGTGTGGCAGAAGCAAGCAAGCGACGGGCCATGGAACGACTTCGAGAGATGATTGACACCAGTGGAGAGACTGACAAGATTGCAATGGGTAAGTAAATCCGTACACTCTCATCAAATTATGGTGCTTACGACCACAGACTGCTTCACTAGCTACCCCAATCAGCCCTGGCAAGATGACACCTTCCTCAGTAAACCCAATGCCGCCTACGAATGGCTCAGCTTCCACGACACCCTGTCCTCTGCTGTCCACGGCTCCCAAGAATGGGAACTGGCACCTTACCTCTCCCAATCCGTCCTCGCATTCCACCATCTCTTCGCGTCTTCAGGCCGCGCAGCTCAGAAAAATTCGGATCCTTCTGCCGAGGAAAGCCCCTTCACAGGCCCGAGCGCACCATACACGGCGAATGAAGTCCAGCGATCCAACAAAGCCTCTCTCGTCGCCCTCCAATCATCCCTCACCCTCCCACTTACACGCATGTTCCGTTCTCCCGAGGATCTTGCCACCGACCTTCTCCCTTATGTTCTTCGTATGCTCTCTCCAGATATCAAGCCTGTTATTGTCAATACCGGCTCTACAGCCGACAAAAACCGCAACGTAGCCACCGCGTCTGTCCGCAAGGCTAGCGAGAAGGTTCTCGTCAAGCGTGCTGTGGATGCCATGGCAGCTACAGGTGTACGGTTCGAGCGATCACGCGTCGAATTCGATGATGCTGGTGCCCGCGGAAACTATGGCGGATGGGTCTTTCGTATGGAACCACCCCTAGACGTGCTCGGTCAGTTTGAGACGATGGGAGGGAAGAGAGACGAGAAGGTCCGATTCGCGGTCCGACAGGTTCTAGAAATGGAGTGGAAGCGGGAAAGCATGAGACTCGAGGGCGAGGCGAGGCGAAAGAGAGGTGGAGGTGATGAATTCGAAGAAGTTTTTGAGAAGGTAGGTAAAGAGACTCCGGCGGAGGAGGCAAAGAGGAAGGAAAAGATGAAAGAGAAGCTGGTCAAGAGGGACTTCTTTGGACGAGCTATTGTTGCGAAGCCAGTTCCTGCGAATGGCATCGTGGAGGCGGTGAAGAGGACTAGGGAAGAGAAGGCGGCGGATGAGAAGGAGGGGAGGGTGTGGATCAGTTTCCATGAGGGGTTCTCGAATGCGGTCAGGAAGCCTATCACGATTGAGGAGCTGATGAGGGGTTTGTAGATATATGGGTGCGGCATTTCAGCATCGTGGCCTCGGCTTTGAAGCGTTTATGTTAGTTGATGTCATGTCATAGGTTTAAGAGAACTGTTTTTGGTCCTCGATTTGCAAGACATTTCCCCACCAGAAAGCGCTATCAATGTTTCGTATCGCCCTGGTACCTGACTAGAGATTGATCAAAGCATGAACATTTGAACCGGTGAAGGTAGTCTAGTCCATCCAGGAATTCTTATTAATCTACGTTATCAAACACAGCCCAGGGTATATTCGCATTATTCGCCCTCGACAGACTCCAAACCACCCTCAAAGATGAACCAAGAACCCAGCCCAGTACTAATCAAGTACTATATATAGTACACATCGCATCCTTGACAGCCTCGGGGCTCGCTCAATCATCGCCAGTCAGATCCACAAAATCATCCTCGGCTTTCCGCTTCAGCGATCCAGATCCCTGGTTCGGCGCGTTCAAGACGTTCGCGATCGCCATTGGCGTCTGCGACGTCCTGCCAGGAACCACGTTTCCGGAGACAGGGCCCAGAGCAAATGTCCCAAGCCCCGATCCCGTCGCATCTCTAGGCTGCCCAGAAACCATCCATGGATACTTCTCCTTTCCTCCGCCGAGCCCTGAATTGAGCCGCGAGCCCTGCAACTGCGGTAGCTGAGCTTGGGCTCGGGCAGGTCCCCCAGAATACTTGAGTCGAATCGCTCTGAGCTGCATGATGCTATCATAGCTATCTCCCAGCGCCTCTTTCAGCTCGAGCTCTCCGAGTCCTTTGATCTTAGTCTTAGCGAGCTTGACGCGCTGCTTCCATGCGGCCAAGAGCTCTTCATGACCTCGGTTCGTCTTTGTAACCACCAGCGTGTATGGAATGCCCATGCGCTCTGTCTCGCGCTTGCAGTGGCTCGCGCTCAGCTGTCGGTCAAGGTGATTTCGGCGCTTTTCGTTCAGGGAGAAGCGGCCCTCTTGTGCATTTGGGTTGCTCAGGAACCGGTTGAGGGAGATACAGTCTTCGCACCAATGGGTAACGGTAGGACGGGCCCAGTCTTGCGGTTTGCGGGGCTCATGACTGACGAAGTGAGTGAGATAGTTTAAGAGCGTTATGCGGAATACTTCCTGAGTATGCGTAGAGCCAAGGGAGATGGAGAATCTTGGGAGGAGAGAGGTCAAAAGATATAGGAGAGGAATGACGAGCGTGTTGTATTCTTCCCGTTTGACCGAAGCGGTTGAAAAGGCCGTGAGAATGGCTTGCACATCATCATGGAATGATAGTGCGAAGCAGTGTTCAAGGAAGTCGTGGAGTTCTTGCGCCGAGATGGACGGAGGGGCATCAACTATTTTCCCGTGTGGAGATGCGGGCTCATAAGCTGTCCGTTGGCGTTTGTTTACTGAAGATGTCTCGTCTTGGTCTGCGACGAGAACGAAGTTCTTTCCTATCAGTGGCACTAGCTTCTTGAATATCGCTAGAGTCTCGTCTTCCGATATAGCGTCTTCTGCAACATTACATACAGCGTTAATAAAAGCAATGACGAACGGCGTCCGGCTAATGTGGCGCTCAACGACGGGAATGATCCTTGAGTACTTTGTTAGACATGATACTAAATACTTCGTACCGAGATTGAACTTACTTGTCATTGAGGTATTGAGAGACGCTGTCCTGAGCCAACGCAACTTCTAGCAAAGGTCCTGCGTCAAGTATGGACACTGTTTGAACATCCTCTAGGAAGTTCTCGAGCTCTTCCATGACCCACGCAGTGAGTCCGGATTCTTGATTGCGGTGCAGCGACTCGTTCGTGAAACTTCCTCCGAGAAAGTTGCGAAAGGCGTTGACATGAAGATGTATCTCAACGTAATGGGCGTTGCAGCGATTGAGACTAAGAATCAGAAATTAGTATAAGAAGAAATTTCTGTAAGGGGTAACTAACCCTGGCTTCATGTCTGCAAGACTGATCCAATCAAGCGCTTTCCCCATTTCAAGGAAGATTTCCGGGGGCGTACGAATCTGATAGCAATCGAAAGCTTTCGCGAAGATGTTAAGGTCAACCAAAGCCAGGCTCGCCTTGACTACACAGCTGATGACGCTGTCGGAAAACATCTCGTAGGTCCGTACTTGTCCATCCTTCTTACAATCGGTGTTTTTGGATAAAACAAGCTGGCAAGCGCTCCGGAGACCCTCTTTGATGGTTTGTGCCATCGGATCTTTTGCGAACTGACTGGCCAGGTACTCAATAAGACTAGCTATGCCACCATCTTTGTTGAGACGATAGCCTCTAGAGTTCTTGAAGGGTCCCATGAGGAAATCTATTGCACGGTGTCGCGGGATGATAACGACTGCCTAGTTGGGTAGTCAGCCACGTAACCAGAAGTAGACTCAGAGGTAAGTAATACCGTCTTCCTGTACCAGTGCCTAGCACTCGCCCCTGAATTCCCTGTGAAACCTTCGTAGTCTTCCTCGTCTGGATCAGCACCTTCAAATGCTTTGTCTTGAATGATCTCCGTAGCATTAATATTGATGTCCTCCATGACCTGCATACCCTGAAGGTCCATGAGACTCTTGATAGCGTAGTCATCCTCATAGATGTCCGTAAGATCATGGTACTGGCCATCTCCTCTACTCTCATCGCCCTCATCGTCCTCGTCACCGTAGTAGTTTCCATATCGACCCCGCCGGCGATCGTACTCATCATAGTCATACTCCACTCCGCCGTACATCTGTCGTTCAAGTGCTGCGAGAAAGATCGAAAACCCGTTGGCTTCACAGGCCTGCTTTAGCGCCATAACGCGGCCAAGATCCTGACTCTTCAGAAGGTCCATCTTCAGGTTTGCTTCGGTGTATTTGTGCTCCAAGACATATATGAGCTCGCCAAAGTCGTTCGTCAACGTGCTCGTGTGGTGGGATTTCCATAGGCCGACCGTGTTTCGGAGAATGCTAGACTCGTACCTCAGCGTAGAGAGATCAGCGCGTGAGCCTTTTCGAACGAGATTGTACGTGAGGACCCATCTGTATCCTGAAGTGATCTCTTGCACCTATAGCACATAAAAGATCAGTGAACCATCTCCATTGTAGAGCAGAAAATTTGCTGACCTCATGGATAACATCAGAGTACCACCAAAGGTAGCAATGATCCACCTTCGACGTCGCATACGCCTTCTTCTCGCTCAAATGCTTCAACCTCACCTCGCCCCCAGTATGCGGCGACGGCAAGCAAATAACCATCGTGCCAAACATTCCGGGCGCTTTCTCGCTGCTACTTCTCATTAGCAGCCTATCTCAAGAGACCAGAGGGAAGAATGCACGGAAGAAGCCTAGCCCAAGCACTTACTCCTGGTGCGCCTTGAAATGAGCTCCCTTCTCATAAAGCAACATCTTATACAACTCCGCCCCGACCTCTCCCTCCCTCACCCCAATCTGCCTCGCAACATCCTTCACAGCGTCCTTTACCACTCCCTCCCACTCCGCATTGCGAATCTCAAACGCATCATGTCCAAGTTCCCATGTCTTCCTTACACTTTCATCCACAACCGTCGCCTCTCCTTTCCCAAACGGAGCCTGATGGCTAGCTTGCACAATAACGCGCGCATCGTGTTCGTTCAAAGGCAGCGCAATGGGTCCGTGCTGTCCCACCCATATGTGCGGATCGGCGAATTGAGGGATCTTCGCGGCCGAAGCAAAGGGGCCCGGGGCGCCGATGTCATCTAAACCTTTACGCAGCGTAGCCTTGATGTTGCTGCTGATAGGGTCCATTCTGTATGATGGGATGAAGTTGGCTGAGATGGACAACGGGAAGATGCGAGGGCGGGAGATTGGGATACGCGTAGTGATCACGCTAACGACGCCAGCACACGTGCTGACTTAGTGGCTTTGTCATTCACCATTTGGAAAACGGGCTCTAGCATGGAGTGATGATACGTATCTTCTTACAACGATAGAGTTAATTTTTTAGGCTAGGAGTACTATGAAGTCTCGAAATCCAATCATTTGAGCCAAAAGGCCGAGATGAATGATTTAACATCCAGAACGCACAATTTATAATCGCTCCTGCACCGCCAAAAGCAATTCAAAAATAAAATCAGTATACACTCAGGCCTGCTCCAGTACAAGAAGGTGGTGCTAGAGTATTCCAACATGGGTCTCTCTCTTGCTAGACAATAGGGCGCTAGTAGCACCGTGCAGACAGCCAAAGATAATACTCACAGATCGCCTCCGTTCTCATCTCTTTTTCTCTTTTCTCCAACACTGACTGCATAGGGTGGCAATCTCGGTTCAAGGCCCATCATTGCCATGTTTGCAGGGAAAGACGGTTGTGGGCGTACTGGTGACGGGGAAACTGGAGCCTCTCGAACGAAATAGTATGAGTTTTGAGGGGCATGATGCGGATACTGCTGGTATGGATTGCTTGATGATGGCACATGCTTGCCAGCGGGTCCAACGCTAGACATCCGTCCAGCAATACCATTCTGGTCCCGAAGTGCTGGGTCTATGTTTGACTCGCTAGTCTGCTGCTTTTGCATTTCGCGTAGGAGCCATGCATCTGAGATCTTCTTTTCCATCTCCAATCTCTTCTTCATTGCACTAGGGCTCTCTTTCTTCTCTTTCTTAGACCGCTTGTTAGAACCTTCGGGGCTACTGCCGGTACCAGATGTACCACTACCCGAATGACCACTTGAAGAACTGCTAGATGCGTTGCGTTGGTGATGCGGAGTCGCTGGACGTTGGGTCTGCATTGGATTGCTTATCCAGACCTGCCCTGGTCTTGGTTCGCCTTGAGGGGCAGATTGCATACTAAGCGGGGGTGTAGGTCTATGAAGAGATGGAGCTGCTGGTGTGAGAGAGGCTTGAAAGCTTTGACTACCGGGCGTGGCTTGAACTCTATGAGTATCTTGAGTAGTTGGCGTGGCATAAGCTCTTTGACTATTTGATGTGATTTGTACTCTCTGAACTGTTGGTGTGGCGGTAGCAAATCGCTGTTCGGCTAAGGCCATCTGTGCGGAACCTGACTTGAGAGAAGTAGGAGAAATTCGAGGCTGTCCGTTAGGAAGAGGCGCGGCGTTGTTGAGATTCTGCTGGTGCTGAGCTATAGCTCGAGCAAGTGCAGGATCATCGCCAAGAGAGAAATTCTTGAGCTCGAGATCAGAAAAGGTTCGGGCATTGCCAACTACCCCTTGATAGGAAGTTAAGCGATGTGAGAAACCTTCCCCATTGCCAACAGGAAGATATATGAACTGTGTATTAGGAGAAGCATGCATGTTGACAGACTTCTGTTGGATCTGGGATAATGTCTGAGCAGATTTGGGGTTCGCCTCGTAGACAGGTACTTGCTCCCCTTCGGGAGCAGCTCGAGCATTATTGAGCCTCTGTTCATGCTGGGCGACTGCAAGAGCCACCGTTCTTGGATCCATGTTCGGCGGAAAATTGAACGGGGAACCAGTAGGAAGATTTTGAGTGTTGCTACTAGACCTTCGTTGTTGGTGAGACATAGAAGCAAATCTTGGATCCAGTTTCTGAGGGGAAACTACAGAGTGACTGCTAAGAAGATTATGTGGCTCGCTAAGCCTTTGTTGATGCTGAGCCAATACAGCAGCAAATTTTGGATCGATTGCCTGCGGAAAGCTGAATGGGTGATTATTACGAACGTTTGGAGCGTTGCTAGGTCCCCGTTGTTGCTGAGACAGAGAGACCAATCTTGGGTCGATCTGTTGAAGAGAACCCGAAAGGCGGTCATCAGAAGGGGTTTGAGCGTTGCTAAGCCTCTGTTGATACTGAGCCAATGCACGGGTAGAAAGTCTTGAATCGACCTCTCGAGGAGAATCAAACGGGTGACTACCAGGAATGTTGGGAGCATTACTTGGTCTCTGGTGGTGCTGAGACAAGGACGCAAGGCTCTGGTCCACGACCTCAAGAGAAGCCGAGAAGTGAGTGTTACGAGGATTCTGAGTATCGCTAGACCTCCATTGTTGCTGCAACAGAAGACCAAATTGTGGATCGCTTTGAGGAGAGACACCCAAAGCGTGACCGTTAGGAAAGTTTTGAGTATCATTAGGCGCTCGTTGCTGCTGAGAAATAACTTGGGTTGGGTGCGGACTGTGGCCAGGAGGAGGATTTTGGGTCTGTCCATCAAGAGAGGAATGAGGGTCATGGGCTTTCCGTTGCTGCGCAAGTAGTTTCTGAATGACTTGCGGATCACGAGCATAAGGTGACAACAAGGAAGACGCACTTATTCCATTCAAGGGAGCTGGCGTAGTTTCCATATTTCGTCGGTGCTGATCCATCGCGTGAGGATTGCTGGGGTATTCAATCTTTGGCAGATAGGGAGGATTGACATTGAAGGCTTTCCTAGACGCAATAATCTTATCGACGTATTGCTGTGCTTTAGCTTCAGGGATGCCCGGATAGAGACTGTAGATGTGGTTCATGATAGCGGTACACACACGAGGAGAAACCTTACGGTTATTCAAATCGAGTGCTTTCGGTGGAGTAGAATCTGGTCGTCGACGGTTGAACAAAGCTGATTGAGGTGAAACCATTACAGCAGGAGGAGCGCGGAACGGCTGATTCTGCGGGTACGATAACTGCGCACTAGGGGATGTGTGATTGTTGGAAGCCGATGGTGGATTGGGTGGGAAATCCAAGGCTCTTGGAGATGGCTGGCCCAATCCAGCAGGATCGTGAGTTTGGTTCAGGTGTTGTGGCGCTTGATTTAGGCTGGGTGTGGAAGCGAGCGTAGTAGCAATGCTCTGGCATAGCTTGCTCGGTTCCTGCAACGCAGAAGTCGGCGTATCATTGGATAATGCAAGACGAGATTGAGCTGCTTCGAATTGCTCTGCTCCAAGCCTGTTCTCCTTGGTCTTTTCATCCTTCGGAAGTGGCTGGGCCCTAGTGAAGCCCGGTGCTTCGGACTTCTTGTTTTTGATATTGCCATTTTTTGGATGCGGCTGCTCTCCCATGGATTCTAATGCTGCAGGCGCGTTTCGCTCGTTGTGATCATCATCCCCGAAGCCCGAGTCCCTTCGAGCCTCCCTGGGTTGTGAAGTAGGCGGCTGCGAGGAATCGGTGCCCCTCTTTATCGATGTCAGCAGCAGTTCTGGTTGTGATTTTCCGAATCAGCTTACATCTGCAGCCATACCATGCCCTGTAGATTCATCGTCCTCATCTCCTTGACGCAGCACAGTCGCCTCACCAGTGGAATCGCCATCCTCGACGCCCAACAGCCCCAGCAGACTGAAGGGCAGCTTCTCCTGATTTAGGAAGTTGTATGCCCTTTTCAGTTCGCCCGGCGGGGCTTCCTCAGGGTCGATTGGTTCATTCGGATGGTCAAGCTTCCATTTGGTAATGTGAGGAGGTATGGTATCGTCACCCAGCTCCAAGGCCTCAACCCGAAATCGGTCGATGTCTTCGAGCTCGAGGTTGAGAATGGCTTGAACGGCATGAGTAGAGGAAATGTACGTTTGCTGGCCCTCTTGAATTATTTGAGTGATTATCTCCCATCGTAGGCTAGGCCAGAGGCTGGCGAAGGCAATCTAAAGGCTGTCAGAAATTTTCTCTGGGGGGCAGTGTACCAACAGGAGGCAGCCAAAATTCTCTTGTGCTGAAAATTGGGAAGCAGGAGTCATACCTTCGGTTGCTCTTCAAGATCGGAGTCTTCCATGTCCAGATGGCCATTATCGTCGCTGTCGTCGCTGGTGCCTACGCTTGCGAACGATTCTCTCCATTTATTAGTCTGTCCACTGCTGCGCTCCCACACCAATCTCTCAATACCGTGCGAGCCTTCCACCGTTTGGGGCCCAAGACGAGGCTCATCCATTTGCAATGATGGGAAAGCTTCAGTTAATCGTGGTGGCGTATTGCGAGGAGTAGAGCTCCGGTTGTGGTTTCTCCTCGTCGTCCTGTTGTGGGCAGCGGTGCGGCGAAGGTCAGCGCGGCCGTTCGCGCGATCAATCGCCATGGCTGGATCGTCGTTCAGGAAGGAGGGTTCGGCAGATGTAAAGAGCTGTGAAGTTGATGAGGTCGGGTGGCGGCGCGATGATGCGCGACGGAATGACGCTGCCGCAGAATCAGCGTTCAGAAGTCGGACTCTCGGTCGGCCTCTTGGTGGGCGAGGAGGATTCGTGTAGTTATGTGAGTCAGCGGTGCCGTGTTGAAGTTCAGTAGCTGTGTCGCCGTCGACTTGAGACGCGCGGTCTGAGTCGGATTCCGCTGAAGGTTCGAAGTCGTCGTCCGGTTCGCTGGATGCGTTCTGCCAGGAGCCTGTGCTGCTGTCGAACACACGTGGTGGACGGATGGATGCGCGAAGCTGCATTTTAGCAGTTCATGACGAAGAAAGCCGTGGAAATGTCTGGTGAAAGCTATTGTGCAAGAGCTATTGTTCGCGAGCCTATTCAGATGCCAACAGTAGCACCCGATGTGGTTTGCTGATAACGATGGCAACGCACGCCAGATCGCAGGAAACAGAGAGCAGTAGGACTGCGCATCCACGGAGGAATGGTAAAAGGTAAGGAGAGAGAGTGATAAAGCGCACGAGGAAGGAGTCGATATGGTGGCTGGGAGACGGCCAGACGGCTGACGTAACCTTGAATGCGAACGGATTTCACTTGGAGGTCCTGGCACGGTCACGCGGGGAACGACTACAATTTAATGAGAAATGGCCCGTTGATAGGCATCTTGTCGTCCTAGGGTGCCTCCGCGAGCACCTGTCTTCTAGCTAGAAAACAGCCCCCATCCAGTGAAGCATTCGCCAGTTGATGAAGCACCAAAGCGCCTCCGGCGCGTGAAGCGTAACGACAGCAAGAGATGTTGCTACCTACTGCAGTGATTCTGCCCATGTAGCCCGCCTAGATCAAAGTCTTCCCAGATGCCATCCATTATAACATCAAAACGCCCCAACGCCACGCTTCTAGCGCCAATCATAAAATGCAAGGGTATCATGTTTTTCATGCTCAGCAGCCTTCCAAACTTCTAGAGATCACGATAGGGCCGCTATCGCACGTCTTGAAAGGGTGCAGCTTCCCTTGCACGAAACCTCGCATCGTCAGAAGACCATTCCGCATCTTCCATCTCCATGTCATCATCGTAAGAATCGTCAAGGCTCCTTTTGTGTCGGATGCTGCCGCTTCTGTCTCCCGCAATGCTCTCAGCAACCTGTCCTCGGAAAACTTCCGGCTCTAAAAGACCGTAGCTGGCCTTAGCAACCGACCTTTGGGCGAGCAGAATATCCCAGTACGACTGCAAAAGGTTCTTGAGGGTATCATCGAAGTTTACGCAAAAGCGTTGCGCTTGGCATATCTGGATGGCTTTAATGTAATCGATATTGCCTAGCATCTCCATCAGGTACGCCGCAACGATGGCCGCGGATTTTTCATTTCCAGATTCGCAGAAGACAAAGACTTTGCCTAGTCTTGGGTTACTCTGATCTGAAGTGAATATGGAGGAGAGATGTTCGTTGATGAGTCGCGTAGCGCGCGGGAAAGTAGATATGAGAGTATGGTAATCGGGAACCTCCAGCGTTGCAGTATGAATCCCAGCTTCTTCGGCAGCTTTGAAAGCGCCAACCATACCCGTAGCTCTCGGCCGGATTGCCAATATCATTGTGATTCCCTCGTTTTGCAGAAACGTCATATCCTTCGCGGCAACCATTGGTCCAAGGAAGATGAACGGCAGCACCATCTGTGCTTGCCGACGGCGTTCATAAGACCAGTCTATCAGTGAATTCCGCGACACGACGCTGCTGAAGTCGACGCTGTTGAGGAAGCTAACATCGACGTCGCCAGCACTTCGCTGGGAGGGACGATCGATCTCGACCTCAGGGAGCTCATTGGCGAGGGTGGGAGGAGGAATGACAATTCGAGGAGGGGTGGGGAGTCGATAGACATATTCGTGGTGCCGTCTATGAAGTAAACTCCGGTCGGACATGGTAGCTTCTTCGTGAACAGCTTGCATCATAGTGGACCGGCTGAAGAGAAAGTGGTAGATTTGTCGTCGAGACGCGTGCTGCTTAAGTAGATGAGAGCTGGGGCAAGGAGCGAGTCGCCGTCGTGCCCGTCAAGGGACGATAGAGTGGTAGTCGCGAGAGACGGTCAAGGCATCCTCATGCTCCAGGCAACAAAGCCCAACTGGGACAAGGCCAGGTGAGGCTGATGGTGCTATATAGGATTGGTCTAACTGCAGCGTGAAGGTGAGGTTGGAGGTACAATAAAGAGGGAAAGGAGTGCGTGAATAAAGAGTACTGAAGTCGACGCCGTGGTGCCGGCAGCCATCATCGACGTCTTCCGTCAGAAGCTCCAAGGAGCGCGCTAGAGAGCTTTAGTAATGTGTGATCACGTGAAGATAAAGCAGCCCTCAAGCAAAGACGCAAGACAACCTTTCATCAAAAATTGCCATGTCACCATCCAGAGCATACGCTCGCGGTCCAGAGTTGAGGCACAGGAGGTGATCATGGTTCAAAGACATCATGCTCTTCAGCCCTTTCCTCACACCTCACTTTAACAGTGTACAGTTCCACCAGCCAATTAACAAAGGAAGTGTAACGCCGATAACGTCTTTTTACTTGGCCTCCCGCATGGCACTAGGTCTTACTATCTGCATGTCCGAAGTAAGGTAGCAAGGTGCCACAGGTGCTACCACTACCTAGTCCAAGTATATATAAGCCGTTCGCACTGCAGAGTCAATCATATGGAGTGCGTCGATAATTACCAGCCGTTTCTTAGTCGCTTCAGTTTTCTATGCAAAGTATCTACTACCATCTGTTCGTTGACGTAAGAGATGTTACACGTACCTGTCGCTTCAATTATGAATGTAACTATTCGTTCCGCCCGATTTAAGGAGCAACATGCCATGGCTTCTGTTTGTGGTAAAGCATGGTTCGACGAAGACCTCTTCGGCCGAGTCATGCATCCGCACCGAGATCAGTATCCGGGCGACGTGAACATGTTTTGGCTTCGCAAGCTACGAGAAAAATGGGTTGATAGGAATAACGAGATTCTAGTCGCTACCGTTAGCGACGAGAGTGAAACGAAAAATGTGGTGGGTGTAGCAGTATGGAAAAGGGAGGGCAGCGGCAGGAGGAAAGTATCACGGACAAGCCCATGTGAGTCCGTTCAAGATAGCAATCATTTATTCTCCTGCTTCTCATTCACATTGCTTCAATATTCACGTCTCAGATTATGAGGCGGGATTAATCCTACGAAGCTGCCTCAAATGTAACATCCACTATCTATAAACTTCTCCTCGGCCGCCGAAACCCACGTTCCAACGATCTGGCCCCTTTATCTAACACGTCCAGATCGCATCCTTCCATACCTTTCCCGTCTCTACAACGCCGTGCACGCCTTTTTCCATCCCAATCGTGCTGCTGATCCAGCGCTTGCCTCCATACTTTCAGATTCATTCCCGTACTTCAGCCACCACTTTACCACACCGGCCTCAAGACAAGAACGATACTTTCTCGATCTCCTTGGCGTCTCGCCGGCCTATCAAGGACGCGGCATCGGTGCGAAACTTGTTCGCTGGGGGATTGATGCAGCAGACAGGGAAGGTATATGTGCAGCTGTGATAGGTAGCCATGGGAATGATGGGTTTACAAGCGTGCTGGGTTTGATGAGGTGGTAGGTTGGGCTACGGAAGGAGAAGAGAATCCATTGGCTAGGGAAAGGACCGCAGGGGGCGCGATTCTGTTTCGGTGGGCGAGAGTGGATGGGGCCACTGGGGAAGATAGATGTGCAAAGTAAGGATGAGGTTAAGTGATGAGAGCAGTATATTTTTGAGGACTTGCTTTAAGGATGTGATCGAACTGCATAGTTCATCAATAGCAACGCAAAACCCAGAAGTCACCACTGGGCTCATCACCTGCAGCTCTCGAACATGACTGGCTATTCACATTAGCCGTCCTCGCTATCCACTGCTGTCGTCAAATGTACACTCCCCGATCACCGTCTCAGATCCACACCAATTTGTCACGGCGCCACTCCCGGAATACCACAGACCAACGTGCGCATAAAAATCCTCGGACCGCCCGAACAAGATATCAAATTCAGCAAGCTGCTTGGCCCCTTGACCTGGTCTCACCAGGTTCAAGCATCCAATATTCTCAGTTTCGGGTTTCCGCCTCTGCTTCTAAAGCAGCCTTAGCAAGTCCAAGCCCCCACTCCGAGCCCAAGCCCGCCCGCTAAGACTGTAGGTGCAGGATCGGGCACATACCGTGAACCAGTAGTGTTCGTCGTAGCCGAGACTGTCTTGCAGATATTGACAGGTGCTTATTTCAATCCCGTAAACAGGGTATCCCGGTTTCTTGATTATCCATGTCTTGTGACAAAGAAAAGCAAAAGTTGATGTCGGGACGCCCGAGCATGGAACTTATTGATACTGAACGGGATGTGAAGGCCCGTTGGTTTGGGATCCCGGTGCCGCATCGAATGATCTTGTTGACAGATTGGGAGAGATGCAGGTTTAGTGAAGTTGGGCAGGAGTGGGCGAGGCAGCTTTGGCAACAACATTGAGACTTGGCACTGAGTTCGATCTGTGTGATTGAGACTAGGTTGTAGAGATCGAGCTTAAGGAGAGGTTAGGAGGCTAAGCGCAGAGGTTTGCTAAGGAATTTATGCCGCCATATTGCTACTAGGAAAGCCAACATAGAAAGTGCAAATATAGTTCCATCAGACCTCGATAGAACCAACTACAGTATACGATTTGTAGGCTCCAACGTGATGCTACTTCCAAGTCTAAGTACCAGCCTCAAGACTTGGCCGAATAGCCCCTTCCACGCTATCTCTTGACGCCTCCTACGAAATCACTTCTGACATCCCACTGCACCTCACGCCGAATAATCATCTCCTCGCTTCCAGTAGCGCTCCTATGGCTCTCATCTTCCTCGTGTGTCGTCGAATGATAGATATTCGTCGTATTCTTGAGCTCCTCGGGCCTCAACCCGACCTGTGCAGCATTGGGCCCCTTTGCAGTGATCTCACGCACGCCACCTTCCTTCCAAGTGCGTTTCAGACTACCTTTTACCTTGCTCTCACCGGCGCTTACGCTTCCACCTGCGGACCCTTTGCTCATATTGGACATCTTGTAGCTCTCACCAGCCCCACCCCTTCCACTGCCTCCGGCACCGGAAGATCCGTACCCATATGGGTTCGTGCTATACCCGACTTCGAGCCCAAGACCGGTATCGAAGCTTTTTACGAATGACTTCAGACATGGGATCGTGGCTGAAATAAGCGAGTAGCCGAGTTGTGCTTGTTGGTAGACTGTCACACGAGCTAGTGCGACGCCGGAGTTCGAGGCGTGGATAGCGCGTGAGAGAGCGACCAGATGGAGGAGGGAGAAGGCTGCGACTCTGCGCTGAGTTAGCGTAAGGTCTCAATATCTCACGTAAAAGTGCTCACGGGAGTCTGAAGGCGAACGCGAGGACGACACGAAACTTGAGTCTCGTCCTCATTTGGATATGCGACACCAGATAAACGGGGACTAGGACAAGAAGGAGCTCGGTAAGAACGTCTAATGTCGAGATTATTTTGTATCTAGTTAACTGTTCGTGTTGATTAGCATCGGCGAACTAGAATAATCTCGATCTGGTCGACCTTCGAACTTACGTATCCGGCACACCTTGGTTCTACATTTCCCAAACTATGAGAACTGGGAGAACAGCCAATGCTCACCAGAAGCCCTGAGGCTACCCCCCAGGCTATCACTAAGCCAAGGAATATACTACAGATCAGCCAGAAGTGCTTCATATCGCGAGTGAAGAGGCGTTGAATGAGCAACACAACGGAGCACTTTGCGACACAGAGTGAAAGATAGAGCAGGATTTGGTCTGCAAAGAGCGACTATGGAGATCAGAATGCGCCGTGATGTATGAAGCGGACGAACTTACTCTGAAGATCTTGAAGAACTGACCGTCATCCAGCAAGTCAAAGTTTTTCCCGAGTCCAGCAGACAACGCTGCTAATACGGCAGCGAACTGACCGAAGAATAGTGTCTATAATGCATTAGGAAGCCTTGCTGTGAGTTTTGATCAAGAGATGGGGCATTAAATGTACCTGCGCTACCACCACGGCCCAATCATCCACCCCAAACATGCGTCTCTTGACCAAACATCTCGCAATAAAAGCCAATGTAGAGTAGGTCATGGCCATGAGCGTAGCAATGTACACATATCCTCCATGATCGTTCGGCGTAATGGTAGAGAATCGCTCGCTAGTGGAAACAGTCGACATAGCGGGCAGGCAAGATCAGTGACACTGGCCGATATGGATAGACTCGGGGTATCTACCACAGAAGTACATCCACCATTCTGTGCTTGAAGCTGTGCTTTTACAGCATGGTATCCTCAAACACGCGCAGGAAGTCAAGCGGTGGATCCTTTGGGCATCGCCGCCAAGGTTCGAGCACGGCATGGATGAACTTGCAAGACGGACGGCGTCTCTGAGAGCCGTATCACCGGCCCAAATTAAACACAACGACGGCATCTCCAGGATATGCTCGATCGGAAGCAATCAAACACATGGACGGGAGCATGCAAGGTTGCACAGAGTGATTGCCAAACGTGCCCCGTGGTGAAGGTCCACAAGCCACACTCGGGCAGAAAAGACGTTCAGTGCCGAATGCGTCGTACCGCAGCCATCCCAGCATCATGGTCGTCTGTTGTACCGAATTGGAGAGGTTGACGGTTGACTGGGTATCCTCGTCGCGCCGAACTGCCCCGGCATGTCATCCAAGCTACCAGCGATGAATTGCTTTTTGCTCCTCCAACGGCACTTGCATCAACACCCCAGAGCCTCAACACCAGATATGGTGCGAGATGCATCGCCTGGCCAGCTCCGATCCCGTCTTTGCATCTACCGTGCCGAAACCGATCCACATCGCCACTGCTTCTGGCGGCATCCTCCTCGGCTGTCTCTCAACCCTGGCCTCATCTCCCACATTCTGTACCAGGGCAGAGTCAAACGACGACAGATGCTTGTACAACGGACGGCCCCCTCAACGCCACCGCCATGCACCGTACTTGAAGCGATCCCCAGATCCATGCCGTGATAGGAATTACCATGTGCGCGCTGTGCCATTGGCGGCGTCTCACGTCTCCACAGGCATGCAACTGCGTCCCGTATGACCCAGCCCGTATGACCCAGCCCGTATGTGAGCCCAACCCTTGCCGCAGCTGGGGTGCGAGGTGAGGGACAATGGAGTGCCCGAAGTTGCATTTCTTTAATCTATAGGACCAGGGTATGTTGATCAGTCTGACAGTGCCTTCTCCGCACTTTTCTTTCCCTCGATAGAGGTCCAAACCAGCTCTTGTCAACTCACGTCTTCAAGTCGATTTCTCTATAGTTTGCGTTGATCGCTGCTGTACTTGTCGTTGATTACATTCATCGGTTCTACGCGTCTTTGACTAAACAGTCGGCCAGTATGGAAGATCTCAAAGGCATAGGAACGCAGATTCGCGACAGCGGCAGTGCCGAGTCGCAATATGAAGACGGCGATGTTTCCGAGAAGAAAGGAACTCCCGATGATCGAAAAGATATGAATCGTATGGGCAAGATACAAGAGATGAGGGTATGTTCGATCTACGCCCCCACATAAGGTTGATGCAGCTGAGTCGCTGCAGCGAAACTTCAAATTCGTCTCAATCTTTGGCTATGCCATGATCCTGATGTCGACATGGGAAACTGGCCTAACGTAAGTATCCGGTGGAGAATTGTCCCATGTTGGTACTATATCTGACCCCGTAATAAACCCAGCACATTGGGTATTCCACTGCTTAATGGTGGAACTGGAGGCGCCATATTCGTGTATATCGGTACGGTAATCGGCATGTGTTTTGTTACTGTGTCTATGGCGGAAATGGCATCGATGGCTCCCACCAGCGGCGGTCAATACCACTGGGTTTCCGAGTTTGCTCCTCGAAGGCACCAGAAATTCCTCAGTTATCTAGTCGGTAAGCTTTCGAAGTCCTCGAGATTTGCAGACTTGAGTCACACGGATCTGACACCTGACAGGCTGGCTGTGCGTCCTGGGCTGGCAGACTGGCATACCCTCAGTCGGATACCTCGCAGGAACCCAGATTCAGGGCTTGATAATCCTCAACAACCCCAGCTATGTCCCAGAGCGATGGCACGGAACGCTTATAGTAATCGCTATAGCGTCTTACTCCATCATTTTCAACACGATACTCGCACGGAAGCTCCCTTTAGTCGAAGGCACAGTGCTGATTCTCCACATCTGTGGATTTTTCGCCGTTCTCATCGTGCTTTGGGTACTTGCACCTAGAAGCAAAGCTAGCAACGTCTTCGGTGGTTTCCAGGATAATGCGGGCTGGGGCAATGTAGGCCTCTCATGTCTCGTAGGGCAGTTGGCGCCCGTCTTTGGTTTGTTGGGCTCGGACTCTGCTACCCATATGTCAGAGGAGCTACGCAACGCCTCTTGGACGCTTCCACGAGCAATGGTGTGGACCGTGGCGGTGAATAGCGTGCTCGGCCTAGTGATGATCATCACGATTTGCTTCTGTCTCGGGGACGTTGAGACGATTCTTTCTACGCCAACCGGGTATCCGTATATCCAAGTGCTCTATAACGCCACGGGTTCCACGGCCGCCACGTCCGTCTTGGCTTCCATCTCTATCATTATGGCGACCTTCGGCTGCGTGAACAACGTCGCCACATCGTCTCGTCAGCTCTTCGCCTTCGCACGCGATCATGGTGTTCCGTTCGGCGACTTCCTATCTCACGTCCGCCTGGGCTGGGACATCCCCCTCAACGCCGTTCTAGTCTCGTTCGTCATCGCCATCCTCATGTCTCTCATCAACATCGGCAGCACCGTCGCATTCAATAGCATCGCCTCCCTTGGCACCTGTGCGCTGCTCTCCTCGTACATCATCTCTTGCTCCTGCATGTTCATCAAGCGCTGGCGCAACGAGCCTCTCCTCCCATCCCGTTTCAACCTTGGAAAGTATGGCCTCGTCATAAATGGGATATCGGTCGCTTATCTTTGTGTCGCGTTCGTGTTTGCCTTTTTCCCCTCGGTTCCCCACCCGGCGCCAGATTTCATGAACTGGAACATTCTCATTTACGGATGTACGGTGATCTTTTCGCTGGTATACTTTGTTTGGAAAGGGCGTCATCAATACGTTGGCCCGGTGGAATATTTGAACAAAGACATGTGATGAAGGCAGAGGGGCAAGACGTAGTGGAAAGTTGAAACCTCTAGGTGGCCATGGGCTGAACTGGGATGGGACAATAGAAAGCTCACTTAGATTTGAAGAGTACGAGACTTGAATACACAAACATGACAGGAGTGGAAATCAAGAGTGTGGAGAAGTGATTATGTGAAGCCTTACTGCTTATGACTAGCGCTAGAGGGTCCGGAATAAGATAGCCCTCAATTCCACGTGAGTTCAGTATGTGTCGACAATGGCGAAGCTCAAGAAAGTAAGGTAAGGTCGAGTTCAAGACCTATGGGTATAAAACATTCAATCTTAGCCAAAAAGAACTGCGCAACTCTCACCAAATCCCTCAACTGAAATGATCACCGTGATCCCCTTCGCCCAGCTTCCTCCCTACTGTGCCCCTCCGTAACTTCCACTGCCTCCTGTGTCGTTTTTCTTCGGCCTCCCTTTCTAATCTTTTGGCCCTCTTGCGCTCGTATACGGCCCTGACTGTCCGTCGTGTCTGCTCTTCGCCTTCCTGGAAATTTGTTCGGGCAAGAGACACGACGCTGTCAATCTGGTCTGGCGTGTAAACGAAGTTCCAAGTGGACATGAAATCTGACTTCTTGGGATCTACCCCGTTAACCTTTGGGTTAGAGACGAAGGGGAAATAAACAACAGTGATCCCAGCATTCGGCTGCAGGAGCTCCCAGTCCTCCTCGACGCGCTTGGAAGAAGGCGGTTCAGAGTCGCTGGTGCGCTCTTCAGTTGTGCCAACCCAGACATTGCAGTAACCCAACTCCTCGTTGACGGTAGCATGCTTCTTGGCTTCTTGCCGACGTTGGACTCTCTTTGCTTCATCCATCTTAGCGTTGGCGTCTTCATCTGACTTAGCTTGAGCAGCTTCAAGATCTTCGGCAATCTCCTGCTGAGACGCATCGGAGGGGGGCCACCCAGCGCCAATCGGCCAGCCCTTAATGCCTCTCTGCCTGGCATAACCGTCTGCAACTTTCAGCCAGTTGTCGGTCTTGACGTCCGCAGATGCGTCGAACGCGATGAGAATATCGACTTCCCGACCGGGGCGGAGAAGTGGGTATATAGGAAGGTTGTTCGACATCCCCGCGTCCATGAGCTGCAGATTGGCTGTTTTGTGAATACTTTCGGGACACGAAGATGGAAGCACATCTCTCATGCCTAGAGCGAAGTTGGGAATACCCGCGGGATCGATCGGATGAAGTTTGATTAGTTCCTCATCACGCTCCGAGATTAGCTGGTCGATACCATCGAACCCGGCGAGGCCTCTCATAATGGGCCGAATCTCCCTGTAGTAGTGGGACAGCGTTGCACAGAAAGCACTGCCCCAGATTCCCATTAAGAGTGGAACCCTTAGTTCGGGGAGTGCAAGGCCGTTTTGTCTCCAAACAGTTTTCCCGTTTTCGAACTTACGTCCAACGGCCCAGGTAGGGATACCCGCTTCAAGCTCCTCGCACCAGAATTCATACGGAGTGAACCTAAAGTGGCGTCAGTGGCAGGCAGTTTGAACAGTTGCAAGTTTCACGTACTCGAACCATTGGAACCAAGCTTCCCTTCTCGCTTTTGCTGATACCGCAACAGGATCTTTCATGTCTGACTGTTCTGCTAGTGGGATTTCGTGGCGCACTGCTGTATATATAGGTAGCGGGTGGGATCCGTCATCTATGTAACGTCGTTGATTGGAAATCTTGAAGTCGTACTCATCGACGGAGAGTTCACTCTTGGGTACAAGAAGTCTAGCTGCTAGGAGCAAGCCATAGATGTCCACAATCCCAAAATCTGCGTCCGGAATTCCTTTTGACTTTTCGACTAATCCGGATAGCAGATATTTGTTGGTTGGGGCACAGGTAAGTAACGGCAAAGCTGCAGGAGGAAATGCAATATGAACGCCTAGTCTGTTCTTTAAGTGGTCGATCAGTTTCTGATGACTCTGTCCAGTCATAGATGAGTAGTATAGTGTCTGGAGCCAGCAACTACCACTAACGCCGGCCGTGTAGGTTACACAGTCAAAGAGCCCGGCTTCGTGGGCCGAGAGGTAGGACGAACTTCCTGCAACAAGCGCCCGGAGACCGCCCCCAGACCCACACATAGCAATGGTAGGAACGTCCTCCGGGTGTATGTCTCTCTCGGCTACGCCTAGGTATTTGGAGATTGCACGTCTCGTGTGAGCCCGTCGTTTTTCTAAGAAGGCCTTCTCCTCTGTGCATATATCGTTCGAGACACGAACCACCGCATCCCATATGATTTCCGGGTTGATCTCGGGGTCATTTGCTTCGTACCAAATTTCTTCGGCGAGCGATCCGGGCGCCATTGAAAGCTCATTCTGGAGCTTATTCAAGAACCCGGGTAGGATCTTGAACCAGTCGGGAACGATAAAATCAACGATCGTATCGCCGATTGAGGTGACCGATTTCGAGGCAGTTGTGAGACTGCCCGTAAAGCCATCCCACGACGACGGCAGCCTTTCGGGCGTGGTCTCTTCTCCAGAGTCCGACACAACGCGAGTCTGAGGTGGCGGTTCCTGCTGACCGGATGCTACCTGGGACGTATCTGCTTCGTCAACTGTGGTACTCTCATGCTTATCCTCATTCCCACGTCCCCAGCTTCCGATGTACGGTATATTATTTGTCCAGCTGTTACTCTCCGAACTGTCGGCGCGTAGAGAGCGACGGGTGAAAGAGCCAGCCAGGTCATGAAGGTCGATAATCGAAGTGGAGAGAATTCCAACGGCAAAACTTGCGAGCAGAACTGATGGGGTGTATTTGAGCGCTTGTGCACCGCTGGGAGGAACTTGTGCTCTACGCGTGAATAGTCTTCAGAAGTGTTAGTATTTTCTGCTTCAAGCCTTACAAACGTCGATGACATTCGAAACATTACCTTTGACGCGTGAAGTTCAGCCCATAGGGCCCAGAGCGCCCTCCTCTCCTCGACCCAGCCGTCCGAACTGACGAGCTCTTCAGCATGCTGTCCTATACGTACGCTAGATTGCGGGAGTAGAGGGAGGAGCGGAAGGCGAACGCCCGATTGGGCATATGGCAAAGTTATATCATGCTATTCTGCAATGGCAATCGTATGACAGCTTCCAGGTTTTCAACAATGACGCCGTTCTGTCGTGGGAAGCTGCCCTGCCAAGGGATCTCGGGAACTGACCCTAGGCCTTTTCGGATCGATCGGGAGCGATAGGGTGTGATATGCATTTGAAGTGACCCATGGGGCGCGCGATAATTCACCTAACACATGGAGACATATCTCCAGGCTAATTGTGTGCGGGGACACTACTTTCACATATTGGATTTGATCCATGGATAGTAGTAGAGGGGGATGAGCACGTCACGGCCAATCGGGGCCTAGTGCTAGAGCGGACCACATGTCCACTTATATGAGGCTCTGAAACTATTGATATCACCAAGCCGTCGAGGTCATAGCCCTTTATTCACTTCTTGTTGCATACTTCCTCGTTGTCGCATCCTAGATAATACGGCGGAGTCTCTCAGGATCACTGTCCGTACATACATTCCTCGCCCGCTCTCAGGGAAGAGCTCCGGAGAGCTCCAGCGGCAGGCGCGATGGTTGCACCACGAAAAGCGGCCCTCGCGGAGGAGAGCGCAGAGGTCGAGGTGCTGTTCGCCAACATGGAGAAGCTGAAAGGCTTGACGAAGAGGATCCAGGGCTCGTTGAATCGCTTGGAGACCAGTGGCAAGAATGTTCAGGACGCGATAGGGCCCATCTATGGGAACACGCAGAAACTACAGACGACCAACTCGAGTACGTGCCGCCAGCATGCAATTTGAGCAGGTCTAACTGGCGGAATAGATATCGACAGAATCATCGAGGCTATAGATAGGATACGAGAGCCCCTGGACCAGCGCAACCGCGAAGAGCGCATCATTCGCGCCGGGTGAGCTCTGCAACACCAAGCACTGTGACCGCGAGATGCTGATGTTTGCGTTAGACCAAGAAAAGTCCCCCTCCAAGATTACATGGCCTCCCTCGACCGAACCACCCAGGCCTTGGCCGACCTCCGTCGCTCCAACCTCCGGTCGAACCAACAAGCAGTAGCGGAACTGAGCACTCTGTTGAAAACTGGTACAAAACAGCTGGAGGAAATATTCCGGGAGATTCTCCAGGAGGATGCACGAACCGTGGAGCCTCTACACTACATAACTAAGCGTAGGTGATACGACTGCTGAAACTGAACACTGCTGAAACTGAACACTGCTGATGTAGCTGCAGAGCTTCCATTTCCTACCCTTGCAGAAGACCGACTGTCTAGATTGCGACTCATAAGTGCCCATGTCTCGGCGTCGTTTGCTCAAATGTCGCAGACGGACGTGAGAGAGACCCCAACAGAAAGAATCTATGCCGAAATCCGGGGAGACTACCTAACCAAATCATTGAGCAATTTGGCAGCCGCTTCGGTGACGACGGCCAGGAAAACCACTGCAGATGCAATATACCGACAGGGAACAAATGCCATTGGTACGTACGCCCAGGGTATCGAAGGGATATATTTGGCCGAGTACGACAATCTTTGTCCGATTTTCTCTCGCGAAGAGTGGGCCAAGGTGTACCCGTCCACCTGCCAGAGCTCCTTGAATGAATTCACGAAGACGTTGCGCGAACTAAATACCCACATACAGAAGAATCTAATGACAGACTGCTTTCTTGGGTATGAAATTATCGAGATTGTATCAACGCTCTCTATCAGGCTGGAAACCAAGACGGGGGAGCTCAAGCGCCCTATCGCAGACTCCCTGAAACCTATCCGGGAAACATGCAAAGCGTCACTCCCAAAGCTGCTCGAAGACACACGATCACGCGTACAAACTCTCATCGCGTTGCCAATGGACGGTGGTCCCGTTTCACTCACGAACGACACCATGACTAAGTTGCAGACAATGACTGGGTATTTGTCTCCACTGTCATCCATCATGACTTCGCTAGGAGATGGCGGTTGGTCGACCAGTTCAGCCTCGACCTCGTCAACATCAATTCCCACGATAAAGTCGTTCGACGTTGGCGCCGATGGTCGACAGCTCTTCGCCCACTACGCTTCCGACATGCTAGAGACTCTGTTGTCTAATCTAGAAATCAAGTCGAGGACATTGCTCAAGGGCAGGGGCCTGCAAGGCGTATTCCTTTCCAACAATGTGGCGATTGTTGATCGGATGATTCGATCATCAGAGCTGCAAGCCCTCTTGGGCAGCTATGCGCCCAAGCTCGAGCTTTGGCGGAAGAAGGCAACCGCGACATATCTCGAGCCGTGGCGAGAGCCATCTGCATATCTCCTTGACGTCCAGTACACCAACCGTAGCGGCCGGCCGCACTCTGGGGGAGCAACGACTACCGACTCGGCTCAGATCGTCAAGGGTCTGAGCTCCAAGGACAAGGACGCGATCAAGGAGAAGCTCAAGAACTTCAACACCAGCTTCGAAGAGCTCCTTTCGCGACACAAGAGCTACAAGCTAGAGAGGGAGGTGCGGTCCCAGCTAGCGCGGGATGTGCAAAACGTTATCGAGCCACTGTACGGACGCTTCTGGGACCGGTATCACGAAATCGATAAGGGCAAGGGCAAGTACATCAAGTATGATAAGAGCCAACTCGCGTCGACGCTGGCTGGGCTGGGCTGATTGCGGGGGTATTTGCTATACACCGGTCGCGGCGTTTGGAGCGACTGGATGGTGAAATGCAGGGCTGCATGCTATTGGATATACCATTGTCGTTACTATGTAGTCTTCGTTAGCTTGGCGTCAGGCGCTATGCAGTGTATTGTGGTCGTCTGCACGAGTTGCTGGGGATCGATCAGGGTGGGTTTCATTCGCAGCGAACTCTGGGAGCGAATAGTATTACCTATAGCCTGAAGGACAGTCTTGCTCTCACAGGCGAATGAGCTTCTCGCGATACTGGGTAGACCTTGACATGTCGCAGCCACTGTGATCGAATCTGGGGCCGGTGCACGTGAGGAACCAGAGAGTGACACGTAGAGGAATGGGCATAGTGAGACGCCACACCACGCTGGCTGCAGCTGTACACAGAAATGCTCCTGCGGTGCATCAACGAGACGCAATTGTGTCAGAGCCGGCCTGTCGTCTCTCGTGTCGTGAAATAGCCCTCTCCGCACCCACAGCCGCCAGCCGTGCATTCACCTACAGCTCGCAGAGGACGTTGCCCACCGGCGCGCACGGAGACGGGGAATTTACTAGTGTGGACTGCGCGACCCCTGCCAACCTTTTGCCAGACCCCTTTCCTGCCTACTTTCGCGATCCCACCACCACGCCTTCCCCAACACCATCGCAGTCTCCCCGACTCTCTGCCCCATCCTACGAGGCCGCTGTTGACCTCGACGCTGCTGTCTCCGCCTCGTTGCACCCACTCCACGCGAAACACGCCTCGACTGACTGGTGAGCTGCCTCCCTGTCTGCACCGTGCAGGCCTCCCGGGCCTAGGATTCCCGCGCGACCCCAATGCTTTTCTCCATCACTGCCGTGGCCGCCGACTCTTCCTGGAATCTTTGCTGACCACTCTTCGCGTATAGAAGTCTTACGCCTCACCCTCTGTGTCGCCCACGTCGTCTCGACTCGCCATGGGTAAGCTTCCTTTCCTCCTTGCTGGCCAATTCCATCCCATCATACGGCCGCGCATCTATGAAGCATGTTCGAGTATAACACAGCTCTGGAAGGTGGCTGGGATGGCCATTGGGCCGTGTCTAGACTCGCTGAGCCCTTCACAACAAAGCATTTGGTAGGACTGACTTTCTGGTTCTCTAGCAACTCAAGCCCCACCTGCACCTGCGCGTGCCTCGCCATCTCCCGCGGCCGCTGCTGTCCCTAATGGAAAGCCAGCGTCCCCATATGTGGAACGCAGCAACCCTATGCCAAATGGCCAAGGCTCTGCTCCCCAGACCGTCACTTCCAAGGACCCCAAGGCCGCAGCACAGGCTGCCAGCGACATGAGGAACATTGTTCGAAGGAAATTGACTGGCTACGTCGGGTTCGCGAATCTGCCCAATCAATGGCACCGCAAGAGTGTGCGGAAAGGGTTCAACTTCAATGTCATGGTAGTCGGTATGCATCCCCTTGGAAGTTCCTTGATTCACTCCTGACCATCCAATCTTAGGCGAGTCTGGACTCGGTAAATCTACTCTTGTAAACACCCTGTTCAACACCTCGCTCTACCCGCCGAAGGAGCGCAAGCCCCCGAGCCTTGACATCTCCAAGACCGTCTCCATACAATCCATTAGCGCCGACATTGAGGAGAACGGCGTGCGCCTCCGTCTGACGGTTGTTGATACTCCCGGCTTTGGCGATTTCATCAACAATGACGAGTCGTGGGACCCAATCGTCAAGAACATCGAGCAGCGCTTCGATGCCTACCTCGACGCTGAGAACAAGGTCAACCGCATGAACATTGTCGACAACCGCATCCATGCTTGCGTTTATTTCATCCAGCCAACTGGCCACTCTCTGAAGCCATTGGATGTGGAAGTTATGCGTAAACTTCACACCAAGGTCAACCTGATCCCCGTCATTGCCAAAGCCGACACCTTGACGGACGAAGAAATCAGCAACTTCAAGCAGAGAGTAAGTGATAAGACATGATGATGTCTATTGTTGCTAATTTGTCCAGATTCTCGCAGATATTCATCACCACAAGATCCAAATATTCGAAGGACCCCGTTACGAGCTGGACGATGAGGAGACCATTGCCGAAAATAACGAGATCATGTCCAAGGTGCCCTTTGCCGTCGTCGGTGCCAACGCCGATGTCACCACTGCCGACGGACGCAAGGTCCGTGGCCGCCGTTACCCCTGGGGAGTTATCGAGGTCGATAACGAGGAACACTGCGATTTCGTCAAGCTCCGCCAGATGCTCATCCGCACCCACATGGAGGAGCTTAAGGAGAACACCAACAACTTCTTGTACGAGAACTACCGCTCTGAGAAGCTCACTGCAATGGGCGTGCAGCAAGACTCGAGCGTATTCAAGGAGATCAACCCGGCTGTTAAGCAGGAGGAGGAGCGCTCGCTGCACGAGGCCAAGCTGCAGAAGATGGAACTGGAGATGAAGATGGTGTTCCAGCAGAAGGTAGCCGAGAAGGAGAGCAAGCTCAAGCAGAGCGAAGAGGAGCTGTACGCAAGACACAGGGAGATGAAGGAGCAACTGGACAGACAGCGACAAGAGCTCGAGGAAAAGAAGGCGAGGGTCGAAAGCGGACGGCCGCTCGAGGAGAAGGGCAAGAGAAAGGGGTTCTCCCTGCGCTAAGCGCGCCCAGTGCGACGCGGCGATGCAACAACGGGGACAGTGGTGATGGCGAACGAAGACCGCGCAGAAAAGCTCCTCTTCTCGATTCTCTTTTGACAGATCCCTTTAATTTCAAAGTCTCGCGCCGGCAGACACTGGGTGGCTGCCGGCAAAGGTTAGTTAATACACAACGACGGGGGCGAGTTGGGGCTTCGAGCGCGGTTCTCCCTTGGTTTTTAGCTTGCTTAGGTGTGTTGTTTGATACCAGCAGCATTGCACTCCCTTCTCTTTTCTTCCGGATTATTTTAGTAGAAGCAGGGAGCAGGTTGCAGAGGCTGTTTCTGTCACGGAGGTGCGAGGAGGCCGGTCTGCGAGTTGCTTCCTCTCATGTATTCTACAGATCAGCCCAGTATCTAGTTGGTTTCATTTGTGAGCCCTACATGTCTTCTGTCCGCGTGAAGTCTGAGTGGGTTATGAAGCCAGATTGGAAAGTGATGCATAGGTGTTGCCTCCGGTGAACGTATCCAATGTGAAGTCACGTGCCTAGTCCTAGTGGCGCCTGAGACTAGGAGGTACGCCGGCGCCTGAATGGAGCAGCATTTCGTCACCACCCGCCGCTGCGAATTCTGGTTTCCTTCGCGCATCGGGCTGCTTGCTCAAAACACCGCCTTCCACCTTTCTCGTCTGCTCCTCTACTCCCTCACGAACACCACTGCCAGATCACCTACGCCCGTCTTCCCTCACTAACCGCCATTATTCCTGCTTCAGCCATACAAGGTAGGTCCGCGATTCTACGAGCTTCGGATCGTCGTCACAGCACCCCGGCAGGCGCCTCAGAGCCCCAGCCACCACTCCAATTGCCAGGTGTTCTTCACCCTCCTCCGCTGCCTCCTCCTTCCTGCACACACAATCCTACTCTCGCCGCAATCCTTATATTCTTATTCTCCATTAAGCTCTCTTGCTATATCCTCAATTCTCGCTGACAGCAGTAGCCTGACCCCCGCAGCACACGACAGCCGCACACACACCTCAGCCATGGCCCCTCCTCCGCCCACCGCGCAGCCCCTAGGGCAGCGGCTGGCAGCTCTCGCCCAGACTCTGCAGTTCGCATGGTTCGTCGGGCACGTCACTCTGCTCCTCTCCACTCTGCGATATGGCTTGTCCTATATCCTGTTCAATTTCTCGTCGCGATGGGCCAAGGTCTCTTATCGCCTCGCCTTCATCTCAGCCGCCGCTACCTACGGCATTGTCGTTTACAAGGCATACCGCGCACGCGTGAGGCAAGGAAAGCAAGGTGGACTTGTGTCAATGGCTACGGACGAGAATGTCCAGTATCTTGGTACGGCGGCTTCGGCTCCCCAGGCAGCTCCTCATATGACACAACCTGATCTGACTGCTCTCCAATACAGGCATGGCCCTCGTTTGGCTCTTCTCGCGCCAGATTCCTCTAGCTATTCTGCCGTTCGCAGTCTACTCCATCTTCCATGTCGCGACCTACACACGCGCCAATCTCCTCCCGACTCTCCAAGCCGCCCCAGCTGGCGTCTCCCCGGGCAAGCCCAAGCCGTCTGGCATCTCCGAGACTATTGGCAAGTTTGTCAAGGAGTATTATGATGGCAGCATGACGCTCGTCGCCATCCTTGAAATCGCCCTCTGGTTCCGCGTGCTCGGCTCTGCGCTGCTGTTCCAGAAGGGCAGCTGGATCTTGATCGGCATCTACACCGTCTTCTTCCGTGCCCGCTATGCTCAGAGCACTTTCGTCCAGGGCGCCATCTCGCAACTTACGGCCCGCGCGGATGCGCAATTGGCAAATCAGAGCACTCCACCGGCCGTGAGGCAGGGCTGGGAGACCTTCAAGGCCATTGTGCGCCAAGCTGCGGACGCTACCGATATCCGCAAGTACGTTGGTGGTCAGACTGGTGGCCCGGGTCCCAAGAAGGCTCAGTAGATGCATTAGCCTCAGCGCCGTCCTCGTCGAACATTGGCACCGCAACAACGAATTAACAGTTGATTTTGCTTAAGAACGAGAAACGACTATGATGAAGACGGTGCTAGTGTTGGCTTCTAGTTATGGTAGTCACTGGGCGAATATCAGCAGCAGTTGGGACATGTGAGCATCAAGGGATGCCACAGTTTACGACGAAAGATGATTATGAAATGGGGCGGTATACAGTCGGGCGAGTATGCCGGTTTCCTGGGTTTGCCGAGCGAGAGGGTGAACGAAGGGGCATGTTCAGCTGAAGTATCGAACGAATGAGTCGTGAATGAGAAAAGCTCGGGTTCCCAGTCCTAATTCCACGGTTCATAGAGGAGCGTCTGCTTGTACTTCTGATGCGTGGGATTGCTTGACACTGGGGGTAGCTTGGTCTGCGTTGTTACTCGATTTTGGTTCCCTATTTCCTCAGCCCGGTGTAGTCGTATTGCGAGAGCCGGTCGAATATCTTCTAGCTTATACTTCTTGCCCTCCCAGGCAATCTTGCATTTCCAATTTTCTGGATGTGACGAGAGTAGACAACTAACAGTGATGCACAAAGGAATAAGGGTCCAATGATGCTATCTATATCCTGCTTATGTACACACTGCTGATATAGCAGTCTATTCATATTCACATGCCTAGAACTCAGTGTCTCTTCCACCCCCCATCACCAATTGGAAGCAGTGTGCGCGCTATCCAGCACCAAGACCGCAACGTGCATGAACGATCTGGGCATTCGCCGACTTTTGCCGGGGTTAGAGCGGTGAAGGTGTGCTCTAGCTGGCGCCCCACCATGTACTAGAACGCACGCTATCCCCACCCGGCCCAAGACACCCGGAAACGACTTCTGGAGACTCCGACGAAGGGTAGAGGAATGGGGAGGGAGAGTGGTGGTTGAAAGCGCACTGTGGGGTCGCATATTGGCAATATACGGCGAATGTAAGGTCCTCTGGATATTCAACACCCCGCCATGATATATGCCTAGGAAAGGCTACGATCTACAAATGTGGGTGAGTATTCTGATGATAGTGCCCTTTATAGCCAAGGTAATAGAAATCTTACTCTCTTTAGAAGCAGCTGTCAAGCACCTCGTAGAACTATGGCTGTCACGAGATCCTCAACAGGACTCACCTGCCACGGGCACTCTCCCCCAACGCTGGCAAAGCCACCGCCAGATCTCGGCTGCATCGATGGCACCTTCAGCGCACACTCCTCGGGCCAGCAAGCGCGGTGGAGGCTGATGAGCTGGCGCACACCACTGCAGGCTGGGGCAACAGCGGCAGAAAGCACGTCAGCCGTACACCGCGACTTTCAATCCGCACACCAGCGAAAAGTGAGGGGAACCAGCCCAGCGGCGCCGCGTTTGGCACAAGCTTTTGGCTGTGGGTAGGGGCTTAATGCCTGTACCTGGGTGTACATATGCTGGAGGAGGTTCGCCGCACACGGAAGGGTGAGCTTTCTCCACGTTTCGCGATTTCCAAGCCATTACACCACACCGCACGAGCACGAAGCGGCAAACCCTCAGCCTCCCTTCTGTACTTAGTATAAGCTTTTTGGTCTTGTTGCTCTCAGCCGCGAGGCTTCTAGCCGAGTCACGGATCTTTACAAAAAGCGAGCTGGCTCCTATTCTTTGACTCTCCCATAACACCACCGTTTGTCTCTCGCTATTCACCGTCCAGGGCGGCCGCAAAGAAGACATAGTACATAGTTTGCTGTTGATGCCTTTGCACACCCGCCATCATGAACTCACCAGCCTTGTCGGATATTTCGCTCAGCGATGAGGCGCTCGATGCATATTTTGCAACCTCTTACGTCCCGCCGTCCATGTGGCCCACCCCACCACCTGTCACGCCCGAGATGGGTGGAAGTCTTTCCAAAAGCATGGAGGGAGTCGTAGAGGATTCGTTCACGTGTTTGGTTACCGGGGAAGACTTGCTTGGTATGTATTAGTCCTCTTCTGTTCTCAAATTGAGGGATACTATGCCTATGTGTAGATTGTCTAACAGTACTCCTCCAGGCCCAGCAACCCACCTCAGCAGCCTCATTCCCCCAAACGCCTGCCAAAACCGGCCCTCAGCCCCACGGATCGCCCAATACCTCTCCCGCAGCGCTCTCCCAATCGAGCTCATCGCCTTCTCGGCCTGCATGCTCGACAACCTGACCTCACGCTTTGCCACGACCTGGCTAAACGCATGCCAGGACACGGCCGTCAACCCGACGGGTCTTTCCCACTCTTTGACGCGCCCAAGCGACCAATTCCCACCGACCCTCCGGCGTACCCGTCAACTCATCCCCGTGGACCCGGAACTCATCGTGCTCGCGGCTCTATCACTCACTAACTCCTACCACCAAGACCACTCCTTCTCGAAGGAGTTCTGGACCACGGTCGTGGCCGAGAGAAAGTTCTCGGTTCGCCAGTTGAACGTCACTATCTCAGCTATGCTAGCGGATTTAAATTACCGACTGCAGGTGTTCACGGCGGAGAGGGTTGAGGAGGCGTTGGAGTATATGAGGAGGGTCGGCAGGACGGTTGCTCGGGAAAAGGAACTAGATGAGAAGGATGTGGTGAACGAGACGCCAGGTATGGATATGGGGCTGAAAGGGAGGAGGGAGCGGCCGGCGCTTAAGGTTCCGATGGCAGGGACCTCGATATGGATGAATGGACAGTGTACGCCAGAGCCGAGCCCGTGAGAATCAGAAAAGAAGAACGGAAGGGAAAGCTCTGTCGAGGAGATCGAATGAGATCGTGGATACGGGTTGGGAGAGGTCATGCCTTTACATGACTACACAAGATCTAAGGTTTTCGATGGATATTGACAAAGCGCAGCGGATTCTGCTGCAGCATTTCGATCTTCTTCCGGGTCATTAGGGAGTCCACGCCGGTTTCTTTTTCTATACTCTCGTGCCTTTCACTGGTGAGCTGATAGCGCTTGGTGTTTCTGGGCGGACGGTTGCACGATACCCCTTTTGCGGCTTTACGGAGCTTGACAGCTAGATATGTTACCTCGTCTCGAATGTGGAGAATTGATCACTCCTTAAATCTGCGTTTGTCTCCACTAGAGGTCCATGCACCCTGTTGGATTTGTGTTGCTAGCTTTGCATAAAGAACAATCCAGGCGACGGTGCGAGGGATAAGTACCTTTCTTATCTCTAACTTAAGGAAGCGAACGTGAACAGAACATCGTACGATGTTGGCAGTTTTGCCACTGCTAAGGCATCTAGCTTTATGTACGGAGTGGCCGGAGTGTTCCTGGTGGAGTGATGTTTATAAGATTAGCAGATAGCGGCGCACACGGGACACGGGATGAGGCAAATGATAGCCAAGTTTCGTGATAGCTCCACGCTGGACCGCGATCGGCACACTAGGGGCCGCTGGAGGCTCAATTGGCTGGGAACGGCAGGAGGACTGGGTTTCCAGCCTTTGTCATCGTCTTGGTGATACTGGAGAGCCGCCTGTCACAAGGACGGGGCTGTCGTCTTCAAGCTTTCATTGGAACGCAGAGGCCACATCTCACGATGCGTTGCTTGGACCAGGTTGTGTTTAGGCGCCCGAGGGAGCCGTAGGCAGATACGCAGACGGACAGGCCGGAAGCGTCCCATCGGAATGGCACGAATGCGATGCACGATGATGAGGGCAAAGGCTCCCCCAGGCGCTAGACGAGTTACCCCACTTCATGTCGCGGAGCGTGGGCACGTTGCGATGCACCCGCTGAACGAATGATACGGCGCTGCTGTCCCCGGACGCCCTCCCTGCCTCGCATACACGCCTCCAGACACTGAGGCGCTCCCCCTCCTCACCTGGCTGCCTTGGTTTGCCCTCACTCACCGCGTTGCCGCTCGCCTCTTCGCCGTTGTCACAGCTCCGAGTGCCCCACCATCTGTGCTCAAGCACCGAGCTCTCAGTCCACCGCAGCAAAACACCACGTCCGGCTCTGCCCCGTCTGATTCTTTTTCTTTCCTCTCTCCTCTTGTCTTCTCTGAAGCCCTTCCAAGTCAATTGACCCCTCACCGCACCATCCGCCATGGCAGCTCCAGCCAAATCCGCCCGCGAGCGGCGCCCCTCGACGAGTGCTCCTCTGAGCGACCTCCAGGGCCCCGTGGGACCTACCTTCTCGCGCCCCAAGCACAAGCGAACCGTCACTGGCTTTGGTCCGGGTGAGATCAAGAGCGTTGAGGCGAGCATTCCGGAGCCGCAGCGTGCCGCCTGGAAGAAGTTCACCCCCAAGCCCTTCGACACTGCTGAGGAGTTCAATGTATGTTGATATTCATGAGCTATTCCCGGTAGAACTTAGCTGATAAGGATGCAGGCGGAAGCTGTGAGGCACATTGAGACCACTTTGGCGAGGAGCATGTACAATTGCGATGAAGGGTAAGTCCACTCAATTACGTTTTGTCTACACTGTCTTCACTTTCGCAGGATCAGGCTAGTGAAGAAATACCGGTGCATGGGCTCCGACACAACTAAACCCGCAATTGAGCTCTTGCGGAGGCTAACCTTCGGCGCAGTGCTGCATACGCTGGAACTGCTTTGGCGTTTCGAGACCGCTTGGTCCTTGACTGGAACAAGACCCAGCAAGCCCAGACCTTTAAGGATCAGAAGCGCGTATACTGTAAGAACAACGGACAGCTATGTGGGAACCGGGTCAGTGCTGACTTGAATGCAGATCTGTCTCTAGAGTTCCTGATGGGTCGAGCTCTGGACAACGCTATGCTCAACATTGGCAAGAAAGATGTGGCCGTCAGTGAGTGAAATCGCGCGCCTAGTGTGGATTCAGAGGCTAATACTTGTAATCAGAGGGCCTCAGCGACCTTGGCTTCCGTATGGAGGACATTATCAGCCAAGAGCACGATGCTGCACTTGGAAACGGAGGTCTCGGTCGTCTCGCCGCCTGCTTCCTGGACAGTATGGCATCATTGAACTACCCAGCTTGGGGCTACGGTCTACGATACAGATACGGTATCTTCAAGCAGGAGATCATCGACGGATACCAGGTCGAGGTTCCCGACTACTGGTTGGACTTCAACCCCTGGGAATTTGCCAGACATGACATTACTGTCGATGTACAGTTCTATGGCTATGTTTCAAAATACCAGTAAGCGCGATACATTGCAAGTCCACTCTATGAACATCTAGAAGCTAACTATTCAGGGATGACGATGGCAAGAATGTCTCTTTCTGGGAGGGCGGAGAAATTGTCCAGGCATGCGCATACGATGTTCCTAGTAAGTTCTCCCCAAAGCTTGTGATTGGCTGTTACTGACTTTGCTAGTTGCTGGATATGGCACCTCGACTGTAAACAACCTCCGACTCTGGGGCAGCAAGGCGGCGAGTGGCGAGTTCGACTTCCAGAAATTCAACTCCGGAGAGTACGAGAGCTCCGTCGCGGACCAGCAGCGTGCTGAGACCATCTCGGCGGTTTTGTACCCCAACGACAAGTAAGGAAACTTGAATCCCGCTGACATTTTATTGTACTAACCTACGTCTAGTCTCGAGCGTGGAAAAGAACTCCGTCTGAAGCAACAATACTTCTGGTGTGCCGCATCTCTGTTTGACATTGTTCGGAGATTCAAGAAGACTCAACGGCCGTGGAAGGATTTCCCCAACCAGGTCGCTATTCAACTGAACGATACCCATCCTACACTGGCGATTCCAGAGCTTCAGCGAATTCTCATCGACCAGGAAGGCCTCGATTGGGACGAAGCGTGGAGCAGTAAGTGGTTTATCTCTAATATGAACGAACAACTCTAACGCTCCAAAAGTCGTTTCCAAGACCTTCGGGTACACAAACCACACCGTCCTTCCAGAGGCCCTCGAGAAGTGGTCAGTGCCGCTCTTCCAACACCTACTGCCCCGGCATCTTCAGATCATCTACGACATCAACCTACAATTCCTTCAATACGTTGAGCGAAACTTCCCCAAGGAACGTGATATTCTCAGCCGCGTCTCCATAATTGAGGAGGCCAATCCAAAGATGGTCCGCATGGCCTACCTTGCTGTCATTGGCTCGCATAAGGTCAATGGTGTTGCTGAGCTCCACTCCGATCTCATCAAGACCACCATCTTCAAAGACTTCGTCAAGATCTACGGACCCGATAAATTCACCAACGTCACGAACGGAATCACCCCCCGTCGTTGGTTGCACCAGGCCAACCCAAGACTTTCGGAGCTCATTGCTTCCAAGCTTGGAGGCTACGACTTCCTGAAAGACTTGACTCTCCTTCACAAGCTCGAGGCATACGTCGACGACAAGGACTTCCGAAAGGAATTCCAAGAAATCAAGTATGCTAACAAGGTGAGACTCGCCAAGTACATCAAGGATACTCTAGGCGTCAGTGTCAATCCTTCCGCTCTCTTCGACGTTCAAGTCAAGCGTATCCACGAATACAAGCGACAACAGCTGAACATCTTCGGTGTTATTCATCGGTACCTTGCGATCAAAGCAATGTCGCCAGAAGAGAAGAAGAAACTAGCTCCTCGCGTCTCAATCTTCGGTGGTAAGGCAGCTCCTGGATACTGGATGGCCAAGACCGTCATCCATCTCGTCAACCAGGTTGGCAAGGTCGTCAACAGCGACAAGGACGTTGGTGATCTGCTCAAGGTCATCTATCTTGAGGACTACAATGTCAGCAAGGCCGAGATCATCTGCCCGGCTTCCGACATCAGCGAGCATATCTCCACTGCTGGTACTGAGGCCAGTGGTACCAGCAACATGAAGTTCGTCATCAACGGTGGTTTGATCATCGGCACCTGCGATGGTGCTAATGTAAGTTGCCTCCTTTTAATTCTACTTTCAAAGCTAACAGGACATGTGTAGATCGAAATCACCCGTGAAATCGGCGAAAACAACATCTTCCTCTTCGGCAACCTAGCAGAAGACGTCGAGGAGCTCCGTCACTCACACATGTACGGCACCTACACGCTTGACCCGTCCCTCGCCGCGGTCTTCGACTCTATCCAATCGGGCACTTTCGGCGACGCGGGCGCGTTCACTTCGCTTGTCAACGGCATCGTCGACCATGGCGATTACTATCTCGTTTCTGACGACTTCGCGAGCTACTGCAAGACGCAGGATCTGATTGATGAGGCCTACCGCAACCAGGATGAGTGGCTTACAAAGGCTATCACATCGGTGGCGCGCATGGGCTTCTTCAGCAGTGATAGGTGTATCGACGAGTATGCGGAGATGATCTGGAACACGGAGCCTTTGGTGCCCTCAAAAGACGAGTAAAGTAGATAGTTTTCTATTGCAAGTTAACGAGGTGGTCGAGCTTGATGCTTCTGATGAGACGAACTTGGCCTGGCATAGAACTAGCCGTTTCTCTTCACTGTTTCTAATTTGACATGACTCTCTTCTTCCTCTTCGCTGATCTGATGTTTTCCCTATAGAAACGTCGTAGATAGTTGATTGAAGCGGGCTCAATTCATGCTCATCTAGTCTTTCATAAAAGCGTGCTTTTCCGATAGCAAATGTGCGTGCAGGGGCATTCGTTGCCAATTGAAGGGAAAGAATAGGATTCCTTGAAAACAAACTTGCGCATGGGTATGCCTACTTACGCTATGCTCTCCACGCCTGACGCCCTAATAAAACCAGGCCATAGTATACACACTTGTAGTCCACTCTCCAACAGCCTCACTGCGTTATCGGCTCCTACTCCCATATCCCCTCTCAGCCCCTATGCTTCAACACTCACGCCCTAAACAGCATCCTAATCAACCTAACCTTATCATCGTCATCGCCATCATGCTTATCCTCGTGCTTATCCCCACCCTTCTTAAACGGACTCCCCGCTGCAAAGAACAAGAACTTAATCGACACCGCCAGCGCCGCATGCAGCACAATCACCACCACCAGCAGTATCTTCGACGTGCGCACATCCGTCGCCGAGAGCACGGGGTAGAGGTTCCGGAAGAGGAAGAGCGCGCTGATGCCGAAGCCGATGGCCACGAAGATATAATTCAAGACTGCATACCAGATTAGCACGCTCTCCAACACCCACCCACACCTTTTCATTCCAAGAAAAAGATGATGGAACTACTCACTCGACACCGGACTCCAACTAATCAGCGCCACGGGTATCCAAATCAAATTCGCATACCCATACAACGCCACGCACTCGAGCAGATTCGCGCTCTCGCTCCCAAACCACTTCAGCGTGGCCCACAGCCCCACGGGGAGCAGGAACGTGTACCCGTACACCAGGCCCGCGGCGCCCGACAGCAGCGTGAAGTCGTACGCGAAGTGGTCCTTGCCGTGGTGCGCGAGGTACTGGCTGATGGTGCCCGTGAGGAACAGGATCACGATGACGGTCGTTGCGATCCAGAAGGGCCCGTACAGGTCCGGGTTGCCGTCGAGCACGTCGAGGAAGTTGGCGCGCGGGTATAGGGCGGCGGTGCACCGGCGGAGGAGGTCCGACGTGTCGACGTCGAAGAATTGCGAGTAGAAGGATAGCGTCCAGAGGTAGCGTTTGGGGCTCGTGGAGCTGGGCCCGCTGCCGCCGCCGCGGGTGGTGGAGTCGGCGGGGATTTTGGTGCGGGAGGGTTGGTCTTCGAAGTCTAGGGGGATTGGGGTTAGTGGATGGGAGGGAGGAGGGAGGAGAAGGAGGGGGTTTTTACTGGAGGAGTGGAACTCGAGGTCTTCTTGGAGGTCGGTGTGGCCTAGGTCGCCCTAAGGTCTGCTGTTAGCTTTGCGTGACAGGAGGATTGGGTTTTTGGGGGGTGGATACGTACTTCTTGATCGACGTCAACGACAACATCGTAGCCGCGGTTTGCCATGTTGATATAGTTACAAGGTGTGGTGGTTTGGATATGCGGACAGCAAGGTTGCTGCAACGTTCACTCAGTCCCGAATGCCTTCGGATCGGAGAAATAGGGTCCGACGCACACGTGATCCCGTAACGTGACGTCGTATGGTATATATATTACTTGAGTGTGCCCGAGTTTCATGAGACTTCAGAGTGATATCTTCATCATATTTACACCATGGTCTAAGGTTCTACTTCTGTTGTGTCGCTAATTGGAAGTGATATTTTATGCATATGCAGCCATAGAATAGCGCTGCATCTTGCATATCATATGCACTTTGCAGTACGCTGACACTATGACAATAGTCCATTTCCCAATCCATCTCGAAATTATGAGTCATGGGATGATCTTTAAAACCGCTTGCAGAACCGATCCTAGATATTAGACCTACCCGAAACCTAGAATGTAACTGTTGCTCTCATCATGCCTCCAACCACCTCTAGTGACGAAATCAAAGTCTTAATCACCGGATTTGGAGTCAGTCACTCCACCGACCCCAATACATCAACCCTAACAACCCCAGCCCTTCCAGGACGCTGCCAAAAATCCCTCGTGGGAAATCTGCAAACTCCTGCCATCCAATATAGCGCCCCGCATCCGTCTTCTCATTCACCCAGAGCCCCTAAAAGTCTCCTACGCTACCCTCCTCCCCATCGCGCCCAAACTCCTCGCCGAGCACACCCCCGACATCGTGCTGTACATCGGCCTCGCAGTCGGCCAACCGTACTACTCCCTCGAGAAATCTGCGTCAAAGAGCGGCTACCACCAAAACCCGGACGTCACGCGGCGCGTCTTCACGAAGGCCGAGACGAAGAAGGTCTGGGGGAAGCTGCCCGAGACGCTGAGTTCGACGATTGATCTGGACGCCGTGGGGCCGAAGTGGGCTACCGGTGTGAAGACGAGGAAGTATGGCGCTGATGTGAGGGTGACGGATGATGTTGGGGAGTTTGTGTGTGGGTTTGTGTATTTTGCGACGCTGGCGGAGATGGCGAAGAAAGGGGGGGAGCGGCCGGTTGTGTTTTTGCATGTGCCGGAGATGGGGGAAGGGAAGGAGTTTCAGGTGGGCGCCGGGGTGGTTGTGGAGGCGGTTAAGGCGTTGGTGAAGGTTTGGGAGGAGGGACGGGGCTTATAGTGTTATATTGGATGAACAGAAAGAAGAGGAGACATCGATTGTTTCATGGTTGCTTTCGTTGCATGAGCATCATGAGGGTTCTGAAGCTCCATTCCAAGGATTGAACCACTAGTCATCTATCGGTGAATGTGTAGAGAGGCTGGTAAAAGCAAAAACAGCAAAAAGGCAAGAATGCCATGCACCATTGCGACTCGATCACCCGCGACCTACGTGTAGTCGGTGGTTACAGACCTCTGCGGCCACACTACGTTCAGAAGCATTACATTTCGAGCCACTTAGCTACACGGCATCCTCAACCTATGATAGCCCACAGAAACGATTAGTATTTAAGCCCTCATTTCAACCAGTCAAAGCGCTTTCACCCTATGGTAGCACCATTAGCTGTGCCAAAAGAGTGTGCACGGACTCGTGCCCTGTCACTGTAAAAGATAGAGATGTCCTTGATATATAGGAATGCATGTTGAAATTGAAAAAAAAACTATGTCGAATCCGAGAGAAATATATTACGTATGATCTGCCGAAGCTTCTAGAGAAATAAAAGAACGAAACAACCGTAAAAAGGCTCACACTACGATTTGTTTGCAGATGAGCGAAAAAATGAAGCAAAGCGCTGTAGAAATCTTCTTTTGAATCTCGCTTTCCCAATTTAGACTGCACGAACCTTGAGCAGTCTGCTACATCCTATCCAGCTCTCGAAGCGCCCTATGCACAGTCAAGTAGAAACCGAAAGATTAATGATGAAATATCTGAATACATGCCTAACAATGCCAAGTCAACCCTAAGCTCATAGTATTACGCTGGCGTCGAAAGTATGTTTGTACTGGTCGAAGATGAGTCTGCCATTAACGCAAGCTTCATAAACGCTGCAAATGCACCAGTAGTACCTGTATGCACGAGGGTCGACTTTGCTTTCACGGGTGTCAGAAATTTGGTAATGCTTCGAGCGGTAGTGACAACGTTGGGTTTCGAGTCCAGAACGGCTTTGGCAGCTAGTCGAAGAGCTTTATATCTGTCGTAGATCCAGCGGATATCTCCTCGATGTCCTTCGGAGATCTTCCTATCGAGCTCTTTGAGTCTGTTGAGGTCGTACTCGTGAAACCTTGCGTTGAAAGTACCCTTGTAATCTGAGCTGGGGCTGTGATGCTAGCGGAGAGTGGACTTCTTTGAGAACCGATGCAATAATGATCACGAAACAAATCATTTGCCTAGTGCCGCACGGTAAAAAGGGACCATGACTGTGCCTCTATTCAAGCGACGTGGAAAATTTACGTCGATAACGTGATAAGAATTAGGCACAATGCTAGAAAGGGGGATGCGGCGATGCGAAAATCTACCAGGTAGTACTAGTAGGGATAGTAGGAACGCACTCCATGGGGGACCTCAAATGCGCTGAAATGCACACCTCTTGAAATTTGCTCGTTAGCAGGGTTGTGAATGCAATGCAGATTAGGCATGGAATCATTTCTTGATGCGTGAAGGATGCTGGTCTAACTCTTGGATGTTGACCTTGGCGGGTTATATCTGCCAAGGCGCTAGTGCAATATAACTCGTACTAGGTAGTATTCTATTCTCTGAGTGCTTGAAGTGATTGTCTAGTTTCAGCTACAAGGAAATCGCACATGACTGGCAGCAGCATCCTTCAAACATCACCCATTAACAAACAATGAAAGCATCAACGAGCCCACGGAATGCATATGCAAAAGTCTATCCCAATGACCATCTAATTACAATACCTACCCTAAAGCAGCCAGTGCCGCCTCAGCCTTCTTCTCAGCCTCCAACTCTCTCTGCCTTTCCTCCTCAGCCGCTTCCTCCTTCTTCCTGGCCTCCTCCCTCTCTAGCTGGTCCTTCCTCCGGATCGCAATATCCTTGGGTCTGTAATCGCTGAAGGCAACCTTCAGGACCTTCTCTATGATCCAGCACCCCGCGTAATCCACAATCATGACCGTGGTGAGCTTGGTCTTGAAGTCGCTCGTGAAGGGCACGAGTCTCAGCTTCTCGTTGATCTCGGGAACAAACTCGGTCGCACAGGAGAAGGCAACACCGGCGACGAGGACTAGGCCCCAGTACATGCCCTTGTTCTCACGAATGGACTCCCGGAAGGGCCGTCCTTGGTAGTTGATTGCGAAAGTGGAGATTTGCTGGATGAGCTGAAGGAGATAAATCGCGCTGTTAAGGAGCGAAGGCTCGAATTCGCCTTCAAGGTCAACGTTGTCTTGTTTCCTGGGAAATGTTAGCAAAAGTTTTGGGAAGAGCAGTACCTAGACCTACGGCTCAATGAGTTGGACATATTGCGAAATATAAATCAGAGTGGCAATATGAATAGCGAACTGTCCAAGAACTGAACCAATGATGTAGAAATTGAAAATATTGTGTTGAGGCCGTTCTTTCGACAGTGCCTCGACGGGCTGTTAATAAAGTCAGCACCATGCTTAGCCACACTGAGATTTGACGACTTACCCTAGCACGAGAAATAGAAAGGAAGCAAACACTCATCATCATGCCGCTGATAGTAACTTGCCCATCCCCAAACTTAATGCCATCCAAATAAAGAACGCTCAAACTGTAAGCGCTGATGAGACAATTCAAGGCCAGAATCTTGTACATTTGAATGGTTGCAACAAGAGTACACCTTCCTTGACGAATGATGTTCGGAATCGCAATGACGTTCGCTAATTTGCTGGTAAATGGTGCAGCGACAGAGGCGTCTCCAAGCTTGATCGTTGGTGGTTCACTGTCATCAAGCTCTTGCTCCATCATGGACTGTGTGAACTTATCGGCCATGCTCTGAGCTTTCTGTTGCGCAGGTGTGGTGGGCTGGACAGCTTGCGGGGTGGCTTTGGTCACCGCACCATTGTGGTCTTTTGTATCCGTACCATTTGCAATAGCGGCAGGGCCACCTTTCCTCAGAGCCTCTCGTTCCACGGCCTTCTCGTAGTGAGGGTTTCCAGGGCCAGGAGGATAGAGATGTGCAATCATGATAGGAACAGGAGGAGTCGGTTGATTGAAGCGTGCCATGAGCTGACATTGTTTCTCGTATACTTCCTTCATCTTGGTATTCCTGAAATGATCTGAGATCTTTTCCAGGTCGTCTCGCGTTCCGTTCAGAAGAGCAACGCCAATGTGTGCTTGTTTGAGGGCACCGACATCGTTCGTCCCATCACCGCACATAAGAGTTGTATAGCCACAGTCCCTAAGTCCGATGAGGATATCCTCCTTTTGCTTAGGAGAAACACGAGCATACACCCAAGCGTGACGCAGGAGCTGAAACCAAGCTGGTTGATCCTTGAATTTGGCCAATGCAAATCCAGTAACACAAATATCCTTAGTCTTCAAGATTTCCGGGTCAAGGGGCTTCGTGGGGTCCACAGCAATACTGACTTTGTCGTCAATGCTGCGCCAGACGAGGTTTTCGCCAGATTCGTCGTGCTCAGGCGCGTCCAAGACAAGACAGTCCCGGTCGACGATTTCGACTTCACGGGCCACGTGTACTGCGGTAAGAGGGTTGTCGCCAGTAATCATTACGACCCGATGGCTGCTCTCGTTAAGCATCCTCACGGCTTGCTTGGCGTCATCTTTGAGAGGACATTGCAAAATCAAGAATCCGGCAAAAGTCAAGTCAGATTCCACTTCTTCTCGCTTAAGGTCATTGATGCGGTTCATGCCGAGCTCTGAGTCGTGGGTAATGAATTTGTACGCAAGAGCGAGCACACGTCCTCCATTCCTAGTGAAGTACTTGAATGTCTCTTCGTATTGCGGTGGTACGTCAACCAGCATTTTCCGGATGGTCTCTGGGGCACCTTTAACTCCAGCGAAGGTGCTCTTGGTTTTCTTCTGCGTCTTCTTGTTGGTGAGAAGCACGGTGGCAACAGAACTTTGTCGCTTGAGAGCTGAAGAGAATTGGAAGCGTCGTCGAATTTGTACTAGATCGGCGTGATACGGTTCTTGGTTGGCCTTTGCTGAATGCTTGCTTGTGAGTGTATCATGAGCACCAACAGTCCAGCCGAGAGAAGTAATGGTTGCCTTTTCCATTGGTTCACCGACGATTTCTCCTTCGTCCAATTTGACCAAAGCATGAGCAGTTGCCAGAACTAGAGTAGTTTCGGTACCCACGTCAAGGACTGGTGTGACCTGTGTATGCGCGCCATCTACGGTCTTGATTCCGCTCTGGCCCAGTGTGAGACCAGCAATGCCATCTACAACAAGATCTTCGCCGGTAAGGGTTCCAGTCTTATCAAAACAAGCAACGTCGACTCTACCGGCGAATGGTATCCGGAAAGGTTCGGTACAGAAGATAGCATACTTGCTCAAGGCTGCCAGACTGGTGTTAACAGCGAGACTGAGCTCCATTGGTAGTTCCGGAGGCACGACGCTGGTGATAATGATAACACAGTCCAGCATGAGCTTAGAACGCTTCCTGTCCCTGGCGACGCCTTCCTTCCACACATACCAGGAGGCAGCAATGGCGAAAATCAAAAGGAACAGAATGAAGAAGAGGGCCTCGACGTTGTTGGCGGATACTCTCTCAGTGGAGTAAATCATAGTCCGAACAAGGCTTCCTTGGCTGGTCTCGAACCCAGTCTTCACGACAACTGCGATTGCGCCCTTGTCCGGGGGTGGAGGTACACCAGACGAAAGCCTAGAAACGACATCGGAACCATCTTCAGCAGATATTCCATGAGCGACTTGTAGGACCTTAGTTCCTCCGTAAAGGAAGGCGTTTTTATCCAGTCCTTCCGGTTCGATTAAAGCGTCTGCGGGACGAAGTTGAATCGAGTCTTTGAGCACTGGCGTACTCTCACCCGAAAGCATGGCCTCGTTTACAATAGCAGATCCTTCGATCAAGATCATGTCGCATGCCACACCACTATCTTCCTTCGTCCTTCCCACTGATACCAGGTCTCCAGGTAGTAGCTTATCGCTTTGTATTTCTTCCCATTTCTTCTTCCTGTATACCAGAAGGTCATAGGGCTTGATGCTCATGCCGCGGAATTCGTTCAGAGTACGTTGCCGTTGCCAGACCACCGTGCTCTCGAAGACCACAAGCATGAATAGTGTGAATAGCGAGTAGTACCAGTAATCGTCCAACATCCATAGTCCAACACAGAAGACTTGGAACACGAAGAAGGGCGCGACAGAGTGCTCCTTGAACAGCTCTGTAAATGTAGGGACAGGGATGTCGAAGGAGTTGTTTCCATAGTGTTGCTGGAGGCGTTCAATATCGACAGGGGAAGTAAGACCACGCGATTGCTGGAATGTCTTTAGGGCAGGCTTCGGTTCGGCATCGATGGCGTAGGCGAGAGGCGCGAAAGAGCCTTTCTCGGGATCGTATAGGAACCGACGTTTCTGGAACAAGAATGAGAGGTTCTGCTTCCCTCCAACGTTGTCCCGGTCGAGGGAGCAGATTTCAGCGGATCCTGCGTTCGCCACGGGAATAACCTTGATGAGTTTGGCAGATCGAACGTCGCTGGCTTTGGTGGACGTGAAAAAAGATTTCAGGTCCACATTCCAGTGTGTGCTAAGCCATACCAGCGCTTGGATAGTGAAGATGCCGCCTGACCAGACGAAAGTCCATTCTTGGGACTGGAGGTGCTTTTCGTATCTTTCCGCCGAGAGATAGACGGCGAAGAAGGCGGGCCAGATGACTAGAAATGGCCAGACGTACGTGTGGAGGGCGAGCGGTAGAGGGTCATGCAGACTCGCCGCCTTGATCTGCGGGTTGTCGACGAGCGGCATGGTGGAGGGTTGTCGAAGTATGGCGATGTTTAGAAATGTCAAATGTGTCCCTTGACCTCATTTCGCCAAGGCGGCCAACGGACAATCCCGTCCGAGAATTCACTGGCGTGCTTTCAGGGTGGGGGGTCTCTATCACGACATCACCACGTCAAAACACATGTCTAGAGATTCTTATGGACGAGCTTAATTACCACCCCCCTATTCTCTCCGCATCACCCCCCTTTTCTCTTCCTGCCACCCCCCCTACATCTAGCCTAGCGCCGGCCCGTATTAATATTGTTCCACCAATCATATTCACTCACTATTTGTGCTCAATAAGGAATTTACATCAACTGCGCACTCGTAATGCATCAACACCACGTCCTCTACATCACCACCCTCACCGCCATACCGCTCCGGCCGCCCCCCTGGGGCCGCCATGCATCCGTAGATGAGGGCATGAAGTCCGTCAACAATTGGGCAAAGAAGGAAGGATACGCGATCGTCAAATACAACAATAAAATGGACAAGCGCACTCCACCTCAGGTGCGGAAGGTGCTT